AGTTCAAGGCGTGTGTCCTGAATTCAGAAGAGAGATTGAAGGTGGAAGAATCTTTGAGGTGACAAGTGCAAGATTGTGGAACAGTATTCCTGTAGAATAGGTAAAAAAACTCTTTTAATTCATTTGAAGACTGCTATCTACAAACATATTTTGCCCAAATATATAAATGGTAATTAATCTAGTTACTGTAGTTTTTCACACAGAGTAACTTTAATTCTTAATGTACGAGGTCAGCTTTATTTTAATTCCAGTAGCGCTTTGTCAATAAATTTGACAAGTGATTTTTAAAAAATCTTTAGTTGTAGTTTAATGTTGATGGCCATGAGAATTGGCCAATGTAACCTTGTTAAAGAAAGAAGGACGCCACAGCCTTTACTGTTTTTGCAAAAACATCATCGGGGCTGCGAAAGCCTCCCAGATATGATCATATATGGGTAGTGCTAAAACATTTTGAAACTGTTGATATGAATGATACTTAAGTTGTTAGCTTTCCTTACTGCTGTCGCTTGTTTTCGTGCTGGCCAGGCCCATCCCATGCACCACCAAACCTGGAGCAATAATATTAACAACAGAGAATCTCCGGATAAAACCTATAGACCTATTATTATTATTATTATTATTATTATTATTATTATTATTATTATTATTATTATTATTATCAGTAGTAGTAGTAGTAGTGGTGGTGGTGGTGGTGGTGGTGGTGGTGGTGGTGGTGGTAGTAGTAGTAGTAGTAGTAGTAGTAGTATAACACTCACAGTCACTGTAGGCCTCCCTGTGGTTTTCAGTTGCCTCATTTTATGACTTCGCCCCATGTATATCATTCCGGAATCCGGGATATTTTTTGCTTGTCGAATCCGGGATCCTGAGCTTTGGAATCCGGAATACAGCTCAAGGAATGCGGAATCCCACTAACGATCGGAATTCAAAATCTAAGTTTTAATGAAAAAGACTGAAACCAAGTACCAGGAATCCAGAATCCACGGCGTGGAATCTGGAATCCAAAGACTATCTTGGATTCTTTTCCATGGGGCGATATGACTGGTTGAGAGCGAGAGATAATCATCCTATAATAATCAATTTACTATCAACTAAGTTGCCAGATCCAACGTTTTATTTATCTAGCAGCCGGTTTGTTAAAAAAGCGGAAATGGGACCATCTTTATATATATCTTATTTTCTATACAAAACAAAAATAATGCGATATAAAAGCAACATGATGCGAATTTGAACAGAAATGTTTCCATTTGACGAGGTTGTTTGTTAGTTTCACGGTACTTCTACTACTAGGTATTATCAAGACAAAATCATACGTGTTTTTCAAGATGAGGACACACTGGGATGGCTATCATAACAGAAGCGGTACATTTCATGTCTGTCTGAAGCGGACTGCAAACAACTTTGACAACCGTTCTTTGCATGCACTAAACGTAACAGCTAATCGCATTTCCCTTCGAAAAATTAAATTATTAACCGTTTAGAGTTGAAAATGTACAGATTAGGAAGAATACAATATAAACGCCAAAACAATTCTGGAGCTCACTAAATAGTTTGTATTGCAATGTTTGACTTGTTGCCATGGTAATCCCGACATCAAATTTTGCACGATGTCCTTGTTCAATACAGACACTGTATTGTGTAACAGGTCACCCAGTCATTATATAATACGATTCTTTCATTATGTAACACGATCAGTCAAGATTATTGATTTATGCGAGCTTGTTATTGACCACAAATATTTATGTATATATGTACTTTTATTATTCAGTTTTCAAGCGGAGCTTGCACAAAACAAAAACAATATAGACATTGCTTCGTATTAGTTTATGATCAAGACAAGACCTTTTGGTGGGGTGGGAGTGAGGAGAATGCGCCCTGTTTGTACCCAGCCTTGTATTAGACTGTCACGTGTTCTTGGAATGTTGACTGAGCGAATCAGGAAACGTTACAGAGACTGTTATGTAATAAGAGCATTTAATAACGGTTCAGTTAAGCCACCCTTTCAAATGTTTCAAATTGTGAAACCCCTACTCTTTCACATACCTGGCGCCTGAAAAAGGTACCCCTTTCGTGCGGAACTTCCGCATTGTATGTAGTCAGCCCTATGCGAGAAGCACAGGGCTCAGCTTATCTTCCGCATCAACCAGCCGCTTTATTAAGGACAATATCCTGCCATGAAAAGCAATCTGGTTTGGGTATGATGTCTAGATACTGTATCTGTTGGTACTAAATAAGCAAACGCGTGCACCGAAAAATATAGGGTATGGAACTAATAAAAAAATATATTTTAATCACTTTGAATTGAGCTAATATTTGATCATGCAACAGTGTGCTTTTTTAAGGAATGATCTCTGGACACGTTATTCCTGCAAAACAAAATTTTTTTTTCATAAGTGTGCACTCCATTTTGTTCTTGTTGAAGTTGGAAAAAGGTGACAGAACTGTTTCCATAAGAAGAATGTTTTGCTGTCTAAAATATATGTACGTTTCAAAATCTCGGTCAAAGTACTTTTAAGACTAGAAACGATATACAGTAGTTCCAGAAATAAACACAATGACGTGATGCTTGGTGCTGTGGCCAAATATTAAATACATTATATGCGTCCCTTGCTGTGGAATAAGGGTTACTACAAATTTTCCAGCGCAGCATTGCGCATCGTAGTAATTTTATGTTCGTCGGCAGGAATTCTCGCGTGCGCTACTACTGGTGGCTCCTTCAACTAATCTCTTTACTGTTTGTACTCGCTATAAACAAAATCAGTAAGTGAAAGGTTACATTTCCATCCTTTTAAAACTAGAATGTTTACCTATTTCATCCATTGTTTTGGAATATCCTAAAACATTTAATTTTTACGACTTGGTGGATCACGACACTTGAAAAGTTACAGTCAGAAAATAATGAAAATACTTATCATTTCTACGTTAAAGTTTCAATTACACTAGTCCATTACAATACGTCGCGTTACGAATAATGAACTGATAAGCAAAGATAATTACTGAGTCCCAAAAAAGCAGCTTATCTTCATCCGACAGCCGGTCTTTCACAGTGTAGTAAGCCTTTGACAACTGTTGTCATTTCGGGCGTGTACAGCTTATAGGCAGGCACAATTTGTTCACTAATATCTTCACTTGTATTCCATAGGCGGTGATGCAACGCCAACTGATTGTCTTTATGTTTCGCACCAAAGTGGCCAAGACACAACACAATGCGGTTCTCAGACCGAGCCATGCCAAACTTTGCCACAAGCACTCGTGTTGGTGAGGGATGGAGGAAAGATCTGTCTGGATGGAAGAAACAGTGAAACACATCCTTACAGTTGTTTTTTCAGAGGAAATGTTTCGAGAGAGTTTGGAAAAAGTGTAGCAATATTCGGTTTGTTCACAAAGGCGCACATTACATGTGATCCACACTATGGCAATCTTATTTTTAGATATCCTGAGAATCGCCTCTTTGAATTAACTCTCTCCAACCTGGTATTTCACAGCTATGGAGTCGAACTAATTTTTGTGAGCTTTTTCAACGTATCAATATCAAGCTGCAGGTTTATAAGCAGCTCCACTGTCGCAGTTGGTATAGTACAGAAAGAGTTGAGAATCCGAACAAAATCTTCCATCGTCGTTACTGACAGCGAGTTCTTGCACAATAAAGTGTCCGTCTACGCCAGGTTGTATCAAGGGTTGTTCTCCTTAAGAATCTCGAGGTGTGTCTTTCAAGGCAGGAAAGGGCGTTTTAATGGAGCTTCTGGTGCAAAACACACAGAAGCAGCGGTATACATTAAGTACCAAGGATACCGGACGAACACCGCGGTATTCACAGACGGCTTAGTTACTGACTGTCTTTTTCGAGACCTTGGTCACGAGGACAATAGCTTTGCATTATCATTTCGGTCTTATGGCATCTATGACACTGGACGTTTATTAGTATCTAACAGTACCTTCCTATGCAATGAGAATGCCATGTTGGTGGTAGGCGGATTTTACGTACAGCTACGCCATGTGACATTTAATTCTACGTATGGTTATGCTTTAATGGGCGGTGGTCCTCCAAAAATAAAAGCACCAGGGTTCCAAATGTACGGCTATCACTGGACCGTTGCATTCTATCAAACAACAAAATAGGAATAACAATGGACATTAAAAGTAATTCATTGCAATGCCAAGCAAACAGCCTGATACTAGTTGTGAACAACAGCCTTTTCGTAGGAGGAAACTTATCTCGACGGGACGGTGACGCAATTAGGTTTATCGTGCAGTCAATGTGTTCTTCTCTCACTTCACCCAGGCCAAATTTTATTAAAGGCGTTTTAATTCTCGAAAACGTTACCTTTCAAGGATTCCACAACAGCGTACTCTATGTAAAAATGCAAAGGAATGTAACGGGCAAAATATACGTAAAGGACTGTAAGTTTCTGAACAATTCTGAATTTGTTTATCGACTGGTCGAACGACCGACCGTAAAGATTGTATTTGATGAGGAGGCCCCTCGGAAATGCCTCAAGAGAAACTACAACAGTAAAAATTTATGGGATAAAAAAAATCAGTTTCGGGTGGTATTTGAAAACAGTATATTCGAAAACAACTTCGCTACCTCAGGAGCATTAAATTTCTTCAATGGAAACATCACTTTCAAAAATTGCTCTTTCAAAGACAACGAAGGATTAACTCTGGGAGCGCATATTAAAATGAAAATCGGTTATGGGAGACTCAACATCGTAAATAGCAACTTCCTACAGACTCGTTTGCATGAGCATTTTGATACAGGGCCACCGCGATTTTTAAATGATGGATGCTTTTTGTATTCTGAGAGTGCTGGACCGGTCATTATCAGAAACTCGTCATTTACGGCAAACATCAGCAAGAAGTACTACCCAATTTTAGCTGTTACAAGGAACAGTTTACTGCAAGTAGATTCAAGTTCTACCATACAGTGCCCGTCTGGCAGGTGGCTCAGAATGGGTATGAACGAAGGCAACCAGATTTCGAAAGGAAGAGAGGAATGTTGGATGAAAATCACTTACCTTAAAATATTCTGCGAAGAGTGCCCTCCTGGATTTTATACTCTACAAAGGGCACTTACGACTGGTTTGAGTAACATTAAAGAAACTAAATGTCTTAAATGTCCATACGGAGCGTCTTGTGCAAATGGAACTATCAAGGCCAAAGAGAACTTCTGGGGCTTGGAAGACACCTCGTCGAGTCCTCCTAGTCTAAAATTGTTTCACTGTCCATCTGAATACTGCAACAGACCAAGCAATTCCACCCACTATGGTCACAACAGCTGTCATGGAAGAAGGGACGGTATGCTTTGTGGCAAGTGTTTTGATGGGTACAGTGAGGCACTCTATTCAACTTCGTGTAGAAAGAACGATAAATGTAATAATAATTGGTTTTGGTCGGCGACTGGGATTTACGTAGTTGTCTTTGCAGTTTACATTGTCTTCAAGCCTCCCATTTTCTCAGGGTTACTAAAGCAGAGTCTTTGGTTTAAGAATAAACCTGCTGAAAGTGACTTCACGCAGACGTCATTGAAAGAGGATAAAAAACACGATTTTGGATACCTAAAAATCATCTTTTATTTTTATCAAGTGGCAGAACTGGTAATGATTAAGTCTCCAGAGAAAACGTTTCATTTGGTTCCAATCATCCCTCCCATCATTGCAATTTTTAATTTCCAGGTCAAATCATTGGACGGTAGCATTGGCTGTCCATTCCCTGGTCTCACTGTCGTAACCAAGGAACTGTTCAAGTGTTTGAAGTTCCTAGGAACTTTGCTTTCCATTGGTCTTATTTATGTACTTCATAGGGCCACTAGTAGGTCCCCGCACACAGCTCCACCATCAATAAAATTATACCTGGCTGTTGCTTTAGAAACACTGTTGCTTGGTTATGAAAGACTTGCTGATACATCCCTTAAACTTATGCACTGTGTTCCTGTTGATAAGGATTGGCGTCTTTTCGTCGATGGAACCGTTCAATGTTGGCAGTGGTGGCAGTTCCTGCTTACCGCGTTCATAATGTCATTCGTCATCCCCCTCGTTCCGGTTCTCTTCTGGGGATCACTGAGACTTAACAAAGACAAAGTAACGGCCAAGGAATTTTTAATAGCTTGCGCATTCCCTTTGCCTTGCCTTCTCTTTTGGATGTTTCGTGAATATAGAAGAAAAAAAGATGATCAACAAATGCTTAACATTGGATGCGTGGACGATGCGAAAGAAATAAAGCAGGTTCTCCACGGTCCATTCCGCGCAGGCTCCAGCGAGGATCATGGCACCCTATACTGGGAAAGTGTACTGACTGGGAGAAGATTGATTCTGTTGGTCATCCATACATTTGCTACTGACCCCACTATTCGTTTTGTGTGCCTCAGTTGCGCATGTGTTATTATTCTGGTCCATCACCTCACAGTGAGGCCTTTTGGCGAACGGAAAGCTAATATCTGTGAAGGCTTTTCTCTGTTGAGCCTAGCTGTTATTTGCATGTTCAGTTTAACCGAAGCTACGCTCATTTCTCATGGAATAGATCCCACAGGACAAAGCAAAGACTTCTTTCATGCTGTACAGTGGATCGAGATCGGTCTTCTCAGCTTGGCTCCTTTGGCACTGTGCCTCCTAGTAGCTTTCTGTGCACTTTCTCAAGTCGCCCGCCTTCTGTACCACTGCATCACATGCCTTTCACATGTTATAAATTGCAAACTTTGTACTGAAGAGTTTTCAACGCCTCCGCCATTTGTGGTTGATTGGGACTCGGAGGAAATTCAAGTCATTGCGTAAGCTCATGGCTTGTCTAGGTTTTGCTATTGTCGAATCCAGATTAACAGAAAAAATAGAAGGAGAACATTTTGATAGCAGCGTTCTTGGATGAGCCCAAATCTGCTATTCAACTTTTTATTGAGCAGAAATTTTAAAATCAGGGCCAAAGAAGGAATACGACGATAATGTCGCCTTTCACTGCGGAGTTGTTGTCCAACCTATCAACAGATTGTCAACCATTGTTGGATATAGATCGGTATCGAAATATAAAACACTTAACACTGGCTTAAGGTGAATATCCTTCAGTCTTAGAAGTGATACAAAACTAATTAACTTCAAGGTTTGCGTATAAAATTCGAATTCAAAAGAAAACCTGAAGAAAGAAAAAGGTCATTAATGTAAGATTGTGGAATATTACTCCTGTAGACATGAGGAAAAAGAACTCCTTTAATTTCGTCATTTTTCAGTAAAGACTGCCTTCCACAAGTTTTTCCAACGACACATCAATCTTAATAAGTCTAGTTTATCATATTCTTGTTGTCAGACATATTTATTTTTAGCAGAATCCACTAATGGTCTATTATCAATACTGCGTTCTGATTGGTTGAGCTACTACTAGGCTATATGTTATAGACCACCAGTAGCGAAAAGCGCAAGCTTTGAAAACCAAAACAATGGCGGCTGAATCGCGTTTTGCTACCTAAAGTTGTTTTGTCTCGATATTTTTGACCAACTAGTTGGAATTTACTAAAACAATTATTCCTCGAGCCCGAATGGGCTATTGACTCAGTGTCCATTCGGGCTCGAGGAATAATTGTTAATTATTTCAATTCCAATCGTGCTACGTAATTTTTTTTCTCGCGATGTTATTCATTTCATTATCATATAGATTAGTGTCGGCGGCTATTGCATTTATCAGTGCAATTGGCCATCGTAGCCCTCACATGACTAGTATTAAAACGCATTTCAACTGTTTTTATTAAAGATACTAGAAATGTTTGCTCAATCCTAAGCCTTTCTTGCCAGTGTCTCTTGTTTACTAGCTGGCCAGGCTCATCTCGTCTCATGCACCACCACGCTGGGCAAACGCCTTAAAAGTAAACGAAGAGAGGCAGGGAATAGTAGATATACTATGTAACAAGAAACATAAAATTATTGCCGCTTGTAGGCCACTATTGCAACAGTTCTACCACAGACTCATACCTCATGATGTTTGTGCCCGGAATTGTATCAGAATGTCACGTGTTCATGGAATGTTTTCTGTTTGTCTCAATAGAGAGTGAATCAGAAAATGTTTATGAGACCATTTTATTATAAGAATATTCGTTTATGGTTAACTTAAGCCAGTTTACCAAGATGACGCCTTGTTAAAAAACGACAGAACTTGTTTAAAAGCGGGGTTTCTTACCAGAGAATCACAAAATACTCTCCTGCATCAGCCACCCACAATAAACACTGTATCGTATCATGAATAAGTATTCAGTTTGATATTTAGATATTGTACCTGTCAGAATTCAATAAGCTGCATATACACGGAAGAACTAATCAATTAAAATTATTTCAAATTGAGCTGATATTTGACAGTGCATTTATAGTTCGCTTTATAAATTTCCTCTGGCTACGTAAATGTTTCCGAATAATATTTTGTAGCATTTCATATACCTGTTCTCCATTTTGTACATGACCTATTTGGTATCATGCCCAAACTTTAGTCGTTTCCATATGACGATCCAAATGCTCTCTTACGCACATGTGCGTAAACAGGATGGCTTCAACACTAAAGTTTCAGTCAAACCACTTTAAGCACTAGAAATGATATTCATTTACTTCCAGAAATAAGCACGAAGTCGTGTTCATAGTGTTATGGCCAAATATTCCAATATCTAAAAATACACCCTGAAGCATCGCTTGCTCGAGAATAAGAGTTGCTAGAAGTTATCTAAAATTATGGGACGCAATCATCTAATTTTGGTCCACATGAATTCTCTCGTGGCCTACTGGTTGCTGCTTCTTCCTTTATTGTTGGTTATCGCTGCATGTGAACGAAATCAATGAGTCATTTGATTAGAGCCGGTTTCGTTCCCTCTCGTTTAATTTTAAAAAACTAGATCAGTTTCATCAACAGTTTCATCTATGTAATCTATTGTTGTCGAATATCATAAAACCTCTTATTTGTGTGACCTCCGGTGTATCACTTGAAAAGCTAGCCAAACACAAATTAATGACAATACTTATTAAAAACGTGAGAGTCAAGAAGACTTTTGCAGGGACTGATCAAACAACGTGAAATAGAGTTAAGCTGTCACATTTCGACTGGCCAACTTAACTCTATTTCACGTTGTTTGATCAGTCCCTGCAAAAGTCTTCTTGACTGTAACGTTTTTAATTTTGTCTATTTTGACTGATCACGATCTTTTTGGATCCGACGTTAAGCAAGATTGTTGGTAACTAAACATTCGACAATACTTATCATAGTTTTATACTAATCTAACAAAACTAGTTGCGAGTAAATCCTTTGGGATCAATTTAGGTTTCTGGGAAACTGCCCACCTACCCCTCCCCTAAACTAACATTAACACTTACCTTTCACTTAGGGCAAAATGATGGCTTAGGGGAGGGGTAGGTGGGCAGTTCCCCAGAAACCTATAAATTGATCTATCCTTTGCAAGGGTGATAACTGAGTCTTAAGAATACACTTTTGGCACAAAGGCTACCGACGGAAATGCAATTATTGTTCATTGTTTTTATCGACTGTTTACAGTAAATCAAAGGAGAGAGAGATTTATTTGAGTGTCTTCTATTGCTCTCAGGTAGCATGAATTCTATGGAGGGCAAAACTGTTAGAATCGCCAGTTTCAGTGCTAAGCCAAATAGGAAAACAACCTTCCACAAATCTGGGCTATTTGAGGGTTTGTGGCATTTGTGTTAGAGAAAAGTACGCCCTTAACTCAACGAAATCATTTAACAACCAACTGCTACCGCATTGTTATAGTCACTGCAAGTTTAAGTTTTGCATTTTGAAAACCACATGCCAATGCAATCAGTCGTGCTTTTTAACTTTTGATTAGCGTTTCTCTCGCGGCTACCCAGAGAAACCCTGGTATACCAGGGCAACCTGTTTCTTTGACTTTCTTTAAGAGCCGTAGGTAATTAGCCTGGTTTTTCAGGCTCTCCATGCTAACCACGAAGACCCTGGTTAACCACTAGGCTTTTGCACAAATGGTTCAAGCCTAGTAAGCTTGGCTCATTCTAAATTTTAGGGGCCTGGTTAAAGACTGGTTCTCTTGGTTTGCAGAATAACGTTTTTGCTGGGCTTACTAGGAATACCCTGGTTAAGCAGACTTTTTTACATACGGTTTAAGCCTAGTAAGCCTGGTTCATTCAATACCTGGTTATGAACCAAGAGCCCACTTTTAGCCGTGAGAGTTCAAGGCGTGTGTCCTGAATTCAGAAGAGAGATTGAAGGTGGAAGAATCTTTGAGGTGACAAGTGCAAGATTGTGGAACAGTATTCCTGTAGAATAGGTAAAAAAACTCTTTCAATTCATTTGAAGACTGCTATCTACAAACATACTTTGCCCAAATATATACATGTTAATTGATCTAGTAATTCTAGTTTTTCACACAGAGTAACTTTAATTCTTAATGTACGAAGTCAGCTTTATTTTAATTCCAGTAGCGCTTTGTCAATAAATTTGACAAGTGATTTTTTTACAAAATCTTTAGTTGTAGTTTAATGTTGATGGCCATGAGAATTGGCAAATGTAACCCTCGTTAGAAAAAGAAGGAAACCACAGCGTTTATTGTTTTTGCAAAAACATCATTGGGGCTGCGAAAGCCTCGCAGATATAATCATATATGGGTAGTGCTAAAACATTTTCAAACTGTTGATATGAATGATACTTAAACCCTAAGTTAAGTTGTTGGTTTTCCTTACTGGTGTCGCTTGTTTTCGTGCTGGCCAGGCCCATCCCATGCACCACCAAACCTGGAGCAATAATACCAACAACAGAGAATCTCAGGATATAACCTATAGACCTATTATTATTATTATTATTAAGACGTCTGTTACACAAAAGGAGAAAAGTAAGGGTATTTGTATGGAAGGGTATCCGGGAAAATATGATTTCTTACTATTCCTCCGCATTCGCAATTAAAGTACAACCATGACGCCGAAGTGTGCGCTCCCATAGCGTCTTGTTTATGTAGCAGCCGTTTTGTTAAAAAATGGAAATGGAAACACCTTTATATAAATCTTATTTCCTAGGCAAAACAAAAATAATGGGATATAAGAGCAAACATGATGTGATTTTGAACAGAAATATTGCGATTTACAACAAAAAAAAGTAAAATTCGTAAAAAAGTCATACTACTTAGAGCCAGTTAGATTGCAAAGATAAAAAGTGATTTCAAAATGAGTGTAATAAGATAATATTAAATTTCACGTTAAAATTCTCGCGAATTTTATTTCCGAAAGCTTTAAATTTTACAATGTTTTAAAATCGTGGAAGAACGCCAAAATGTAAGATTCATGTAGTTCATTTCTGTATTGTAAACGATAGATTAGTTTTATTAACTAGATTAGGGATATTCAATTTGGTTAGTTACGTAACCTGACTACTATTACCATAGTGAGCTGCAAAGCACTGAAGAGAAAGGAACTAACTAAGTTGTGCGTTGAAAGTAAAAAAATGTAATCGGCCAGGAATATCATTTGTCAGCTACACCCTCTAAAGAAATGTTATTCGTTTTAACTCAATTGTTCCGTTGCATTCGCGCTTTAACCCCTTGCTTGTAATGAAAACAACTGGCACAAGAACAATAAACTATTTGTAAATCCGAGATCCAGAGGTAACCGGTTTGCCCTCAATCAGCAAATGAAATAATCTTCACTTATAAGAACTTCATAATTAATTTGACGTGGTTGTTTGTTAGTTTCATGTTATTGCTACTACTAGGTATTATCAAGACAAATTAAAAACATACGTGTTTTTCAAGATGAAGCGGAGACCCTGGGATGGCACCTGAACCGGACTGCAAACAGCTTTGGCAACCGTTCCTGGTAAGCACTAAAAGTAACAGCTAACCGCATTTCCATTCGAAAAATTAAATTATTAACCGCCTAGAGTTGAAGATGTAAAAATTAGGAAGAATAATATAAAAGCCAATACAATTCTGGAGCTCACTGCATAGTCTGTTTTGCAATGTTTGACTTGTTACCATGATAGCCCCGACATCAAATTTTGCACAATGTCCTTGTTCAATACAGACACTGTATTGTGATAACAGGTCACCCAGTCATCATGATTATTTCATTATGTAACACGATCAGTCTTAAACGGCAAGACTACGATTGAAATTCAATATTATTGATGTAAGCGAGCTCTTTTGACCACAAATATATCGTATTTTTAGTATTCAGTTTTCAAGCCGTGCTCGCACAAAACAAAAACAACATGGACCTTACTTCGTACCAGTTTATGACGAAGACAATACGTTTTTTTGGGGGGGGGTGGGGGGAGAAGAATGCCCCTTGTTTGTACCCAGCCTTGCATCAGACTGTCACGTGTTCTTGGAATGTTGACGAGTGAATTAGGAAACGTTGCAGAGACTGTTATGTAATAAGAACATTTAATAACGGTTAACTTAAGCCACCCTTTCAAATTCTTTAAATTGTGAAACCCCTACCCTTTCATATAGCTGGCGTCTGAAAAAGGTACCGCTTTCGTGCGGAACTTCCGCGTATATGTCATTATAGGTAGCACCCCTATGGGTGAAGCACACGGCCCAGCTTATCTTCCGCATCAAACAGCCGCTTTATTAAGGACAATATCCTGCCATCAAAAGCAATCTAGTTTGGCTAGATATGATGTCTAGGTATTGTATATGTTGGTCTTAAATAAGCAAACGCGTGCACGGAAAAATATAGGGTATAGAACTAATATAACAATTATTTTAATCATTTTGAAATGAGCTAATATTTAACCATGAAAACAGTGTATTTAGTAATGAATGATCTCTGGACACGTCACTTCTACAAAATCACATTTTTATTTCATAAGTCTGCACTCCTTTTAGTTCGTTATGAAGTTGGAAAACTAGTGACAGAACTGTTTTCACATGAAGAATGTTTTGCTCTCTAAACTATATGTACGATTCAAAATCTCGGTCAAAGTACTTTTAACACTAGAAGCGATATACAGTGGTTCCAGAAATAACAACAATGACGTAATGCTTAGTGTTGTGGCCAAATGTTAAATACTTTAAGCGTCCCTTGCTCTGAAATAAAGGTTACTACAAATTATCCAGTGCAGCATTGCGCATCGTAGTAATCTTATGTTCGTCGACATGAATTCTCGCCTGCGCTACTACTGGTTGTTCCTTCAACTACTCTCTTTACTGTTGGTACTCGCTATAAACAAAATCAGTAAGTTAGAGGTTTCATTTCCATCCTCTCTTAAGTAGATTGTTGATCTATTTCATCCATTGTTTTGGAATATCATAAAACATTTAAATTTTACCACTTGGTGGATCACTTGAGAAGTTAATCATAATTTGATGAGAATACTTACCGTACCTACGTTTAGTTTTAGTTAGCCTGGTCGACTACAACTCGTCGCTTTACCAATTATTAACTAATAAGCAAAGATAATTGCTGGGTCCCCAAGGGGCAGCTTATTTTCATCCGGCAGACGATCTTTCACAGTGTAGTAAGCCTTTGACAACTGTTTTCATTTCGTGTGCGTACAGCTTATAGGCAAGCACAATTTGTTCACTAATATCTTCACTTGTATTCCATAGGTGGTGATACAACACCAATTGATTGTCTTTATGTTTCACATCAAAGTGGCCAAAACACACCTCAATGCGGTTCTCGGACCGAGCCATGCCAAACTTTGCCACTAGCACTGCTGTTGGTGAGGGATGGAGGAAAGATCTGTCTGGATGGAAGAAACAGTGAAAGACATCCTTACAGTTGTTTTTTCAGAAAGAATGTTTTCATTGACAAAAGTGTGGCAATATACGGTTTGTTCACAAAGGCGCACATTACATGTGATCCACGCTATGGCAATCTTATGTTTAGATATCCTGAGAATCGCCTCTTTAAATTAACTCTCTCCAACCTTGTATTCCACAGCTATGGAGTCGATCTAGTCAATGTGACCCGTTTCAGTGTATCGATATCAAGCTGCAAGTTTATTAAAAGCTCTATCGCAGTTGGTGTTTTACAAAAAAAATCGAGAATCTTTGCAAAATCTTCCATCGTCGTTACCGACAGCGAATTCTTGCACAATAATAGGTCCGTCTTCGTCATCTTGTTTAATGGGTGGTTCACCTTAAGGATCTCGAGGTGTGTCTTTCAGGGCACGAAAGGACGTTTTAATGGAGTTTCTGGTGAGAAAATCCTATTGGCAGCCGTCTGCATTAGATACGCGGGATATCCGGCAAAGATGGTAAAAACAGTCGGTGTAATTACTGACTGTCGTTTTCAAGACCTTGGTCATGAGGACAATAGCTTTGCATTATTATTTCGGTCTTATGGCATCTATGACAGTGGAAACTTGTCAGTATTTAACAGCACCTTTCTTTGCAATGAGAATGCCATGTTAGTGGTAGGCGGATTTCACGTACAGCTACGCCATGTGACATTTAATTCTACGTATGGTTATGCTTTATTTGGGCGGTGGTCCTACTAAAATAAACGACAGGGTTCCTGATTTAAAGTTATTCCTGGACCATTGCCTTCTATTAAACAATAGAATTGGAATAAGAATGGCACTTACTAATTGCCTGAACCGCAGGATCTGCCCACCAGATAGCAAAGTATTAGTGGTGAATAACAGTCATTTCGTCGGAGGAAAGGATGCTCAAGCGTTCGGTGACGCGATCAATGTAAGAGTGGAAACACACTCACCCTCTTTACAAAGACCTAATTTTATCAAAGGCATAGTAAAACTCGAAAACGTTACTTTTCGGGAATTTCATAACAGCGTACTCTATATACAAATGCAAAAGAATCTAACGGGCCTGATATACGTCAAGAACTGCAAGTTTCTGAATAATTCTAATTTTGTTTATCGCTTGGTAGAACAACACACTGTTGAGATGGTCTTTGATGAGGAGGACCCTCCGAAATGCCTCAAAACGAACCACAACGCTAAAAATTTGTGGAATAACAAACCTCAGTTTCCAGTGGTGTTTGAAAACAGCATATTCGAGAACAACGTTGCCATCTCAGGAGCATTGAGTTTCTTCAATGGAAATATAACTTTCAAAAATTGCACTTTCAAGGACAACGAAGGTTTAACTCTGGGTGGGCATATTAAAATGAAGATCGGTTACGGTAGACTTAACATCATTAACAGCAACTTCCTACAGTCACGTTTGAATCAACATTTCAATGCAGAGGGGAAATTTTCTTATGATGGATGCTTTTTGTATTCTGATAGTGTTGGTCCGCTCATTATTATAAACTCGTCATTTACAGCAAATATGAATAACCAGTTCTCCCCGATCTTAGCTGTCACTAAGAGCAGCTTGATACAAGTAGATGCTACCTCTATGATTAAGTGTCCTTCTGGCAAGTGGCTCAAAATGGATATCAACAAAAATACCGAGGTTTTCAAGTTTACGAAAGTAAGCGAAAAGTGTTTGGTGAAAGTCAATTATGTCAAACTCTTCTGCAAAGAGTGTTCTTCTGGATCTTATAGTCTACAGAGAAGATTTATATCAGGTTTAAATAACACTAAAGAAAATAAATGTCTCAAGTGTCCATATGGAGCGTCGTGTAAAAACGGAATCATAAAAGCCGAAGAGAACTTCTGGGGCTTGGAAAACAATTCTTCGAGTCCACCGAGTCTAAAATTTTTTCACTGTCCTTCTGAATACTGCGGCAGATCAAGCCATTCCACCCACTCTGATAATAACAGCTACAACAGCTGTCATGGAAGAAGGGACGGTGTTCTTTGTGGCAAGTGTACTGATGGGTACAGTGAGGCACTCTATTCAACTTTGTGTAGAAAGAACGAGAAATGTAATAATAACTGGTTTTGGTTGGCCACTGGGATTTACGTGGTTGTCTTTGCAGTTTACATTGTGTTCAAGCCTCCCATTTTCTCGAAGCTGCTAAAGCACAGTCTCTGGTTTATGAATAAACCTTTCCGGAGTGATCAGCAGAGAACCTGCGAAGAAGATAAAGAACACGATTCTGGGTATCTAAAAATCATCTTTTATTTTCATCAAGTGGTAGAACTGGTAATGATTAAGTCTCCGGAGAAAACGTTTCATCTGGTGCCAATTATCCCTCCCATCATTGCAATTTTTAACTTCCAGGTAAAATCATTGGACGGTAGCATTGGCTGTCCATTCCCTGGTCTTACTGTCGTAACCAAGGAACTGTTCAAGTGTATGAAGTTCCTCGGAACGTTGCTTTCCATCGGTCTTATCTATGCGATTCATCGAGCCACCAGTAGGTCCCTGCACACAGCTCCACCATCAATGAAACTATACCTGGCTGTTGCTTTAGAAACACTGTTGCTTGGTTATGAAAGACTTGCTGATACATCCCTTAACCTTATGCACTGTGTTCCTGTTGAAAAAGATTGGCGTCTTTTCGTTGATGCTCACATTCAGTGTTGGCAGTGGTGGCAGTTCCTGCTGATCGCGTTCATAATGTCTTTCATCATCCCCCTTGTCCTGGTTCTCTTCTGGGGATCACTGAAGCTAAGTAAAAACAAAGTAACAGCCAAGGAATTTTTAATAGCTTGCGCATTCCCTTTGCCTTGTCTCCTCATTTGGGTTTTTCGTGAATATAGAAAAAAAGATGATCAACAAATGCTTGACGCTGAAAAAGTGCACAATGCGGAAGAAATAAAGCAGGTTCTCCACGGTCCATTTCGCAGAGGCTCCAGCGAAGATCATGGCACCCTATACTGGGAAAGTGTACTGACTGGACGAAGATTGATCTTGTTGGTCATCCATACATTTGCTACTGATCCCACTATACGCTTTGTCTGCCTTAGCTGCGCATGTGTTATTATTCTGGTCCATCACCTTACATTGAGGCCTTTTCGTAAACGCAAAGCTAACATCTGTGAAGGCTTTTCTCTGTTGAGCCTAGTTGTTATTTGCATGTTCAGTTTGACCGAAGCTACTCTTATTTCCCAGGGAATAGATCCCTCCGGCCCAAGCAAAGACCTCTTCTATGCTTTACAGTGGATTGAGATTGGCCTCCTCAGCTTGGCACCATTGGCGCTGTGTCTCCTTGTAGCTTTTTGTGCATTTTCTCAAGTCGCCCGCCTGTTGTACCATTGCATCACGTACCTTTCACGTGTCATTACCAGGAAATGTTGTATTCAAGAGTCGTTGATACCTCGGCCACTTGTGGTGGATTGGGACTCGGAAGACTTTGTAGTCATTGCCTAGACTCATATGCTACAGTTTTACAGTTTATGCTACAGTTGCGCGCGCATGCTAAGTAACTAACTGAGAGGAGAGATGGAGTCCATTTTGATGGCAGCGTCCAGCTATGTGCACTAAGCTGCTATTTAACTTTATGTTGATTAGATCTTTACTTTAGAAAAACGAAACTCAGCACAAAAAAGGGATAATCAGTTAAATTCCATTCAGAGTTCTTCGCCAACCTATTTTTTTTCAAGAACTTATCACATCACACTCAAAAGGAGAAAAAAATAGTACAAAGTACAAAAAGTGATATACATAATATCAGTCCAAGTAAATAATCTGAGTGACATGATTTAAGTAGTATCAGAGACTGGGAAAAAATAGCAATTCTGAAGGAATTATCTGCAGGTGTCGGGAGTAAGAAAGCTTTTTGCTTAAGGCAATTTTTAAGGTAACCTTCGCCAACCTATTTACAAATTATCAGGCTAGTCATTTTTCCCTGTATATTACATGAAGGGGGATTTTTCAAATAGTTCAGTTACATTTCTTTTAAGTCTTAGTCGTGAGAGTTCAAGGCGTGTGTCCTAAATTCAGAAGAAAGACTGAAGGTGGAAGAATCTTTGAGGTGACAAGTGCCTTTGAAGATTGTGGAACAGTGTTCCTGTAGAATGGGTAAAAAGAACTCATTCAATATATATTTTAAGACTCTCTTCTACAAACGTATTTTTGCACAAATATAAATATTAATTAATACTTGATTTCAGCTGAAGCAGAACTGCTGTCAGAGTGTTCAATAGAGGGACTAGAGCGAGAATGCCAGAAGTACAGTGTTTTATCAACTGAAGGTTTGACTAGGCATTAAATTACTATATAATTTTGCCTGACTACACGGTGGTGTAGCACTCTTCAGATGACAGGCCATTTTATTTGAAGAGTGCTACACCATCGTGTAGTCAGGCAAAACTGTATATGCCTAGTCAACCCTTCAGTTGATAAAACACTGCATTTCTGATAAATATTAATTAATTTAGTTTTTCACGCAATGTAATTTTAATTCCTATTGCACGAAGTCAACTTTATTCTAATTCTATAGTAGTACTTTGTCTGTGGTTTTGTGATTTTTTAAAGTTTTTAGTTGTAGTTTAATGTCGAGGGCCATGAGAATTGACCAAATGTAACCCTCCTTGAATAAGAAAGCCACAGCGTTTTATTATCATTTTTGTAAAAAGTTCATCTGGGCTGCTTCATACGTGCAAAATAAACCTTTCATGGGTCGTGCTAAAACATTCTGCAGCTGCTCCTATGAATCAGTACTTTAACCTTTAACTACGTCCTAGGCTCCCCGGGCCTTGCTAGTGCCGCGTTTTTGCCTGCTGACTTGGGATCCAGGGGAGGGACCCAGGGGGCGGGGCCGCCCCCCCTTATCTCAAGGTCTGAATCCGGCAGTGTCATATAAGCTATTATGTGAAAATAAAGCTAGCTAAATTATCGCTGCTTATGCGCCACCATCGCTAATTGGTTTTAGCGAGAATCATTCTTCAATTTCCAGTGTACTCTTAATGCATTTCTTACTTATTTGATTAAATATTTGGGAAATTATCCTAGTGTGACATTCCTAAACAACTTCAAATGTAGTTTACATTCATTTCGGCCTTTTCGCCAACCAACTTTCTGTCGTGATAAATACGTCCTGTTAACGTTGAAGCGGGTTATTGCCCGTAGCGTTCTGTGAAGGTAACCATCCTTCAAGGTGAAACAAAAGTTGGTGTCAAGGAATGTATTTACCAAAGACTCATATTCCACTCAGGCACCAAACTCTGCTAACTAACTTTAAACTGTGTCACAGGTTCGCTGTTGACAGAGTAACCCCGTAATGAAATCTTTCAAATTGCCCTTGTTCAATACAGACACTGTATTGTGATCAGAAGTGGCGAAGCACTCACCATAAAATACGAATATTATTTTTAAATGATTTGTAGGCTTTTTATTTGTCTGCAATTATACATATTGAAGTATCCTAGGTATAATTCAGTTCTAGAGTGAGGAGTACAGTAAACAAAACCAAAACAATTTATAAGATGAGTTTACCACCAAAACCTCGATGTTTTTCGGGGTGGTGTGAGTATATTAGAGAGTTTTAGATCCGAGTTTACCGCGAACCTCTAACCGCGGTTTGCGGTTACCCGTTTGCGGTTCGTCGTTCAAACATAATTCGATTTAGATTGGCGGTGGATTAAATTACGGCAGCCATTTTGAATCAGCAGCCATGAATGGCACTTGTTTTCAAGATCCAATAGGATTTATCAAATTTAGCATTTCGCCCAAATTGTGCCTCTGTTAATGGATAAAGACTTGCTCCAAAAGATTTTTGTATCATTACGTGGGATGAAACAAGAATTATACGTTAAAATCTTCCAGGTAAATGACATACGTGAAAACCTACCTCCCCACGTTGAAAACGCACGTCGTAAACCTCAAACGTGACGTGAAAGACTTGTCACGTGACCTCCAGCGGTTAGAGGTTTGCGGTAAACTCGGATCTAAAACTCTCTATTGTCCCCGGCTTGTGTCCAGCCTTGTATGATCAGACTGTCACGTATTCATGGAATGTTATCTATTTGCCTCAAAAGGAAGTGAACCATAAAAAGTCAACGACAGTCGTTTATAATAAGAACATTTTATAACGTTCAAATTACGCCAAGTCAATAAGATGATGCGCATACGCTGTTGAAAAAAATCAATGACAACAGGACGTGTTACAAAAGTGGCTTCTTACCAGAGAAGCACAAACTACTCTCCTATATCAGTCATCCATTGTAAACATTGTATCGTATCATGAATAATTTGACTTTCTCAAGTCGCCCGCCTGTTGTACCACTTCATCACGAAAGCTGAAAGCGGTAACCGATCAGCGGTCAGCGATGATGATGCCCGCGTCTTTTGAAGCTGGCTAGTTTAGTGTTATTTGCTGCCTTTTTTGTGTGTTTAAATAATTTAGTTTTTCGTGTAAGAGTTCCTGTTGGTGTCTTTTATTTGAATATGTCAAAAAAAAGGAACGCCCCCTTTCTATTCGCAATAAATCACCGAAAATCCTGTTTAAAAAGGCACTTAAAAAATATTATCTTGCTCAATATTGACTTGTGTGCGTGTGTGCGTGCGTGCGTGTTTGTGTTTCAATGAATAACAAAGTTATAATAGAATAAAGTCAATCTTGTTAAAGGGCCATAATTAGTTTTACTATAATGTGCCCTTCTCTATTCTATAATTTCTTTCTTTTTTCTTATGTATACGTAGTTTAAACAACCTTGTACTAATTAATATTGTACAACTAATGTATTATCGATAGGATGGAGTAAAAATAAAATACAAAATCCAAATACACTTCATCACGTGCCTTTCACATGTTATTAACTGGAAATGTTGTACGGAAAAGTCTGAAGAGTCGTCGACTCGTTGGCTATTTGTGGTGACTTTCAAGTCATTGCATAAACTCATCAGTTTTACAGTTTATGCTACATGTAATCCTACCTGACAGAAAGGAGAGATGGAGTCCATTTTGATGTCAGCGTCTAATTACGTGCATCAAAAAAAACGTAAAACGAAAAACGTAAATCCTGCTTCGGCCTCATGAGCTATTGACTCAGAGCCCATTCGGGCTCGAGGAATAATTGTTAAATATCCTATGCAAAACGAAAATAATTCGATGCGCTATAAGAGCAACATGATGCTATTTTGAACATAAATGTTGCGATTTAGAACAAAAAAAAGGAAAATTCGTGAATAAATCATACTACTGAGAGCTAGTTATACTGCAAAGATAAAAAGTGATTTCAAAATGGTGTAATAAAATAATATGAAGTTCTCGCCAATTTTATTTATGAAAGCTTTGAATTTCAGGATTTTTTAAAACGTAGAAAAACGCCAAAATGTAAGATTTATGTGATTCATTTCTGTATGTAAACGGTAGATTAGTTTTATCGACTAGATTAGGGATATTCAATTTGGTTAGTCACGTAATCTGATTACTTTTAGCGCAGGGAGCTGTAAAGCATTTAAGAGAAAGGAACCAGCCATGTTTTGCGTTGAAAGTAAGAAATGTAATCGGGTAAGGAAAATCATTTGTCAGCTACACCCTCTAAAGAAGTGTTATTCGTTTTAACTCAACTGCTCCGTTGAGTTCGCACGTTAACTGCTTGCTTGTAACAAAAAACAACTGGTACAAGAGCAATAAACTATTTATAACTCCGAGATCCAAAGGGAACCGGTTTGCCCTCAACTCCAGCAAATGAAATGATCTTTCACTTATAAATACTTCATAATTAATTGACGTGGTTGTTTGTTAGTCTCATGTTACTTCTACTACTAGGTATTATCAAGACAAATTTAATTACATACGTGTTTTTCAAGATGAAGCGGAGACCCTGGGATGGCTATCATAACAGAGGCAGTACATTTCATGTCTACCTGAACCGGACTGCAAACAGCTTTGAGAACCGTTCCTGGTATGCACTAAAATTAACAGCTAATCGCATTTCCATTCGAAAATTTAAATTATTAACCTTTTAGAGTTGAACATGTAAAAATTGGGAAGAATATTATATAAAAGCCAATACAATTCTGGAGCTCACTGAATAGTCTGTTTTGCAATGTATGACTTGTTGCCATGGTAACCCCGACATCAAATTGTGCGCAATGTCCTTGTTCAATACAGACACTGTATTGTGATAACAGGTCACCCAGTCATCATGATTATTTCATTATGTAACACGATCAGTCTTAGTTTAAAACGGCAAAACTAAGGTTAAAATTCAAGATTATTGATTTATGCGAGCTTGTTATTGACCACAACTGATATCGTATTTTTAGTATTCAGTTTTCAAGCCGTGCTCGCACAAAACAAAAACAACATGGACCTTACCTCGTACGAGTTTATGACCGAGATAATACGATTTTTTTGGGGGGGGGAGGAGTGGGGGCGAGAAGAATGCCCCCTGTTTGTACCCAGCCTTGCATCAGACTGTCACGTGTTCTTGGAATGTTGACGAGTGAATTAGGAAACGTTACAGAGACTGTTATGTAATAAGAACATTTAATAACGCTTAACTTAAGCCACCCTTTCAAACTCTTTAAATTGTGAAACCCCTACCATTTCATTTACCTGGTGTCTGAAAAAGGTATCCCTTAGGTTCGGAACTTCCGCGTATATGTCATTATAGGTAGCACCCCTATGGGTGAAGCACACGGCCCAGCTTATCTTCCGCATCAAACAGCCGCTTTATTAAGGACAATATCTTGCCATCAAAGGCAATCAAGTTTGGCAATATATGATGGCTAGGTATTGTATATGTTGGTTCTAAACAAGCAAACGCGTGCACCGAAAAATATAGGGTATGGAAGTAATATAACAATTATTTTAATCATTTTGAAATGAGCTAATATTTACCATGCAAACAGTGTGTGTCACTCCTACAAAATAACATTTTTATTTCATAAGTCTGCACTCCTTTTAGTTCGTTATGAAGTTGGAAAACTAGTGACAGAACTGTTTCCATGTGAAGAATGTTTTGTTCTCTAAACTATATGTGCGATTCAAAATCTCGGCCAAAGTACTTTTAACACTAGAAGCGACTAGAAGCGATATACAGTGGTTCCAGAAATAACAACAATGACGTAATGCTTAGTGCTGTGGCCAAATATTAAATACTTTAAGCGTCCCTTGCTCTGAAATAAGGGTTACTACAAATTTTCCAGCCCAGCATTGCGCATTGTAGTAATTTTATGTTCGTCGACATGAATTCTCGCCTGCGCTACTACTGGTGGCTCTTTCAACTACTCTCTTTACTGTTGGTACTCGCTATAAACAAGATCAGTAAGTTAGAGGTTTCATTTCCATCCTCTCTTAAGTAGATTGTTGAGCTATTTCATCCATTGTTTTGGAATATCATAAAACATTAAATTTTTACGACTTGGTGGATCACTTGAGGAGTTAGTCATAAATAAATGAAAATACTTACCGTACCTACGTTAAAGTTTTAGTTACACTAGTCCACTACAACTCGTCGCTTTACCAATCATTAACTGATAAGCAAAGATAATTGCTGAGTCCCCAAAAGGCAGCTAATATTCATCCGGCAGCCGATCTTTCACAGTGTAGGAAGCCTTTGACAACTGTTTTCATTTCGTGTGCGTACAGCTTATAGCCAGGCACAATTTGTTCACTAATATGTCCACTTATATTCCATAGGCGGTGATGCAACGCCAATTGATTGTCTTTATGTTTCGCATCAAAGAGGCCAAGACACACCTCAATGCGGTTCTCGGACCGAGCCGTGCCAAACTTTGCCACAAGCACTGCTGTTGGTGAGGGATGGAGGAAAGATCTGTCTGGATGGAAGAAACAGTGAAAGACATCCTTACAGTTGTTTTTTCAGGGGGGATGTTTGGAAGAGGCTTGGAAAAAGTGTGGCAATATACGGTTTGTTCTCAAAGGCGCACATTACATGTGATCCACAGTATGGCAATCTTAAATTTACATATCCTGAGAATTGCCTCTTTGAATTAACTCTCTCCAACCTTGTATTCCACAGCTGTGCAGTGTATCTACTCAATGTGGCCCGTTTCAATGTATCGATATCAAGCTGCAATCTTTGACAGTGGAGGAAGCCTTTGACAACTGTTTTTATTTCGGGTGCGTACAGCTTATAGCCAGGCACAATTTGTTCACTAATATGTCCACTTGTGTTCCATAGGCGGTGATGTAACGCCAATTGATTGTCTTTATGTTTTACACCAAAGTGGCCAAGACACACCTCAATGCGGTTCTTGGACTGAGCCGTGCCAAACTTTGCCGCAAGCACTGCGGTTGGTGAGGGATGGAGGAAAGATCTGTCTGGATGGAAGGAACAGTGAAAGACATCCTTACAGTTGTTTTTTCAGAAAGAATGTTTTCATTGACAAAAGTGTGGCAATATACGGTTTGTTCACAAAGGCGCACATTACATGTGATCCAAACAATGGCAATCTTAAATTTACATATCTTGACAATCGCCTCTTTAAATTAACTCTCTCCAACCTTGTATTCCACAGCTTTGGAGTCGATCTAATGTATGTGAGCTCTTTCCAAGTATCGATATCAAGCTGCAGGTTTATTAACAGCTCCATCGCAGTTGGCATAGTACAGAAAGAGTCAATAATCCAGACAAAATCTTCCATCGTCGTCACTGACAGTGAATTCTTGCACAATAAAATGTCCGTCTACGCCACCTTGTATAAAGGTGTAATAATATATGTATAATATCACTTTCATAAATTGCTCTTTCAAAGACAACGAGGGATTAACGCTGGGAGCGCATATTAAGATGAAAAATGGTTACGGGAGACTCAACATCGTAAATAGCAACTTCCTACAGACACGTTTGTATGAGCATTTTGACACAGGGCCACGACGAATTTTAAATGATGGGTGCTTTTTGTATTCTGAAAGTGCTGGACCGGTCATTATCAGAAACTCGTCATTTACAGCAAACATCAGCAAGAAGTTTTACCCAATCTTAGCTGTTACAAGGAGCAGCTTGATACAAGTAGATGCTACCTCTATGATTAAGTGTCCTTCTGGCAAGTGGCTCAAAATGGATATCAACAAAAAAACGAGGTTTTCAAGAAAAGAAGCGAAAAGTGTTTGATGAAAATCAATTACGTTAAAATATTCTGCGAAAAGAGTGTTCTCCTGGATTTTATAGTCTACAAAGAGGATTTATATCTGGTTTTAAATAACAAAAACGAAACTAAATGTCTTAAATGCCCATATGGAGCGTATTGTAAAAATGGAATCATAAAAGCCAAAGAGAACTTCTGGGGCTTGGAAAACAATTCTTCGAGTCAAACAAATCTAAAATTTTTTCATTGTCCATCTGAATACTGCAACAGACCACGCAATTCCACCCACTATGGTCACAACAGCTGCCATGGAAGAAGGGACGGTGTTCTTTGTGGCAAGTGTACTGATGGGTACAGTGAGGCACGCTATTCAACTTCGTGTAGAAAGAACGATAAATGTAATAATAACTGGTTTTGGTTGGCGACTGGGATTTACGTGGTTGTCTTTGCATTTTACATTGTCTTCAAGCCTCCCATTTTCTCAGGGTTACTAAAGCAGAGTCTTTGGTTTAAGAATAAACCTGCTGAAAGTGACTTCAGGCAGACGTCATTGAAAGAGGATAAAAAACACGATTTTGGATATCTAAAAATCATCTTTTATTTTTATCAAGTGGCAGAACTTGTAATGATTCAGTCTCCAGAGAAAACGTTTCATTTGGTTCCAATCATCCCTCCCATCATTGCAATTTTTAATTTCCAGGTCAAATCATTGGACGGTAGCATTGGCTGTCCGTTTCCTGGTCTTACTGTCGTAACTAAGGAACTGTTTAAGTGTATGAAGTTCCTAGGAACGTTGCTTTCCATTGGTCTTATTTATGTACTTCATAGGGCCACCAGTAGGTCCCTGCACACAGCTCCACCATCAATAAAATTATATCTGGCTGTTGCTTTGGAAACACTGTTGCTTGGTTATGAAAGACTTGCTGATACATCCCTTAAACTTATGCACTGTGTTCCTGTCGATAAAGATTGGCGTCTTTTCGTCGATGGAACTATTCAATGTTGGCAGTGGTGGCAGTTCCTGCTTACCGCGTTCATAATGTCATTCATCATCCCCCTTGTTCTGGTTCTCTTCTGGGGATCACTGAGACTTAACAAAGACAAAGTAACGGCCAAGGAATTTTTATTAGCTTGCGCATTCCCTTTGCCTTGCCTTCTCTTTTGGATGTTTCGTGAATATAGAAAAAAATATGATCAACAAATGCTTAACGCCGAAAAAGTGCACAATGCAGAAGAAATAAAGCAGGTTCTCCACGGTCCATTTCGCGCAGGCTCCAGCGAGGATCATGGCACCCTGTACTGGGAAAGTGTACTGACTGGGAGAAGATTGATTCTGTTGGTCATCCATACATTCGCTACTGACCCCACTATTCGCTTTGTCTGCCTCAGTTGCGCATGTGTTATTATTCTGGTCCATCACCTCACAGTAAGGCCTTTTTGCGAACGGAAAGCTAACATCTGTGAAGGCTTTTCTCTGTTGAGCCTAGTTGTTATTTGCATGTTCAGTTTAACCGAAGCTACGCTCATTTCTCATGGAATAGATCCCACAGGACAAAGCAAAGACCTCTTCTATGCTGTACAGTGGATCGAGATCGGTCTTCTCAGCTTGGCACCTTTGGCGCTGTGCCTCCTTGTAGCTTTCTGTGCACTTTCTCAAGTCGCCCGCCTGTTGTACCACTTCATCACGTGCCTTTCACGTGTTAAAAAAAGCAAACTTTGTACTCAACAGTCGTCGACCCATCGGCCATTTGTGGTTGACTGGGACTCGGAGGAAATTCAAGTTATTGCATAAACTCATTGTTTGTTTAGGTTTTGCTTTTGTCGAATCCAGATTAACAGAGTAAAGAAAAGGAGAAGGAGAACATTTTGATAGCAGCGTTCTTGGATGTGCCCAAATCTTCTATTCAACTTTTTATTGAGCAGAAATTTTAGAATCATCGCCAAAGAAGGAATACGACGATGATGTCGCCTTTCACTGCGAAGTTGTTGTCCAACTTATCAACAGATTGTCAACCATTGTTGGATATCGATCGGTAACGAAATATAGAACACTTAACATGGGCTTAAGGTGAATATGTGATACAAAAACTAATTAACTTCATGGTTTGCGTCTAAAATTCAAATTCAAAAGAAAACCTGAAGAAAGAAAAAGGTCACTAATGTAAGATTGTGGAATATTACTCCTGTAGAAATGAGCGAAAAGAACTCGTTTAATTTCGTCATTTTTCAGTAAAGACTGCCTTCCACAAGTTTTTCCAACGACACATCAATCTTAATAAATCTAGTTTATCATATTCTTGTTGTCAGACACATTTATTTTTAGCAAAATCCATTAGTGGTCTATTATCAATGCTACTTTCTGATTGGTTGAGCTACTAGTAGGCTATATGTTATAGCCCACCAGTAGCGAAAAGTGCCAGCTTTGAAAACCAAAACAATGGCGGCTGAATCGCGTTTTGCTGCCTAAAGTTGTTTTGTCTCGATATTTTTGACCAACTAGTTGGACTTTACTAAAACAATTATTCCTCGAGCCCAAATGGGCTATTGACTCAGGGCCCGTTCGAGCTCGAGGAATAATTGTTAATTATTTCAATTCCAATCGTGCTACGTCATTTTTTTTTCTCGCAATGTTATTCATTTCGTTCTCATATAGATTAGCGTCGTGGGCCATTGTGTTTACCAGTGCCATTCGCCATTGTAGCCCTCACATGGGTAGTATTAAAACGCATTTCAACCGTTCTTATTAAAGATACTAGAAATGTTTGCTCAATCCTAAGCCTTTTTTGCCAGTGTCTCTTGTTTACTAGCTGGCCAGGTTCATCTCGTATCATGCACCACCACGCTGGGCAAACGCCTTAAAAGTAAACGAAGAGAGGCAGGGAATAGTAGATCTACTATGTGATAATAACGATAAAATTATTGCCCCTTATACGCCACTATTGCAACATTTCTACCACAGACTCATACCTCATGATGTTTGTGCCCGGAATTGTATCAGAATGTCACGTGTTCGTGGAGTGTTTCCTGTTTGTCTCAATAGAGTGAATCAGAAAATGTTAATGAGACCATTTTATTATAAGAATATTCGTTTATGGTTAACTCGCGCCAGTTTTCCAAGACGACGCCTTGCTCAAAAACGACAGAACTTGTTTAAAAGTGGGGTTTCTTACGAGAGAATCACAAAATACTCTCCCGCATCAGCCACCCACAATAAACACTGTATCGTATCATGAATAAGTATTCAGTTTGATATTTAGATATTGTACCTGTTGTTATTCAATAACCGCATGTGCACGGAAAAACTAATCAATTAAAATTGTTTCAAGTTGAGCTGAGATATTTGACAGTGCATTTAGTTCGCTTTATTAATTTCCTCTGGCCACAAAAATGTTTCCCAAAAAATATTTTATAGCAGTTTATTTACCTGTACTCCATTTGGTACATGACGTAGTTGCATGGTAATAAGCTTTAGTCGTTTACATATGACTATTCCATGTGCTCTCTTACGCACATGTACGTAAACAGGATGGCTCATCGGCGTTAAAGTCTCGGTCAAACCACTTTAAGCACTAGAAACGATGCACATTAACTTCCAGAAATATACACGATGACGTTTTCATAGTGTTATGGCCAAATATTCTGATATTTAAAAATACGTCTTGAAGCATCGCTTGCTCGAGAATAAGAGTTGCCAGAAGTTTTCCAACATTACGGGACTCAGTCTTCTAATTTTCGTCCACATGAATTCTCTCTTGGCCTACTGTCCCTACTGGTGGCTGGTGATTCCTTTGTTTTTGGTTATCGCCCGCATAAACAAAATCAGTAAGTTAGAGCCGGTTTCTTTTTTATCCCATTTTAATTAAACTAGATTGTTCATCTATGTAATCCATTATGTTGGAATATCATAAAACAGTTTAATTCGTATGACTTGTTGTATCACTTTAAAAGTTTGTCAAACACAAATTAGAGACAATACTTACTTTGTTCGCTATAGTTCTTATACTAGTCTAATAAAACTAGTTTATTTTCTATTATTTATTACAATTCATGGCAACTAACAGTAATAATACTACTACTTGTCTACTACTACTACTACTACTACTAATGATGATAATAATAATAATAATAATAATGACAATAATATAATATCAAAAAAAAACTAAATAGAGCGATTGCAGTTGCGTAAAAGAGCCAGAGACTCCATACAAGGTGCAACACCGTAGATACTATTTTCATAAAAATACTAAATTAATATTGATATTATGTCCTAAATACAATTAAAATTGGAAAACAATCAAGGGTAGTGTGGCCAGTTAACTAGACCCGGCAGTTCCTCTGACAGACTAAAGATCACCAGGCCGGCCCAAAAACCTTGCAACACCGCGCCTAAATGAGTGTAAATCATGACTAAAGCAGTCCTTAGTTTCAAGCAGTCAAAACTCCGAAAGGTATAACGATCGTCTGGACAATAACAATTAGAAAACTACTAAGATCTACATTGAAATAACCGTTTAAAACTTTATACAAAAAAATTACATCAGCTATAAAGCGTCTTTGCTCAAGAGACACATGATTAAGCTCCTTCAAACAAGATTCGTAATTACTGTCAGATTTTAGAATTAACTTTGTAGCTCTCCTCTGCACACGTTCAATTAAATCAATGTTTCTCTTGGTGTGAGGTGACCAAACAATCTATCTATTCCAGCATGGATCTCACTAATGAGCAATAAAGAGTCCTTAATGTAGGTACCCCAAATAGACCTTTGCATGTACGCAAGATTAAACCCAACAATAGTTGCGATTAAATCCATACGCTTGCAAAGGTGAAAACTCTGGGTCCCAAGAAGACACCCGTTTGGCTTTTTGTTGTTCAATGTTTACATGCCATTGGACAGTTGACAGTAAATCAAAGAAGGGAGAAGGAGTTAAATTTCGAGTGTCATCTACTGCATTCAGCTATCATGAATTAAATAGCCGGAGAAATCTGTTAGAATAGACAGCCTTGGCCAAACGGGAAAACAGCCTGGGAGGGGGGGGGGGGCTACTTCCTTATAAAAGGCCAATGGGGATGTGCCGCTGGATGGGGTGGCACTTTCACGACCGGATTGACTATAATGGGGTCGCATTTTCCACAGAGTTACTAGAATGGGGTCTCACATTTTCGGATTTTTGGGGGGTAAGGCAGTTCTTCACATTTACGGTTAGCAAACGTACCAGAATGTTTGTACAGCAGATGAAAAGTAAAGTGTTCTTCATTCAATATAAAAAATGGACAAATTCATAAAAATTGAAAGTGACTAAGTTGCCCAAAAGTGACTAAGATGGGGTCCATAATTGGCCACAGAATAGACAATAATAGGGTAGCAGAAATTTACCCGAGTACCTCCCCCCCGGGAAAACAACCCAGACCTGATTGATAGTTCTCGACATTTCAACCAGTTAGAGCTGCACATCCTCTAGACAACAATGTAATCCAATAATTGGACTGTTACATTACAGTTACTGCGAGATTGTTTTGAATTTTAAAAATGGCATACCAATGTTATTTACTATCCTGCTTTAGTCTCGATTAGCGTTGCTATCGTGGATTATCACTTTATTAGCTTATGCTGTCTGTGTATCTGGTGCAGTAACAGGCATAAAAAGACTGCCGGTCTCCAACAAACTGCAACGTTCTCAGCGACTTGTCTAATTGGTCTTGTCTTCGTTTTTTTCTGCCGCGAATTTGTTAGTTTCTGGAGTTTGCAATCTCAAAAATTTGACAGAAGGAAAGGACGAAAATAAGCAAAAATAACGGCGCATCTTCTGACGACACCAGTGGTAGAGTAACAACATAGAATAGGAAGCCGTACCACAGTATTAGTCTGATAAAAGAGCCGGTAGATAAACTGGCATCTTAGTTCTTTAACTTAGGGAGAAAAATAAATCAACCCAGAAGCATATAACCACGAACCGGGTTATATGCTTCTGATCAACCTAATAAGCTGGAAAAAGTCAGCAATATCATAGCTTTTTTGTCTGCCATCGGGAAATTAGACGGTTTTACTTATCTTGACCCTGAAGCTGATTTTTTCATCTGCAATAGGCCTTTCTCTGTGATAGATGATTTCATTTCTTGCGCATACATGCAAATCTAAACCACAACTTGTTCACTGATATCTTCACTTGCATTCCATAGGCGGTGATGCAACACCAATTGACTGTCTTTATGTTTCGCATCAAAGTGGCCAAGACACACTTCAATGCGGTTCTCGGACTGAGCCATGCCGAACGTTGCCACAAGCGCTACTGTTGGTGAATGATGGAGGAAAGATCTGTCTAAATGGAACGAACAGTGAAATACATCCTTACACCTGTGAAAAAGTGGGGCCTGTTAAGGACAAACCATTGAAGCAGCTCGACAAAAGTGTAGAAATACATGGTTTGTTCACAAAGGCGCATATCACCTGTGAACCACGTTATGGCAATCTAGTTTTTAAGTATCCTGAGAATCGCCTCTTTAAATTAACTCTCTCGAACCTTGTATTCCTCAAATTTGGATTCGATCTACTCAATGTGAGCTGTTTCAGAGTATTTATATCTAGCTGCAAGTTTATAAACAGTTCAAACGCAGTTCGTATATTACAGAAGGATTCGAGGGTCATCACGACGTCTTCCATCATTGTCACTAACACCGAATTCTTTTACAATAAATTGTCCGTCTCGGCCATCTTGTTTAAAGGGTTGGTAACCATAAGAATCTCGAGGTGTGTCTTTCAGGGCACGAAGGGGCAATATGATAAAATCTCAGGAGTTAAAGAAACAAAGGCTGCCGTTTACATTAAGGTCTTAGGATATCCAAACATGGTATACACAGATAGCTCAATTGTCGATTCTGTCTTTCAAGACCTTGGTCACGAGAGCAATGGCCTTGCTTTGTCATATCGGTCTTATGGCTACTTTGTCACTGGAAGTTTATTAGTATTTAACAGTACCTTCCTATGCAATGAGAATGCTATATTAGTGAAAGGCGCTTTTTACGTACAACTTCGTCATGTGACAATTAATTCTACGTTTGGTTATGTTTTATTGGGCGGTGGACCTCCCAAAATAAATGCCAGGGCCCCTGATGTATGGCTTTTCTTGGACCATTGCACTCTATCAAATAACAGAAGAGGAATAAACATGGCTACTACCCGCTGCGTCAACGTCAACGGCAACGTGTGCCAGCCAAGCAGCCAAATATTAGTTGTAAAGATTAGTCTATTCGTCGGAGGGAACGAGACTCAACGGCTCGGTGACGCAATCAGGTTGATAGTGAAGGCGTATCGCACTTTACACAGACCGAATTTTATTAAAGCCATAGTAATCCTTGAAAACGTCACCTTTCAAGAATTCCTTCACCGTGTAGTCTATATAAAAATTCAAAGGAATGTAACGGGCCTAATAAACGTTACGAACTGTAGGTTTCTAAACAATTCTGAGTTTGTTTATCGCCTGGATGACCGTCCAACTATAAGGATTGCACTTGAGAAGGAAGACCCTCCGAAATGCCTCAACAGAAACCACAACAGCAAATTTTTCTGGCATAACAAAACGCAGTTTCCGGTGGTATTTGAGAATTGTATGTTTAAAAATAACGTCGCAATCTCAGGAGCATTGAATATTTTCAATGGAAACGTCACTATTAAAAACTGCACTTTTAAAGACAACGAAGGATCAAATCTAGGAGGGCATATTAAAATGAAGATCGGTTATGGTACTCTCAACATCATCAATAGTAATTTTCTTCAGTCACGTTTGAGTCAAAATACTAATGTAGAGCGAATATCAAATGATGGATGCTTTTTGTATTCTGAAAGTGCTGGACCGGTCATCATTAAAAACTCGTCATTTACAGCAAACATAAACAAGAAGTTCTACCCGATCTTAGCTGTCACTAAGAGCAGTTTAATACAAGTAGATGCTGCTTCTACAATTAAGTGTCCGTCTGGCAGGTGGCTTAAAATGGATATCAACAAAAAAACTGAAGGCTTTGAGTTGTCGAAACGAATTGACATTTGTACATCTTGGATGAAAGCCAATTACGTCAAAATATTCTGCGAAGAGTGTCCTACTGGATTTTATAGTCTACAGAGAGGATTTATATCTGGTTTAACTGTCACTAAAGAGGATAAATGCCTGAAAAGTCCATACGGAGCGTCGTGTGAAAATGGAACCATCAAAGCCAAAGAGAACTTCTGGGGCATGGAAGATTTTTCTTCCATTCCTCCAAGTTTTCATTTTTTTCACTGTCCTTCTGAATACTGCAGCAGATCAAGCCACTCCACCCACTATGGTCATAACAGCTGCCATGGCAGAAGAGACGGTGTTCTTTGTGGCAAGTGTTTTGATGGGTATAGTGAGGCACTGTATTCAAATTCATGCAGAAAGAACGAGAGATGTAATGATAGCTGGTTTTGGCTGGCGACTATGATTTATGTGGCAGCCTTTGCAGTTTATATCGTCTTCAAGCCTCCCATTTTCTCAGAGCTGCTAAAATACAGTCTCTGGTTTAAGTATAAACCTGGCTTTAGTAATCTACATCAGACATCAAGCGAAGATAATAAAGAACATGATTCTGGATATCTAAAAATCATCTTTTATTTTTATCAAGTAGCAGAACTGGTAATGATTAGGTCACGAGAGAAAACGTTTCATCTGGTACCCATTATTCCTCCTATCATGGCAATTTTTAATTTCCAGGTCAAATCATTGAACGGTAGCATTGGCTGTCCATTCCCTGGTCTCACTGTCGTAACCAAGGAACTGTTCAAGTGCATGAAGTTCCTAGGAACGTTGCTTTCCATTGGTCTTATTTATGTACTTCATCGAGCCACCAGTGAGACCCTCTACTCAGCTCCACCATCAATGAAACTATACCTGTCTGTTGCTTTAGAAACACTTTTGCTTGGTTATGAAAGACTTGCTGATACATCCCTTAAACTTATGCATTGTGTTCCTATTGACAAGGATTGGCGTCTTTTTGTAGATGGGACAATTCAATGTTGGCAGTGGTGGCAGTTCCTGCTTACCTCGTTCATACTGTCATTCATCATCCCCCTCGTTCTGGTTCTTTTCTGGGGATCACTGAGACTTAGCAAAGACAAAGTAACAGCCAAGGAATTTTTAATAGCTTGCGCATTCCCTTTGCCTTGCCTTCTATTTTGGTTGTTTCGTGAATATAGAAAAAAGGATGATCAACAACTGTGTAACGTTGGGTGCGTAGACGATGCAGAAGAAATAAAGCAGGTTCTCCACGGTCCATTCCGCGCAGGCTCCAGCGAGGATCATGGCACCCTATACTGGGAAAGTGTACTGACTGGCAGAAGATTGATTCTGTTGGTCATCCATACATTCGCTACTGACCCCACTATTCGCTTTGTCTGCCTCAGTTGCGCATGCGTTATTATTCTGGTCCATCACCTCACAGTGAGGCCTTTTCGCGAACGCAAAGCTAACATCTGTGAAGGCTTTTCTCTGCTGAGCCTAGTTGTTATTTGCATGTTCAGTTTAACCGAAGCTACGCTTATTTCCCATGGAATAGATGCCACCGGTCCAAGCAAAGACCTCTTCTCTGCTTTACAGTGGATCGAGATAGGTCTTCTCAGCTTGGCTCCTTTGGCACTGTGCCTCCTAGTAGCTTTTTGTGCACTTTCTCAAGTCGCCCGCCTGCTGTACCACTGCATCACGTGCCTTTCACATGTTATAAATTGCAAACTTTGTACTGAAGAAGAGTTCTCGACGCCTCCGCCCTTTGTGGTTGATTGGGACTCGGAGGAAATTCAAGTCATTGCATAAACTCATGGCTTGTCTAGGTTTTGCTATTGTCGAATTCAGATAAACAGAAAGAAGTGATGGAGAACATTTTGATAGCAGCGTCCTTGCTTGTGCCGCAGTCTGCTATTCAAGTTAATCTTGAACTCACAAATAATTAAATCAGAGCCAGAGACGGAACAACAAGATTATGTCGCCTTTCATGACGGAGTCTGTGTCCATCCTTTTGACAAACTGTCAAGCTAATCATTGTTGTATTTCGAATTTAACTGACACTGGAATAAGGTGTATACCTCTAAATTCAATCTTAGAAATGATAGAAAACTGAATCCAAGATGTGCTTCCAAAATCCAAAAGAGAAACTGGAGAACGGAATCAGAAGAAGGTCACTAATGCAGGATTGTATAGCAGTATTCCTGTGGACAGCGCGGTAGGGAAACTGAGAGCTCTCTCAATTTGGCCGTCATTTTAATACTTCCTGACTCAAATTTTAGCACCGATATATATATCATAATCACTGGTCTAGTTTTTCATATTATCATTTTACTTCTTGTTATACATAGTTACCTTTATTTTAATTCCAATTGTGCTACGTCAACTTAGCGACTTAGTATTTGATTATCATATAGATTAGTGTCGAGAGCCATGCGTTTATCAGCGGTGCAGTTTGCCTATTTAGCCCTCGCTAAATAGAATGTCTGGGTTGCTCATTTATGAATTTTATACTTATTTAACTAAGTATATGGTGGATTATTCTAGTGAAACATCTTCAATTTTAGTCTAGTTTTCATCCAGTATCGGCTTTTTGCCGCCAACAAACTATGTATTATGAGATATACTTCCTGTTAGCGCTGAAGCGATATATTGCCCTCTTTGGCGCTTTTTATTTCCCTTCACGTTGGAAATAATTGTTTGGCAAAAATAATTTAAGCTAATATTGTAACTATAAATCATTTAAAAGTTGCTTTACTAATGTTCTTGTGCTTTTTTTCGAGTTTATGTGATTGCTTCTACTCATCCCCGCTTATAGCATATTAATAGTGACTAAGAAAATTGTATCGGTTTACAATTTTATAATGTTCACAGGAATAAAAGAGCAACACAATTTTTCGTGCCGAGGCCCTTTTTTTACATGAAACTATGATAGTACTCTCACACGCAATCACAAAGGCTTCCGGCCGAGGGCCTGCAGTTTCTGCAAAGGTGCGGTAACTTTTCGGGCCAGAAGACCGCAAATTTTCAAATCAAAGCCTGTTGGAAAGTAAGAAGCTCAGCTTCTACCTCACATACCAGTCAATTTTGCTTCTTTAACTGATTGTTTCAAATTACCATTTTCAATATTATTGAACTGACTTTGACCTTGAATGCAAACTTGACATACATTAAATAGCTCTCCGGGCCTGAAAAATTGCCGGCACTTTCGAGAAACGGGTCTCCTGATGGTGATTATGTGATATTGCCCTTTCTTGTTGTAATTTAACTTCCTGTTTGAATATTACATTGTGAGAAAGATTTTTTTTGGCGAAATGTCTAAAATTAAAAGAGTTACTTTTGCTAATCAAATAACCGCGAGACGCTTTTCTTATGGTCTTTACAATTTAATTCTAAGAAATGAAGAAATCATTTCGTCCAAAGAAACTCAATGTAGCACGTTGCTGACTCAATGTATAGTAACTTTCTAGATCGATTCTAGAGTCACTTTCTTGTTGTGAAAATAACTGTTAAAAGGGCGAATGACGCTCGGTTAATGTACGCTTTCACAATAAGTTGAATGATGTCCGCCTGCCAGGATGTACTTCTGTCTTGGTTTCGGCTCGGTGATAGTTTTGTTTATATGTTGATTGTGTTCGATGGGCAAAATAAACAGGCAAGTGATATGCCTTTTCTGTGGGCAAATACAGGATTTTCCAGCAAAACATTGATAACAGTCCGGAAAATTCCCGAAAACATTCACAATAATCGTGCATGTAATTTTCGCGGGGGTCTCAATTTCGAAGTTTTGGGTGTTTCGCGGACAGCCATGTTTTCGAAGGTCCACAGTATCGAGTTGATCCTAAGACAATGGATTACTACGAAAATTCGTTTCCTTTTACTTTGTCGACAAAAATTTCTCTTTGACTGACTGCAAACTTCATGAGGATCTTTCTTTTACAGTCAGTTATAACGTAACGAAGGTCTCAACTATAAATCTGGTAAATTTGATATGAACTTTCATGATTCATTGAAGTGTGCGACTTGTGCAAATACCAGACTTCCCATGCATTAGCCCAATACCCTAGAAAAAAGTAAGATCTCGTGAGAAATATTGCCGAAAGGTCTTTTGGCGATGCATTGAACACCGCGTTACCCAACAGGATTCTCTCTTACTCAAGAAGCTCGGCATGGTTTAGAGGCAAGGTAAGTCAAAGGCCGCAACTTTCCGTAAACTTCTTGATTTCTGTAGAATAAAGAACCTTAAGGTTTTTACTGGAGAGGGCTTTTGTTACTATGTCCTGTACTGCTCAAAAGTAAATAGTACATCTTATCGGGTCCGATAATTATTTTCATTACTTTTGTTATATCACGATAACCACCTTCGTTGTCTGATTACGTCCTGTTAGCAACAATGTCGTTCACAATAGGAATCTTATACAGATAAACTATATATTTTGGCACTTACCTAGCCTCCCACACAGGCGTTTTTAGGGGAGGGATGAAAAATGAGCTCCCGTAAAAACGCCTGCGTGGGAGGCTAGCACCGACCTGACTTGAAAACAAAAGAGCTCGGACAATCAGCAATTCGTAACTCTCTCGTTGAACAAACCCGTATATATAGTTACAGTTAAGGTTTGATAGGCGAGAAGGGAAATCCAAAATTCTGACCCAACAGATTCGTTCACTTCCTGTTAGGTTTTATTGTCTATCTTGTCTTTTAAACAGGGGCAATTATTTTTATTCCACTTGCCTAAAACCGCACTGGTGACGTATTCATCACTTAAGTGTCCAATATAATGAAATATCTAGCGTCTTTCTTTGGAGGAAGATTAAAGTACCGCTTAGTCATTACAACCATCGTCCATGCAGAAATATCACTTCCCCGGCTTCACCAAGATGTTATCTCACACGTGGTTTCGTTGGAGGCTTGGACTATGCTTGTTGTTTCTCCTCGGTCTGACCATCACTAAAGCAGGTAAGGAAGGCCAAAACAACGTGTTAATATATTGAACATAATCCAGTTTCTTTTAAACCGTTTAGTTTACATCAATATACTGGTACGGTTACCACAAGAGGTTTGCTATGTTTTGATTCAGATTGCAACAGAAATTTTTAGGAAGTGTTGATACAGAAACGTTTCTTAGCCGAGGAAACGTCTCACTACGTCAACGATTAACTTGAACCGTTAGAGTAACTCAAACTGAAGGTCAGCGTTTTTTTTTAAATTTTAAGTTCCCCCGAAACCTGAGCTGACACCCCTTATCTGCATGCCTCCATGCTTAATCCTCGCTACTGAGCGTAATAAGATGAACTGTTGCCGCGTAACAACATCGCTAACTTTTATGCACTAGATTTTGCAACTGGTGATAGATTTTATAAAGTGTTATTGAGCTTCATGATAGATCAATTGCTGTGATCTAGACGACACGTAGGCTTATCTCTATCGGTTTTCAACTACACTCGCTACTAGGCGTGATAAGATGAACTTCTGCAATTTTATAAAACTGCCAACTTTTCTGAGATGGATTTTGCATCTGATGATAGGTTTCATAAAGTGATATTGAGTCTTATAATGAATTAATTAGTGTGGTCAAGAAGACATGCAAGGTTAATTCCAACAGTTCGTAATTTCACAAATATTGTAAACCGCCCAATAAGATTGTTTGACAAGTTCCTTGTTTGTGGACATGACTTAATTAAGGTATTTCCCGCCCATTCAAATTATGTTTCTTCCTAGCTTCGATACAATTTTATGATTACTGTTAAAATACGTTTTTTACAAGTCTAGTTTTAGACGGAAGCCGAGATTTCTCACAACAAAGAATCGGAAATGAACACTTGGTTGGTGACTAGCAGTCAGACGTTTCTGAATTATACTCAGCGTTTTAAATTTGAATAACCGGGGAAGAAGGTTCGCCTTTGCTACAAAAACGGTTAGACTTTCGCGTGGCTCGGGTGATCTTACAGAAATAATGCCCTCACCTCGAGCTCCAGCGGGAAAAGTAAAACAATGTTTCCTCGCGTCACGGCGTTTTCACAGACCAGTTTATTTTTAGAGCAAATTTGGCGCGAATTTAGAATATCTGTAAAGTCCCACAAACCAGTCAGCAAAATCTACAGAACTAAAAATGACACCCTGATGGCTAAGCCAGTCAGAGCCCTAGAATTGCATCATCCAATGATTCAGTTTTTAATAATTAATATTGTGTTAGTTTTTCAAAACTCAGTTGTTGACACTTTCTCATTATCTTCAGGTGCTGATGCGGAGTTCAGTGACCCTCCCCTTTTTGTTTCCATTCTACTTGGTAAAGATTCACCCACATGTGGTTCTTTACGTCAACCATGCCAGACTCTTTTCCAAGCACTGATAAAAGTCGTGGACGGAGGAAAGATCTTCCTTGATGGAAGGCACAGTGAGTTACGTCCATACAACTGTAGAAAAAGAATTGGAAAAAAAGAACGCTTAGTGGAGTTCATGCGCGTAAGTTTAACAATACAGGGCTGGCTTACGAAGGCGCATATTTCCTGCAAACTACGTTATGGTCTAGTTTTTGAACATGAAAAAAAACAACTTTTGCGGATAACTTTCTCAAACCTTGTATTCCATAACAAGGCATTCGTTTTAAACAAAGTGAGTTGCTTCAATATTGCTATTAGTAATTGTAAAATTATCAACAGTTCCGCGGCGGTTGTTGTTGTACAAGGAGAATCTAGAATCTGCACCAATTCTTCAATTGTTATCTCCGATACTGAGTTCCTGAACAATACCCAATCGCTCATTGCCAATTTGTCAAATGGAATTTTCACTCTTAAAATCTCCAGAAGTGTATTTCACGACAGGACTGGTCGGTTCAAAGTAACTTCAGAGGACAGAAATAGTACCGGCGCCGTGTACATTAAGGCACCCACCTTGAGAAATATGGTGTATGTATCGTGCTTTGTTACAGATTCTATCTTTCGCGAACTTGGTCACAAATTGAATGGCTTCGCTTTATCCTTTAAAGTAAATAACCTATTTACCACAGGGATGTTGACAGTATCGAATACCACCTTTCTCAACAACGAAAATTCTATATTTGTATATGGTGGATTTGACGTTCGACTAGATCAGGTGACCATTGACTCTACTTATGGATATGCTTTTGCTGCCAGTGGTCCTCCAAACCTGTCGCCTAACGTTTCTGATATAAAGGTTTCTTTACATCGTTGTCTACTGCGGAACAATAGAGTTGGTGTACGAATGACAATAGTACCTTGTCTAGATGTACTCACTTGTGCACCAAGCAGCCAGTCACTATTTATTAATGACACTCTTTTTGAAGGAGGCAGTGAAACGCGCGGTATCGGTGACGCAATCAGGTTTTCATTGCAGGTAACAGGCAGGTCACTCCAAAAACATTTCATTGAGGCGAGGGTAATTCTGTACAACGTTACCTTTCAAGGAATTCACAACGGCGTAATGTACGTAACCATGCAAAAGAATGTAAAAGGACTAATATCCATAAAGAACTGCAAGTTTATAAACAATTCCCAGTTTGTATACCGATTGGATAACCGAGCAACTGTAGGTGTTGAATTTCCCGACGAAGATCCTCCAAAATGTCTCAAAGAGAACAACCGCAGCAAAGTCTTCTGGAATGACACATTCCAAACACCTGTGACAATTGAAAACAGCATATTCGAGAATAACGTCGGTATCTCAGGAGCACTGAATTTTCTTAATGGAAACGTCACTTTGAGAAAATGCACGTTCAGAAACAATGAAGGCTTGACTTTAGGAGGGCATGTCTATCTGAAAACGGGTTACGGCAGCCTTAGCATTGTGAAAAGCACCTTTCTTCAAACACGTTTAAACCATATATCTAAAACTGGCCAACCCGGTAAAGTCCTGCGTTATGGATGTTTCCTGTATTCGGATAGCACTGGCCCAATCATCATAAGAAACTCGTCTTTTATAGCAAAGGTAAACAGAAAGCTTTATCCTGTTCTGGCATCTACTAAGAGCATTTCCTTCCAAATTGATCGCACTTCTTCGTTACAATGCCCGCCTAAAAGACGAGTCAAACTCGAAGTTATTAGAACAACTGAAGGTTTTGAGTTGACCGAGGGAAGTAGCACGTGCTGGATGAAGGCCAATTACTTCAAACTATTTTGCCAAGAGTGTAGTGATAAGTTTTATTGGCTGGAGACAGGAATTCCAAAAGGTTTGAATTTTAGCAAAGGAACCAAGTGCCTTAAGTGTCCTTACGGAGCATCCTGTGAAAATGGAAATGTCCGGGCAAAAGCAAATTTCTGGGGATTAATAGCTAAGACAACTCCTCCAACATTGCAATTTTTTCCCTGTCCTCTGGAATACTGCAGTAGTCCAAGCCAGTTCAACCCTCACGAGTACAATGCTTGTCATGGAAACAGAACGGGCGTCCTATGTGGTAGATGTTCTGACGGGTATAGCGAGGAACTCTATTCAACTTCATGTAGAAAGAGAAACCGTTGTAACGATCACTGGTTTTGGGTGGTGACTTCCATCTATGTGCTCGTATTTGCACTGTACTTTATATTCAAACCTCCTGTCTTCTCGATATTGTATAAGCAGACTCTTTGGTTTAAAAATCAACTGCAAGTACCCGAGGACAAAATCCACGATTCTGGTTATCTGAAAATTGTCTTCTATTTTTACCAAGTAGCCGAGCTGATGATGATAAGATCTCCTGAGAAAACTCTGCATATGGTACCAATTATTCCCCCAATTATGGCTATCTTTAATTTCCAGGTTAAGACATTGAATGGTGGCATTGGTTGCCCATTTCCTGGTCTCACTGTCGTCACCAAGGAACTATTTATGTGTTCAAAATTCCTGGGAACATTGCTGTCTATTGGTGTTATTTATGCCCTCCAGCGATCCGCAAGTAAGCTCAGGTTCATTTCCTCACCATCACTAACACTATATCTCGGCGTTGTGTTAGAAACACTTTTGCTTGGTTACGAAGGACTGGCGGATACAACACTTAAGTTGATGCACTGTGTTCCTATTGAGAAGGATTGGCGTCTTTTTTTAGATGGGAACATCGAGTGTTGGCAGTGGTGGCAGTACTTGTTAATCGCATTCGCGGTTTCTTTTATCATCCCTCTGGTCTTGGTTCTCTTTTGGGGATCACTGATGCTTGCCAAGAACAAAGTGACTGCTAAGGAATTCCTGATAGCTTGTGCTTTGCCTTTGCCTTGCCTACTGTTGTGGCTGTTTCGGCGGTTTAGAAAGACAGATGATGAACAGCTTCTTTATGCTGGAAACGAAGATCATGCAGAAGAAATAAAGCAGGTCCTACACGGTCCATTTCGCAAAGCATCTACTGGCGACTATGGCACCCTGTACTGGGAAAGCGTACTGACTGGCCGGAGATTAATTCTCTTAACTATCCATACATTTACTACTGATCCCTTGAAACGCTTCGTCTGTCTTAATTGCGCATGCGTTTTGATGTTTGTTCATCATCTTACAATTAGACCATTCCGAGAGCAAAAGGCCAATATCTGTGAAGGCCTCTCGCTTATGAGCTTGACAGTTATCTGTACTTTCAGTTTGGCTGAAGCCACTTACATCTCAGAGGGAATAGATCCCGCTGGACCAATTCAAAACTTCTTTCAGGCTTTGCAATGGATCGAGGTAATCGTACTTGGCTTACTGCCTGCAATGGTGTGCGTTCTTTTTGGTTTTGCAGTGTTGTCTCAAGTCATTCGACTGTTGTACCACTGTGTGAAATTTCTCTTGTATCATACAAGATACAAATATCTTTTTCATCAAGAGATCTCAAGGAACAGAGAGCTTCTGGTTAACTGGGACCCAGAGGAGGTCCATGTCCTGGATTGAGTTCGCAGTGGAAATGTTATATTTTTTTAACACAATCGTTACAAACAGAATTTTAAGGCAATTAGACTGTTATTTCTTAAGCGATGAATAGGGAAGGAATTATCGGGTACGACATTTATATTTTCGCTTGTTAACTCACCCGTTAACAGCACTTTCAAAGGGACTGTGTCACATCAGTCTGAGTCTACTTTGTTTAGTATACATGGGACTATTGCACGATGACGTTATTTTACTACAACTACCAGAATCCTTCAGATTGTTGTTTTCTTGTGAAAATTAGGGCTATTGTTTTTTAAACCCTAGCGGAATTGGCAAATTTAAATGTGAAAGCAAAAACGAAATGAATTCTGGCAGTCAGTGTAGTCAAATGTCGTCATCATGAAAATGGTCTATTACCGATCACTCGCTCTTACTTGCTTTGGAACTTAATGTTGCCGACATTACTTATTATAATGACAAAGTCGCAACTCAGTGTCAGACTATTGAAAAGGAAGTGTTTTAGGTGTTCCAAAGGGTTTGTCGTGTTTTTTCGAGCAGTATTTCAATTGACCACTCCAGAAAATACCATAACATACCTTAATCCTCTTTGTTTGTCACCACAAAATTTTGCATAAGCATTGTCTTCAGTTTCTCTTGGGAGTTAAAATGGCGCCAAGAGAAAGCGAAAACAGTGCTTATGCAAAATTTTGTGGTGACAAACAAAGAGGATTAAGGTATGTTATGGTATTTTCTGGAGTGGTCAATTGAAATGCTTCTCAAAAAACACGACAAGCCCTTTGGAACACCTGAAACGCTTCCCAGTTTTAAACAAAGGCTGACGAATCATACAGAATAGGTCATGTACGGACTACAATGTACCTGCCCTTTCACTGCGACACTGATTCGAATACAAAATTGCTTTGGGGCAAAAAGAGACCTTGGTTTAAATTCAATAAGTGATAACAGAGCACCAATTAACTTTTCATTTCGTTTTTATCTCAACCGAAACCCAGGTGACTTAAACTTCTTTGCTTACTTTTGTTAACAGCTCTAAAGCTTTAACAGTCCTGCTGATTGATTTATGAATTGATCATTTTTCCATCGACTTGTTTATAACTCTGGCAAAGAGCCATTCTATATCACAGCCAGCGAACTGAGAAAGTTGCACTTGATTAGTTAGCACTTTCTGCGCGTATGGACGGTACAGCTTTGTCACAAGTGATAAGTGCCTGGGACAAGCCACTGACAAGCGGCAACGACCGAAATCGTATCGGCGTATTGCACTATTCGTAGGCTTTTTAATAGTTTCTTCTTTTTTGCTAATGCTTTTCGTCTGAAGTTATAAGTTTTTGACTAGTTTGACTCATATTATAAAACCTTCTCCCATACACGAGAACAAAATGTTTGTTTAGGGCTGTTAGCTTTTTTTTCAACTTTATTTTAGTTTTTCTATAAATTACTGTTTGTTTTTGAAAACGCCTAGTGAATTTGTAATACGTGATTTGAATTTAAACGTCTTGGCGGTTTTAATTAGAAGAACGTGTAAAAGTTTTTTTGCTCAAGGTTCAGCCCATTTTACACTACGTTTTGAGACTACCCGAAAAACCTGTTGAGTTTACTTCGAACCCCTGAGTATTTTGCTCTCGCTACTACTACAAGCATAAAACACTATTTTTGTCATGGGTTGTGATACTCGTCTGTCATGAATACGTTGGCTGGTAGGTATATACTGCACAGTATAAGAGGTATAATGGGGTATACACTGACGGTGTGAAGTTAGATTTGACAACAGTATCAAGACAATACTGAAAGGATAGGAAAAAAATTGCATAAAACTCCAGAGTTGTTATGTAACCCTCTCCAAAAACACGAGGGAAACAACCTAGTTTAGCTTTGTTTGCGTTTTTTTAATGGTTGCGCATGAGAAAAGAAGCTTTGGTTCTCAATAAAAGTTCTATAAATAATCTCTTGTTTTCATAAACACTAGAGTTTTGTAACCAAGTCACGCGTTAAACATTCTTTGTTTTGCCCACAATCCAGTCCATTTTCGTCTACTGAATTTGTGTTGCTACCAAAACAAGAGTTGACTTCTTTCGCAAGATCCTATGTTGCTTGCTTCACGAGAGTAAACACTATGTATTGTACATAAAAAGTTGTGATTCTTGAAAGTATAGTATATTTGGCTTAAAGAAGGTACCATAAGTAGTCAAAAAGGGCGAAATGTGAAAACAATATACTTAGACAATAGGGTATTAACAATACAGAAAACTCGAGAATTATTAACTTAGCTAAATATGTTTAATTGCAATTAGCTTTGAGTAACACAGTCAGTCAAGTGTCAGTTTTCTGAATACCTATTTTCACTTTTGATACTGACCACAAAATCAACAAGATGAGAAAAAAAATATAAATCTATTTTTTGTTAGTTGTGTTGAAAATAGTTGCTAGATAAGTTTTTACAGGAGAATGTTTATGAAAATCGGAAAAAAAGTCAAAGACGAAAACAACTGTTCTGCAGTTTGTGATCAGGAAGCTCCCGGACAATGCACAAATTAATGGAATGTTTTTATTGGTCAGTGCGGATACGGAATGCCACTTCAGGAACGTTTTGCACTGTAGTCAAGTCCAAAATAGCTCACAAAGCATATAACAAAGACGTCTGATCTGACCGGGGAGGTGCTGTGCTGGTTCTAATTATTTTAAGAAAACAGGTAATGTAGCCTTAAATTATAAAAATGACGTAAGCACAAGGAATATAAAATCAATGAATGATCAGTAAAGGAGGCACAATCCGACGTTTCAGCGAGATGTATTCTCCTGTGGTCTTTGGATGGCTGCTGATTTTTCTCCGCGCTTTGCCTGTACTCAGTATAGACCAATCAGGTAAGAGGTTTACCATGTTATAGTTTAAAACGTTCTTTTATCACTGCGTCCTAATCCTGTGACAAATTTCCAGCATCTTCCTAAATTCATGTATTAAAAAGAAATTAAGAAATTAGAGAACCTCTACAAAATATATAGGAACGGTCTATTTCTCCCTCTGGTTCTCAACAGTAGGTGATACACTTGATCAAACCTTGGCCTCACGCAAAGCGCTGTTTTGTTAAACTGTTTAAATTACTGGCCCAATAGGTTCGACGAGCAAAAACGAAACTCTGCACCGCTTAACACTTTTTGAACACGTTTTGGCCGTCCTTCCCAGAACTATGAAGTGAAATAGTCGAAATACCCTGTTAAAACGTTTTCTTAAGGTGACACAAAATCTCTTTTCACCTTCATTTGACGGAGTGAGCCTTTGATTATTGTGGCTCACGTGTGGCTATAATTAAACGAAATTATCGCCTTGTTTTTGTTAAACAATTGGTTTGGTCGATAAATGAATTTTAGTGATGTTAGCTAACAGATAATTGATCTGATTAATTAACATCGGGTGGTACCAAGTTATCGTTCGACTTCTCTTTCATCTGCTCCATTTAAACAATTTTGCTGGAGTGAAATCGAAAATGACTTACATAATCAAGCTAGCTTGTGGACAAAAAACAATATTATTGTGAATCGTGACACGTTAACATTTTTTAAGAACTTCTACAGCCGGAAACCTGTAGTACTCAACATTCAACTTGAGCGACTAACATTAAGTTGTACCACCCAAGTTTCAACTTCACGTTTGAACATTCAAAGTTAATAATTCAACTCTCAACATTTGACACGACTGACATAATCACGCATTCTTGAAAACTGAGGGCACAGCATTCTACGAAAATACACAACATGTAAGTTGTGCAACCAACATTCAGCTTTTTTTCAGAAAGTAAGAAATTATTATGCTCCCTGGCTAACACCGGAACTAAAAAGGTTGAAGCTACTAACAACTGTCAGAATTGTTGAATTGTTAACTTTGAATGTTGAAACGGGAAGTTGAAAGCTGGGTGCTACAACTTAATGTTAGCCGCTCAAGTTGAATGTTGAGTACCAAAGTTGATTTTTGGTGGGGATTAAGCACCATATTACAGTTACTTTTTGCCATTAAAGAAAGATAAAAAAGGAAACGGGTTGTAATTTTACAAAATTTTATACAGAAAACTATAATTAGTCACGGTTTATGGGTTAATTTTTCAGTTATATCGTGGAAGGAAGGGAGTCGTTTCGGTTCAGGCAGTTGAATTTCCTTTATTTACCATTCTGTTTTTCTCGGTTTCAAACAATATCAAAAACAATTAATAAGTCGACATAGCCCGAGAAAGGTAGAATATTCATGAGCCTCAATAGCATAATAACCTTTAGAAAACTGTTTTCACTGCATACATAATTGTCCCGTGACGCGGGAAATAAGTATCTCCTTTAAATTTTTGCGTGCTGGTGGCATGATGCATTGCGGCCCTTCCTTAGAATTGCTCGGTTTTTGCCAGTGCCTCTTGGCCACTTCAACAGAGTTCAGTGAAAGTGAGTTCTAAGTTTCGCTGTGGTTTCAACCGCCGCCATGAGAGTTTGAATTTATCGTACAGCAAATCGAATCGCTGGGGCTAGAGGTGAATATTTTGGGAGGTGGTAATTGTTATGTGGCTGTCTTCCCACTAGAATCCCTTGCAAAGAATCTTCTGGAAATTTTTAACCTTTAATAATACCACCAACTTATTAATGTGAACACTCGAGTCACTGAAAAATCCGCGCCTACTATAGATTTATTCGTAACCAAAAACAAGGAAAATTATACGCATTCTTGGGTTTGTCACTGACATCGGAATTAGTGACCATTCTCCTCATTACTACCATCCGCCAGGGGCACCCAACGAGAATATAGTTCAAAACCACTTAAACATAGAATTGTTAAACGTATTTTAGTATTTAAACGGTAGATATAGGCATATTTTAATCCCCTAAAAATTTTTGATCTGTTCGGATTTCTTAGCTGAAAGTCTAGTGATCCGAAAATTATAGGGATCAAAACTTAACTTTTCGAAAATTTCAGCCAGGAAAAAGGCTCCCGAAAATTCTAGGTGACCTTTTTAGGGTAAAAATTCGTTAAAAATAGGCAATTATACCATTTTTTAGATGTTTGAAAATCCTAGGAGAGGCAGGCAAGCAAGAAATTTTACAACAAATGTTCCGAAAATTCTAGATCTCAAATCGTCTTCCGAACAGATATTTTTCCGAAAATTGTCTTTGGGTGCCCCTGATCCGCACAGCGCGCAAAGCGCAAATGAAAACTGTGGAGTGTGACTCTTGCTGGGAGCCTAATGGACACAATGGACCAGCGCGTGCTTTATTGACAAGATAGCTTAGCAATACAGTTCAACAATACAAATGATCTTAGAAGTAATACCAAAAAATTACAGAAATTATATAATTTCTACACAAACAAACATTTAAATAATGTGGAACGCGACAAACCGGTAAAAAAACCATTGGGACAAAAAAAAAACCGGGAACGTACTTCTCGATCGAATGCAGTGTATCGAGCTCTGAGGATTAGAGCTTTAGACTAATCTAGGAACTAATAATAAGTTTGGTCACCGACAAGACAACAGCTGTCCAAAAGGCGAGATAGACAAAAATGCTTCTACATCGATGTTTACTGTAACAAATATTCATAACGTATATCAAATGTAGTTACGTAACCTCTATTGAAGGACTGAGTAATTAAGAACAAAAGGTTGACACAAATGTGAAAAGAATGCTACGAACCGTAATGAAACAGTTTTTCAACTACACGTTGTTGCGTTGAAAAACATTTATTATCTATGGAGTTACAAAATTTTGTACTCCCAAAGGGAAACCAAAGATTGTGAAGTCGCGACTATTTAAAATTTTTGATACTTATTCATTCCACGCCGACCTTAGCTTAGCACCCTGGCACCTAGTTCATTTGGAAGGAAATCCAAATCGTGCCTGGGAAATGTGACTTCCATGCACCAAAGCGTAAAAGGAAAGTGAGAAATTATTATGCTCCCTGGCTAAGCTTAAATATTAGCACCCTGGCACCTAGTTCATTTGGAAGGAAATCCAAATCGTGCCTGGGAAATGTCTTTTTAAAAGATTCAATATTCAAGGAGCCTTTTTCTAGTTTCGACCATATATGAGGTCCTAGATATCTAAGAGAATGTTGTCCATAGTTAATAACGTTAAAAATAGGAATATCAAAATCACTGGTAATAACTAGTGCTTTTCTGCTTAAATAGTTCGTCAACTTTGTACATTAATATAGCGATACCTTGTAGTCTTCGATTTAGAAGTGAAGGTACCTCTTCGCGAACCAAAAGGTTTTCGTGTGATTCTGAAGTTAAGAGGCAGTCTCCCTAAAAGCGTTCCACTCGATTTCGGACTCGAAAAAACTTTTGCCTTATAATTTTACCATCAACCTTACTATGCATCCTAATAACGAAATTGCAGTTAGAATGAGGAAATTGTTTATTTTACTGCCATTCTCAGCATTTCATTGCTGGACAGCTGTTAGCGGCTAAAATATGCAAATTTTAGTCTCTGTTATACAGATTTTTCAACGATCGTTCTAAAGTTCTTCGGATCATCAAATCCCAGACTATTTGCACTCATTTTCTTTTGACTGTTCCAATATCATTTAGGCATTACGTTTCTGTAATCAGCAAAAACTGGTCGTCTTTATTTCACTAATCCAATTAAGAAAGCAAACTGTACGAAAAAATGCCTCAAAATCCTCAGTTATGCACCTATCAATGTAAATCCCGCCAGGGGGTGGGGAGTGCGGGCAAGAGGTGGGCATTTGATGCCTGAGACTATCCTCCCTGTCGGGCTTTTGATCGTGCGAAGCTACCCCGGGGTCGGGACATTTGACGTAAACACTTTTCAGTGTAAAACAGAGTGGGGTCTGGGTACCAGATTACATTTGACTTTGACCGACAGAAGCCTGGTATCAATTTAGAAGCGGTTACCAAGTATGTCCGTCAAGGCTTTCTGAAGGTCACGCTGTTGGGGAAAGGTATGAAGTTTTTATTTGTTTTAATCGCCATAGTCGGATACTTTAAACTGTCATCTAACCAGATAATGTCTATTTTGAGAAAGTTCTTATCTTCAAGTTCCCATCTGATTGTAAAACTCGAGTGAAATCGAATTCCACTATGGAAGTCAGAGGATTTTTTACTGGTCACCGGCACCGATTGTACGTTTCATTAATATTATAATAGCACGGCGGTAGCGAAGCTACGTTTTATAGAAAACCCTATATATAATATTTATTGTAGTAAAGTATTAAAATATGCACAATTTCAAGCGTCTTTTTAATTTTAATAGTATCAAGTAAACTCACAACACTGTTGATGTAAAATACAAATATCCACATTTTCAGTCAATCTTCCTGGAGTGATTATGTTGTTCAAAATAAGAGATGCTAGTGGAGAGAGAAAATACTTAATTACAGCGAGTAATTTAACGTAGCTTACGTTAACCTTAAATAAAAGTAGTAATAGCGTACTTTTGAAATGTTCTTTAATTCGTTTTATATAGTATTATAGTATTGCTTGTTTAGATTTTTTCCCCTGGGGTGGGGCTGTTTTGACACTTTTGATTGACCTTTCTTTTCCCACCCTGGGGGATTTGATCAAAAAATTTTTAAATTTTTCAAATCCCCGCCCCTTGCCCGGATTCACATACATCTGAACAACAGCTGAAGGATCTAGGATCACATTTTTAAAAATCGGCCTTTGGACCCTTCGTGTGGATCCAAGTTCATATTGATATCGATTTTACTAATTAAAATTAGGCGCCACCGCGTTTATCATTTCGTTTTTGCGACTTCGACATTTGATACACCAGCCTACCGCGGACAATGTTGTTGAGCCACTCTTAGAGGGTCTTATTGCTTTTTTGTCTGCATACCGAGATGCTATGAAAAAGAATATAAAGACTCAAACACTTCACGAATCTTATGGGGAAAAAAATACAAAAACAAACAGCAAAACAAAAAACTAGCGAGATTGCGTGCAAGGAAACGATGGTCTCGTACAAATTTCCCTAAAATAGTCAAATATAAATCCCCTAGTCGTTCAAAGCTTAACAACTTGACAGGCTAACGGTTTTATTTAGTGGTGGTGTGAACAGGTTACAACTGGACACTGTCAGGCTACTCAGTCACTTCACTCACCGTCCATCACGGAATTGATAGCGTACAGCATTACCAGCATATCACTAGCACTGTACATAGACAATCATATCAGATTTGTTATCGAAGGCCGGTAGATTTATACATCTAAAAATTTATACTGATAGGTATCCGGACACCACCTGCGATCAAGCAAGGAATAAAATCAAGTAATAAAAAGGAAGTTTTTCTGCGAAGCTTTAGCGATAACTGTTGTACGATTACCACAAGAACTACCGAGAAAATCTCAGTCGCTTTATTACGCCTGAAAAAAAGAGGGACTACGCCAAGTGTAACTTTATTTCTTTCGATGATCGGCCTCGACAGGAATGCTTTATAAAAAGATGTGAAGTGTTTAAATGAATATTAAAAAAACGAACTGTTAAAAATGCAATATGATAGACAATAAAAGGATTTTGCAAAATCACAAATCTGTTGCTCGCAAAAAGAGGCTCGAAGCTCGCACAAAATGGCTCCGGCTCGCCGGCTCGCATATTAGTTACTCTCTGAACGTTGATGCAAATGACGCTATGTCGGATGGTAGGTTGTCGTAATTACCCTTGCGAAATCTGTGAACTCTCACATTTCGGCCTCCATCTTAAGCCGTCTTATTCAATTCTAACGCGAGTATAGCTGTGGTTTGGTTTTCTGAGTAATTGAAGGACTGCAGGTGTGTGAAGGTCTGATCCTTGTTATTGGTGTTGCCATCCCCCCTTCGTTATAGTGTGGAAGGCAGGACATTGGTTGGGGCAGGAGCAGTTTCCTCCCATAACTTAGTTCCCCGTGTCGGGACAATAGGTATGCAGTGGGAATACTATACTGTATTTAGCCCGACACTAAAACGAATCCCTAACCAGATGAGATGATTTCACTAGTCATGATGACGTCATGGGTCATTAGCATATTAACTCTAACCCTTACATCAGTTTGTACTATAAGAGGTTTTTAGAAATAAATTATTTTCATAACGCTGGACTATGGCTGTTAGTTGAAAAACACTGCTCATGATTTCATTGCATCTTGCAAAGCAAGACACTAGAATTTGCGTACGGCGACAAAATCAGATTCTTTCAAATGACAATGGAAATACATGTTCGGTGGCACAGTGTCAATGCCAAAAATGATTAAGGCTTTGAACATTTTACAGAATTTGAAAACCCTTCTAGATTTGCACAAGTCATACTCAGCCGAATGTTGAATAATTTTGAAATAACTGGTTTTAACGCCCCCGGATTTCCTATGATTTTCATCTTATTCAATTTTGTATATCAGTGCCTTTTTTGTATTTTGTGTTATTAAATTGAATCGTTGCCTGTTTCATGCAATATGGTAACCAGTTTGCCTATTTTATGACTAAATAAAGCTAAACTGCGTTACAAATGTAGGTCATTTTATGTATGTCATACAGTAGGCGGGTTGCAGTACGTTAAACGGTATTATACCGGATGACGGCCGTGGAGTGGTTGTGTGGGAAAAACATCAGCGTTCAAGCAAGAAATCTGTAAATTATTTTCTGTTTCTAGACGGTGCTGGCCTAAACTAATCCTCTTACTGGAGTCTTTTTAAAATTTTTCTTTTATAGTTCTTTTTTTGGAATTGAATTGAGGGGCCATATTAATAGTAGGTAGGAACGACCAGGCGTAGGAGTGTGTTGAAAGAGTTTTTTGCATTTATTCAGGTGCTGATGATGAATCAAGCGATTGTAGTCTTTTTGTTTCTCATCAAACTGGTAAGGACTTATTTCGATGCGGTTCCTCTGACGCTCCGTGTCAGACGCTACATGCAGCATTACTTAAAGTTAAAGATGGAGGGAAGATTTGTCTTGATGGAAGTGACGGTGAGTCTCATACGCACAGCTGTGAAAGGGTGGAAAGTCCAAGGAGAATGATTTTTTTTCAAATACCAAACAATATAACCATTCAAGGCTGGCGTGGAAGGGCGCACATCTCGTGCATAAAACCTCTCTTTGCCGTATTTAAACACTCGCAAGATATGACAGTCAAGCTAACTCTCGCAAACCTTGTTCTTCGCAACCACAGCCTAGTTTTTAGGTTTAGCACCGTCAATGTCTTTATTACTAACTGTACGTTTATGAACAGCCAAGAAGCATTTGCCATTCTTCAAGCCAGTCACTCTCCTGTGTCAAGAACGCAGTCATCCAGTCTCATCATCAGCGACTCAGAATTCTTAAATAATACCGTATCCGTCTTGGTTGTTATGTTTCATGGGGAACTTACCTTAAACATATCGAGGTGCGTCTTTCAGGGCGGAGTGGATGGCGTACGTCTCGATGGAACCTCCTCGAACATAACGGCATCAGCAGCGGTGTACATTAAAGTTATTGGGGGGAAATCCCGAAACACGACGGCAAAAGCAGAAGGCTTTATCATCGATTCCGTTTTTCGTGAACTTGGTCACGAAAATAATGGCTTTGCATTGTCATTTCTGTCTAACGGTAACATCTTTACCAACGGAACTTTGAGAATATATAACACCACATTCTTGCACAACAAAAATGCTGTATTAGTTGATAGAGGTTTAGACGCACAACTAGAGAATGTGAAGATTGATTCTACGAACGGGAATGCCATACGCGTTAATAACCTTTCCACAGTCTCAACTACAAGATCATCCAGTCTTCTGATCAGCAACTCAGAATTCTTTAATAACAGTGAATCCGTCTTCGTGGTTCTGTATAAGGGGGTGTTCACATTAAACATATCGAGATGTATTTTTCAGGGAAAGATGGGGCGATTTAATGGAACCTCCTGGGATAAAACGACCATGGCTGCAGTGTACGTCAAATTAGTAAACCAATCGCGAGAATCGACGGTACAGGCAGTCGGCCATATCACGGATTCCGTCTTTCGTGAGCTTGGCCACGAGAACAATGGTTTCGCATTATCATTACGGGCTTACAATTACTTCTCTACCGCTGGAAATTTAACATTATATAACACCACATTTCTAAGGAACGAAAATGCCATATCCGTGACTGGTGGATTTGACGTTCGACTGTCAAAAGTGAAAATCCATTCCACTTATGGGTACGCATTTGTGGCCAGTGGACCTCCAAAACGAAAAGAAACGGATGCTGATTTAAGGGTGTTTCTGGAACTCTGCATTTTCTGGAACAACAAAATTGGCGTTCGAATGGCGGCCAACATTTGCCTGAATGATGTCCTTGTTTGTATGGCTAGCAGCCAATCGCTAGTTGTCAAAGACAGTTTTTTTATCGGCGGTAATGAGACGCGGGGTACGGGTGATGCAATCAGATTCCAGGTGTACTCGGATTATTTATACAGACCACCATTTATCAAGGGTGAGCTTATCCTCGAAAACGTCACTTTCCAAGAGTTACACAACAGCGCTCTGTATGTACGCATGCAGAAGAACGTTATAGGGCAAGTATTTGTGAAGGACTGCAAGTTTGTGAACAATTCGGCACTCATTGAGCGCCTTAGTGAACAGCCAACTGTAAAAATTGAATTTGACGAAGAGGATCCTCCGAAGTGTTTGAACAACGACAAACTGGTGTGGAAAAATAGATCTCAGATACGGGTGATATTCCAAGATAGCGTTATCGAAGATAACGTTGGTATCTCGGGAGCACTGAACTTTTTGAACGGAAACGTTTTTTTGATAAACTGCACTTTCAAAAACAACGAAGGTTTGACTATGGGGGGACATATTTATATGAAAACAGGCTTCGGTATTCTTCACATTGTGAACAGTACCTTCCTCCAGACGCGCTTGAATCGGTTTTCTGATACAAAGCAACGCGGAATCGGCTCAAGTAATGGGTGTTTCGTAGTCACAGACAGCACCGGCCCTTTAACTATTTCAAATTCGTCTTTTACAGCAAATGTCAACATAAACTTTCATCCATTTTTAAAGGCTTCTACCAGTAGTCGGATTAAAATTGATGGTGCTTCCTACCTTCGATGCCCACCCAGAAGGAGGGTCAAACTAGATAAAGTCCAACAAAACTTAACTGAGGGTCTTGACTTTACCGAGGGAAACAAGACATGCTGGATTAGGTTAAACTACTTCAAGGAGTCTTGCGAAGAGTGTCCCGATAGGTTTTATAGTCTTCAGAGAGGACTGGCAACTGGTATGAATGTAAGCAAGGGAACTGAGTGCCTCGAATGTCCCTACGGAGCCACTTGTGAACATGGAAACGTTAAAGCGAAAGAAAACTTTTGGGGCATGAACGTTTCAGCAAGTTTTCCTAAAATGCAGTTTTTCCCCTGTCCTTTAGGATATTGTGGCAGTCCGAGCGATTCCAGTGATTACGTTTACAATGCCTGTCATGGAAACAGGAGTGGCGTGCTCTGTGGCAAGTGTTCTGATGGGTACAGTGAAACGCTATATTCACCCTTATGTAGAGAGAAAGAGAAATGTAACGATCACTGGTTTTGGCTAGCTACTACAATTTACGTGGTTTTCCTGGCACTTTACCTCGTCTTCAAGCCTCCCATTTTCTCAGAGCTATACAAGCATAGTCTGTGGTTTACGAGAAGAACAGAGATATTTGATGTACAGCAATTGCGACCTTACAATGATCAAAACCACGATCCTGGATACCTGAAGATTATTTTCTATTTTTATCAAGTAGTTGAGCTGGTAATGGTGAATTCTCCAGAAACGACTCTTACCATGGTTCCAATTATCCCATCCGTGATAGCAATTTTCAATTTCCAGGTTAAGACATTGAACGGTAGAATTGGCTGTCCATTTCCTGGCCTCACTGCCGTCACCAAGGCTCTCTTTCAGTGTACGAAGTTCCTGGGAACTTTACTTTCGATTGGTTTTGTTTATGTCATCCATCGAGCTGCCAGCACGTCCAGATACATTTCAGTACCATCGCTATCATTATACCTGGCTGTTGCTTTGGAAACACTGTTGCTTGGTTATGAAAGACTTGCTGATACATCCCTTAAGCTTATGCATTGTGTTCCTGTTGATAAGGATTGGCGCCTTTTCGTTGATGGTAACATTCAATGTTGGCAGTCGTGGCAGTTCCTGATGATCGGGTTTATAGTGGCATTTATCGTTCCTCTTATCCTGGTTCTCTTCTGGGGATCACTGCTGCTCGCCAAAGACCAATTGACTGCTAAAGAATTTTTACTGGCTTGTGCATTCCCTCTACCTCGCCTCGTCACCTGGACTATACGGCACGTTAGAAGGAGAGATTCTGAACGTGAAGTGTGCTCCCGCAGTGATACCGATGAAATTAAGAAGGTTCTCTATGGTCCATTTCGTGAATCCTCTTCCGGCGACCATAGCACCCTGTACTGGGAAAGCGTTCTGACTGGCCGGCGATTGTTACTGTTGATCATTCATACCTTTGCTACCGATCCTATAATACGCTTCGTCTGCTTAAACTGCGCATGCGTTTTGATTCTTGTCCATCATCTTGCAATGAGACCATTCCGCGACCGGAAAGCCAATGTCTGCGAAGGTCTTTCCCTGCTGAGCCTGGTTGTCATCTGCTCGTTCAGTTTGGCTGAAGCCACCTATATATCCGAGGGATTGGATCCTACAGAAAAGAATCAAAACCTCTTTCGTGTTTTGCAGTGGATCGAGATAGTCCTGATTGGGTTGTTACCAGCGGCAGCCTGCATTCTTGTGATTTTTGCGACGTTGTCTCAAGTCGTTCGGTTGCTGTACCAATGTATTGGATGCCTGTTACGAGTCATACCGTGCAGATGCCTCATCATGCAGTTGTGGATGCCGCGTCGACTACCGCGTAATTGGGATCAGGAAAACAGAGAAATAATAGTGTAACCCTTAATAGCAATATGCTGATAAACGTTTTGCAATAACAGAGCGATCTTTCGCGCGCTAATTGGTCAAGAGCTATGGTCCTTGAGACTATAGACCATGGAAAGGACGTGAAGATGACGTAATTTTTTACTCTTCCTCTTGCGCGTGATTTTCCAAGAAACTTCATTGGAAATGGACGTCAAAAACTGTGCATGTTATTGTAAAAAACAAATCGACAACAATATTTTCCATTTCTATACTCATATATTGTCCATAGAGAAGGCGTCAAAATTTCAAAACTTTGCTGTGAAATCACTCTCATACGGCTCGTAGTTCTACTTGATCATGAGTTTTGCAGACGCCATTTCTATGGTCAATAATAGAAGAGACCTCAGAAACATTTCTGTCGATTTGTTAAATATATGTAGACGTTCCTTATAGATACGGCAACTTTGTCGTTTTAATAAACGTTATAGTACAATAGTGTTACTTAACTTCAAACGTTTAGTTGGGCAATGTAACCAAGACTTAATACTACACAAAAATGAACAACGGAGTCTGTATCAACAGAAGTTCATCCTAGTAGCCACCAAGTTGTACTAATTAACTTACTCTGTTAGAATTAAGGAACAACTGTTAAAAGGTGTCTTTGACTTAGACACGTACGAGCTGAAGAAGTACACCTAAACTTGAAAAGTCGAACGACGTTTTCAATTTTGTTTGAGATAAAATCATTCAAAAAGTACAGTGAATGTGATTTTGAAAAATTCCTTTAGTGATCCCAGAGCATTGGACGAGAAATTGGCTTTGGCTTGAAATTGCAGTTCAAGTAACGAGACCTAAATTTAAAAAAACTGACAGTTACAAATGTTCACGTGAAAATCGGCCTTGCACATGCGTCCTCTTTCCTCGAGAGTTGCATGACTTTTTGCGTTTTTGTGCACTAAGTAATTAATAAGATAGGTAAAATTAGAACTGTAAACTAAAGCCATAAATCGCTATATTAGAAGAATACCGTTATCAATTTTCGGCTTCGAACGGTAGGCGTTACTAGTACCTAGTAAATGAAAGGTCGATTAAAATTCACTTACACGGTGCCTTTTTTAACAAATATCTCTTACAAAGAAAGACTAATGTCTGTAAACCTACTTCCTGTGTGCTACTGGCACGAGTTACTAGATCTAGTATACTTTTACAAGGCCACGCATAACATGATTCACTTAGACCCGTCGGTTGTTCCCTTCGTGCAGGAATGCGCGCGAAGGACCCGTATATCCGTAACGAGCTCTCAATCTTTTGTGCCTAAAAAATGCAGGACTTCTACCTTTCAGAAATCTTTTTTCATTAGAACCACTAGTATCCGGAACCTGCTTATGGACTTGACTTAGACAATGTTACTTTTGAGAACTTTAAATCTTTTGTTTACGGTTATTACTCGCGGGCTCTAGCAATAAACTATGACCCGAACTCTCCAAGGAGCTTCATAAGTATTTGCCTGAAATGTAACACAGCCAGGTTTTAGATCAGGAAATTAGCTGCTGCATGTGATTTAAATTGCTACTTTTATATCTTTTTGTTTTTTGGGTCTGCAGTAATTGGCTTTAGCTGTTGCGGTGTCCCTGCCCTAATATTTGAGTTATTATTAGTGTATTGTTACGTTCTTATTACTAGTGTTTGCATATCTACAGTGTTTTTTTTTTGTATTCTTCGGGGCAAAGCTAATAAAATAAAATAAAATAAAAAATAACCATATTTTTTAAAGCACAGAGATAGACGTCGCCCTGATCAGGAGCCACATGAGTCTTACTACCTCAACGGTTTTTAGTGCTGAAAGTAAGTGAAGTCACTAAGTTTTGAAAGCCTGTATGACGAACCTCTGTTGTGCGGCCAAACCTTCAGTACCCCCAGGGGGACTGCCTTATTAAATGGCGGTTTTATTTTATGGCTGAATCCGCGAGCAGATAAGATGAAGAAAATCCTGGACTATGTTCACTGGTGAAAGGTCCTCAAAATGCATTACGAACAACTCAGACTCTTACCCAGTCGCTATTAATGTGTTTTGTGGGTGAGAGGAGATTAGAGTTAGGTTGAGGCGCGCGGGTTGTCATGGGAAGGGAAGAAGGAAAAATAGTGACGTTATTTTTTTCCTCGTCCTTTCCCATGAGTCCCCGCGCGCTTCAACCTAACACCAATTTTCTCTCACCCCAAGAGCTCATCAAAGTCGACTGAGTACGATTCTGGCTCAGTGATCACTATACTGGACACTAAAGAGGCAACACCGCTTTCTTATTGTTCGTAATATCAAATTCTCACATTTAGCAGCGTTTTCAATTGACGTCACATCCGCCATATAAACCTTTTGCAATAACAAAGCGATCTTTCGCGCACTAATTGGTCAAGAGCAATGGTCGATGAGAGTATAGGCCATTGAAATGAAACTTTAGTGCCAATGGACGTCAAAAACTGTTAATATTATTGTAAAAAAAACAATCGACAACAATTTTCCATCTCTATACTCTTAAATGGTCCATAGAAATGAAGTCAAAATGTTCAAAACTTGCAGTGAAATCACTCTCATACGGCTCCTGGTTCCACTTGATGATGAGTTTTGAACATTTTGACGTCATTTCCGGGCCTCTATGGTCGATAATAGAATAGACCATGACATTTCTGTCGATTTTTTAAATAAATGTAGACGTTCCCGCTAGTTGCTTCCAAATATAGATATAAATAACAGTGTTACTTAAGTTCGTTTAGTTTAGTTAGGCAGTGTTACCTGAGTACTACCTAAAAATGAACAAAGGAGTCTGTATCAACAAAAATTCATCCTAACAGCGACCAAGTCGTAAGGTAGAAAACCAATTCTAAGGTGTCTTTGACTTGGACACGTACGAGAAAGAAGTACATTGAAACTTGTAAAGTCGATTGACGTTTCCAATTTTGTTCGAGATAAAATCGTTCAAAAAGTACAGTGAATATGATTTTGAAAAATGGCTGTGTAATTCCCAGGCAGTGTTCTAGAAATTGGCGTTGACTCGAAATTGTAGTTATTTTAAAATAGTTACGTGACCGAAATGTGAAAAACTGACAGTTTTATATGGTCACGTGAAAATGTGCCTCGCGCATGCGTTCTCTTTGCATGAGAGGTGCATGGCTTGTACTATTTTCTCCTCGTCTCTTCCCTTTACTCCATGCGCTCCTCAACCTCACCTTTATCTTTCCTCACCCCAAGAGCACATCAACAGCCACTGAGTACGATTCTGGCTCTGTGATCACTATATTGGACACTAAAGAGGCAAGGAAGCTTTCTTATTGTTCATAAATATAAAAATCTCACATTAGGGAGCATTTTCACATGACGTCACATCCGCTATATTGGTGTCCCAAAATATTTAACCGGCGGACATGTTGCTGTCACAAACTGACTAATCTTGAGGAAGTTGAACCTTTTTCTTATGTAAGAACTTTCTTTTATTTTAGTAAAATTTTCATAGCTGTCGGCCACGTGAGTGAAAAAGCTGATAGTGCCCTCATTAAAATGGGTAACTAATTTTCCTGACTCCCACTCTTTCTTTTCTTTTAACATCTTTTTAAAACTTTAGAAAACTGATAAAACCTAATCCCCCATAACCGCGACTGCGAAAATTGATTTTCTATCTTCGCAGTATAAATATTACCCGCTCAAATCAAGGTGCATGGTGTTTTGAACTTGAAGCAATAGCAAGTGGGGGTGGGGGAGATATGGCCAAGATTTCGACTGTGTGAGTGGCAGTAAGTTTCAGTATCTACTCGCAAAGTGACCAGTATATTCCCTCAGCCTTCTGAAAGCCACAGATACCTGAGCAAATTGCCCCTGATTTCTTTCTTTGTCTCAGTACAAGTAGACTGTCCCGCATGAAATAAGAGTATTGGATGGTTGCTATGAAAACAAATTTTGTCTTTTGATATGCAAATATGCAACAGTTCTTTGAAGAAAGCGACAGATCATGAGCGTAAAAGTTTTTTTTTTTATACAACAGACGGTGTTATTCAACTGGGCTCCCTCTCAAAACAGTCCTCTGTTTCATCGCATTATTTTTTTGGCTGTTGTTTCGTCTGCTTATCTCAAAAGGTTGTCTAAAAATGACAAAAATATCAGCCACGCTCAATTAACAAAATTCGCAGAAATACCCTTCCTATGCCCGCTTCAACACCGGAGTATTGTTCACAATAAAAGGCATTGTTTCAACAAAAAACAGCGCTGAATTGTCTTTACAAATCACAAAAATTCTTCTTGAGATATTTTCAAGTACAGGTAATTTCCGTTCTGTACTACGCAAGAGAAGAGCGCGGCTTTTGAATTATTTATACTGATGTCTGATGCATGATGCATGAGTCTGTAGAAAAAGTTGGCTTTGCTTATTTTCCCTGTCGAGAATAAAAACCAATTGATATTGTTAAAACTTGCTTTTGGTAATTAATACAAGATCGGATTTTCGTGTTTTTGGATCGCTGGATAGTAGAACCACTTGTAAAACAAATCGCTAATGTTGACTGTCAGTGTTACTGTTGGCAGACCTTTATTTGCACTCTAGGATTAAATATCCTCCTGGGGACTCAGGAAAGTAGGAAATAATTTTAGTGGGTGACGTGTTAAAATCAACTACCGTGACAGCCAGTGAAATATTTTGCAATTTAAATTGGTTTTTCCGTTTCAATTTTTGACAGGCAACGTGAGAGCCTCCGTTGAAATTTTACAAGTGTTCATCATCTGTAAGGAACCGTGGGCGATCACGGATGCTTCAGTCGAATCTAGACGTGTATGTCGGAGTGTCTCTATGGTCTTTTGAAACTGTGAGTATTTTTAAAGGGCCAAGCTTTGCGTAATCGTGCGGTCGTGCCCACTACACCTCCGTCAAGAGCCAAAGGTTTCTTTTGCCACAGTTAAATCAACCGAAGAACTGGTCGAGCGGAAATAAGAGTTTAAGAATATTCATCGAACAACTGATTACCCAAGGCCCCAGAAGATCGACTAAAGAGGGATGACGACGGAGAGCAAACTGTCTTGGCCAGTTGTCAATTTCAGCTGATATTCGCGGGAAATTTACTTGGCGAACATGATGAGTCGGTCATCAGATGACAGCGATGAACAAGAATTAGACGATGAAATTTTTTCAACGCTCCGAGGTAGGTGACCTGTCTGCCAAATGAATACTGTACAGATATTGGAAGTTTTTTGACACTCGCATTTTCCGCTCTTCATCGAAATAGAGCGATAATGGCTACGACAGAGTCTCTAAACGCGAAAATCGTCTGTCAGCCATTTGCGAGCGTGAAACTTTTGTAAACAATGGATCTGTTCATATCAAATATTAAAGTTTCATCAGGATTAAACCGTTCCTTCGGTTGACAAGATACACAATAATGTTTCCATTGAGAGCAATATCTTGCAGTTCTTCGCGTAATATGTATCGTATAAACTCAGTAATCAACAGAAGGCCATTTTAAAAACTTAAAATTGTTCGAACAGCTTTTAACAAAATTCTTTGGTATGAAATACGGACAAACATATATACAAACATAACAGATCTGTGAATCCCTTCACAGTTAATCTCTTCGTACAAGAGCACAGAAAAAGGAAAAGGCGATATTGTGGAGTTCTGGCTTAAGGGATCTTAATAAATTGATACTTCCGAGACAATAAAACGGCGGGAGGTGGAAAAATTTATATCGAAATAGTTTGTATAAATTTTCCTTTTATTTTTTAATTGGAACCAGGGATTTTGCTGATTACAGAGACCCCAGGCTAAAAGTTTCAGAGCGGTCGAGATGAAAAATTTTATAGCGTGATCGAAGCAGTTACGAACTCTCGTACTGTTTTCCTTTCGAAACGTTTATTAAGACCATTAGCAACAAATGAAGTGATTTTCCCTAGAAAAGAGGAACACAAATAATCATTTCAATATACCCTAAGATGAATTGCTTTTTTTCTGCATAGCTTTTGCTTATCTATAAACAATAATGCGATCACAGAATTATTTTTGTCGTATGAGAGCGGCTTTCCGCATGTGCCGAACATTTCCGCGCCTTTTCAGTTAGCGCCCTTCTGGGAACGGATGTTTATTTTTGAGAATACAAATTAGTTTCTTTTGTGTGACACGAGGACAGGGAACATTTTGTTTCGTTGTTTCTTGTGGCAAATCAGTCTCTGTTCTTTTTTTCTTTCACTTTTCTCCGAAGTGGAAATTGGGTTTCTAATTGCCTGGCTTTTTCTGCATAAATCTTAAAATTATGTAGCTCCAGGAAATCTTCTTTTTCTTATCGTACTTTTCCACTTATCCATTGTTTCCTTAATCATATTATTCATTTAATTTATCCAAGGGAAGGAGACACATTTTATCATTGCCAAACCCCTGGTGCCATATTATTGACTCGAGACTGAAAAATGCGAAAACAATGCCACCCCAATTTTTTTTCCTTGTGCGTCTACTGTTGTGAGGAAGTCAGTATTAATTTCAAGAACTTTTGACTTCGTGCAAGCTATAACGAAAATTGGACTCTGAAGTCTCTAACATTATGTATTCAACGTTGATCAAGGAGCTGATTAGAATTCACTATCGTTTGTAGTTTCATTTTGTAGGTAAATAGCATAAATGATGACGAATACAAATGGTCAATTTGAATAAAAAAGTGGTTTTCATGTCAGTTTTATCATGTAAATACAGCTTGACATTTCGTTTGCTTTTGAGAAACCTCATTTTTGTTTTAATTTCAAAACAAAGTTTTACACAAGGTATGAAAATAAATTTCTTCTAGACCGCCTATTTTTGCTCTCCTTTTGATATCTTCGTTTGCCCGATACCGCTCATTACGCAGTGCAGTTCGTTAGGAGTGCAATCTACTTAATCAAAAGGTCAACAATAACAATATTCGTGCGTTCAATTTCGCACGTGCCGGAGTTTATGGGCGATTGAAAAATGTTAACACATGTGGACTTGGCTAAAATCTTGCAACAACTTGTTTTTTTCCCAAACGTTCCACATATTAATGACAAAAGATTTCCACAATGAACAGATCCATAGCGAAGAAGCGCTTAGTAACTTTTGATGTTTTGCTTGCTTTTCCATTGACGTAGAACTTACAGCCATATTTTGTTATTAATAACTGAAGGTAAACCCCCGCCTTACAAACACACTCCTTTTGCAAACAGACGGCCGGGCTTTCTTTTTTCGCGGATGCGTAAGTCAAAGAAACAGCAGGAGTCTGTGCGGAGGAGAGCGGAACTCTAAAACCGACGATTTTCACGCTTTGCTGACTTTCACGAAGCCTCCCACGCAGGCGTATTTAGAGGACTCCGTTTAAAACACCTTCGGGGGAGGCTAATGCATGCTAATGCTAATGCATTTGCATGTGATATCAGGAGCCATAATCGGGGTAGGAGACCGCAAGCGTGGGTTCCACGCGGTTCTATCGAACTAGCCAAATGTGCTATGTTTAGAATTAAACAAAATCAGGAGCCATGACAAATGCACAATGCTCAACGTCACAAACTCGCGCGGGAACCGGCGAATTTGCGCGACTATTCTGTTCCAGGCGTTCAGATAGTAGAGCGCAGCGGTCAGTGGGGAGCGAGTTCAATTGTACTGCGCGACTCTCGTGTCGAATTTCAGGAGGTGGGCGATCCCCTGGAAGATCGTTTTGCGACTTAATTTGAGTGCTTTGTTATCTTTCCAAGTGCTTCATATCTCGGGAGGCAATGCATGTACTGTAGAAGAATGAGCTAGTTGTTATATTAATATTACTAGAAATACGTTTACGTAAAAGCCTCGCGAAGCTGTAATGAGTCAGCAGTAAGAATAAAGGGAAACAAGCCAAGGTGAAAAATATGATTGAAAACAAAATAAAAAACAAAACAAAAAAAATCCAACAACAACTACAAAAAAGGCTTAGTAGAGAACTTGGTCCATCTTCACGGAAGGTCGACTCCTAGACCACTGCGCCACGCTGCCAAGGATTAACTTAAGTAGGAAAATTATCATATTATGTACAGTAATATTTCCGTGATATTCTGCCAGTAGACGCTGTTTGAAGCTGGTGGAGCTGTGTTTATCATTAATTAAAAGATATATTTGAGGAAAATTAGTTATGATTATTTAATTTGTTGTTGTGAACTTTCCTTATTTGTTTGTTTCGTCCGAACGGGATATGATTCGTCGCACGTCCGAATTTCCGACATCTCTTCGTCACTGGATTTGTCAAAAACACTTCCACTACGGTGTTTAACATAAGCAGAATGACATTCACAGTCCTTACACTTAGGATTATGGTCGAGAAGGTTCTGCTCAAGGTTTCGCCTCAAATTCAGAGGAGGCAGCAGGAGATGAATAAATTCTATTTCTGTCATCACGGAGGTAATTTCTAACGCCATTTTTTTTAATCCTTTGCTCGGCGCCTTCGGAAAAAAAGCACGCGTGTCGCACGAGATAGCACAATTTTTGCTAAAAATAACACATTTGGCTATTTCGATGGAACCAACCCCATTACTGGAAAGGATATCCAGTTACGGTCTTCTACCCCGATTATGGTTCCTGGTTATATATTTAGGAAGGTTGCTGCCTTATCTGGAGGATAAGGTGATTTCCTCTGGAATTTAGATCTTACGGCATAACCACTTATAAACCATTTGCAAAGGCGTTAAGGCGTCATGAAATGTAGACTGCGAGCAGCCTCTCTTTTCTTCAGATTTTTTGAGGGGAGAGCACGCGCCTCTCCCGTCGCGCGCCTTCATTCACGCGGTGGCCATTTTCGCGTCTTGCGCGTTTCGCTCGACGGACTAAGAGAAAAGAGAGACTACTCGTAAACTACATGAAATGGCCTTAAATCAGGCACTGAGTCTGCGCAAGAAATGCCCGGTCAGTAATAGGCTCATTACCAACACAGCTATATTAATAGAATCCTAAGAGCGAGTAGAAAGTGATCAGTTAAAATAGGTATCGTGAAAAAAGTTTACTTTTCTGAAGTTTCTCCATTCTTATTCTAATCCACAGACGTGGAGACATTTCTTTACCAACTGGCGGGGGAATCGCTTCAGTTAAACCACGAAAAGAAACGAGACGAACTGTTAGAAAATGTCATGGATCTGAGAAGAAAGCTAAGAGAGCACAGAAATCTTTCCACGGCTACAAATGGAGTCAGATCTCCCAGGCCGAAGAGAAAAAGTTTTCCTTTTGCGACTGTTAAAGACAGCATGCACTCTTACACAGCGCATTTACAAAAAATTGGGGTAAATGGGAAATTAAAGCCTCCCGGCTCACCTGAAGTCCAGCGCGTCGACAAACCTCAAATGCGCGCGCGATCAGTCTCTTGTCCCGAAATACGCTTTTCTCTCCACGGTCATGCGTGGAGGACATCACTTCCAAAGGTGCCTGAAAACGAAGAACTAAACGTCGATAGCGATGAAGGGTCCTAGCATGATAGCGCTAGGGAATACCCGACAAAGTCGCGCTATATTTCCGTTTGATGAGGTTCAAGCACTTTCTGATCGATGACTCAAACCGCAGATAGCCTTAAATTCGGCAAATGCAACATCATGGTTTTCGATTTCAAGGGGCGTTGGCTGTAAGAATCCGGAAAAATACGCTTGGTTATTTCGTCCATTCGGGCGCGTTCGTGATTGTTCAAGTTTCAGATAAGTAACACCCTACACTCTTGTGAATATTTAACATGTGACCGTACATTTGACTGTTAACTAAGGATCGAGAACTGAACCTGCAAGCTAAGGCGAGGTAACGTGAAAATAAGGGTGTGTTCCGCTGGGATGATCAGAACCACTGATCCGAGATCACTCGGATCATCGCACATCAAAGGAACTGACGAATCCACCCTCGCAAAGGATTCATCAGTTTATTTGATGTACCCTGATCCGAGAAAAGATTATGGATTACTGATCCTGGGGCCCGTTTCTCGAAGCTCCCGGTAATTACCGGGCCCGTTAAGCTGTTTTGTTTTCCATTTTAGAAGGGAGTTTTAGAAGTTTTGAAAATTATACAGTAGAGTTATTAGCTAACGAAACAAAATGGACTTCATTAGAGGACAGAACACACCCTACTTTTCTTGAGACTTTGATTCAAAAATATGATTCCGGGCCCGTTAAGTTACCGGGACTTTCGAGAAACGGGCCCCAGATACGGATCATTTTAGAGGGAAACACTCCACGATCTGACAAGTAGAGTCTTCTAACTTCCGAAAATCTGCTTCGGTGGGCGTGGACTCCGCACTAAATTAAGTTGGAATTGGAAGCACATGGTGATATAACGGGAGCAATAGTTTGCCTTAAGAGTAGATATAATATTGAATAACAGTAGCCTGTTCCGTGCGTTCAGATAGTAGAGCGCGGTGTTCAGATTTTGGGGAGCGAGTTAAATCGTACGCGGGGAAAACCAGGGGAGACTTTTCCTTCTCTAGTCTTTCTTCGTTTTTTTGTTTCCTCGTCAATTTTTCGCCCGCGCTGTACGATCTGAACGCCTCCAACAGGCTGACTGACAAGTAGTTATCGTTGAGCAGTTAGTGAGAGTTATCGTTCAAGTGATATAGGACGTTTCGTAAAGAACGATGATGATGATGAACTTTATTTAAAAGAGTCTGGTCTTCTAGCTGGTCTGGTAAGGCCCCCTAATAGGGTGCACTAACTAAAATACCACCAAACTAACTACTTAATATAAGAAAAATATTTACCAAGAATTTCGATTTTAAGACGTTTTGAAGCTTAAAAAAGCGAGTAAATTCAAAACATATTTTGATCAACACTGCTAAGTCAGTTGTTTTGAAACGCTTTATTTTTAGTCCGGATATACATATAAGACCCCCAGATATAAGCCCATAGGTCAGTCCATAGCTTATAAGCAGACGTTTACGGTAATCAGAGAGAGCACAACAACGTTTACAAACTTTGAAGTTTGGCGTTTATCGGCCCAGTATTGAACAAGATACAGTATTCAAAAGTGTCCGGAAATCCCGTGCGAGGTCATAACATCTCTTAGTCAATTTTCAAGTTTTGAATCGCTGTATCTTGTTCAATATTGGCCCGATCAACACTAGACCTATGAATCATTTTTTGTTTAATTAATTTGCTCTTTTGAAGATAAAGAAATCAGATGTATATATATAGAGAGAGCATGATGGCAGGCTAATTTGGACAATCTCGTACCCAGTTTTCCTAGGTTTTAACCAGGCTATTAACGGAATTTTGTATAATTGACCTATTAAAGTCTGTTAAAGTTACGTTGTAGAACCACTGTTTGCTTTTTTTGTGTGTCCTCACGCAGAGCACTAAAGGGGGTTTCATCCCATATTCCTTGCCATTACATCGTCCCAGCGTCCTATGTAAACCGTCGCACTGGGGATCTCATGAGGAAGTATCACAAAAATGTCGCCCATTTTAACTTCTTTTGACATGAACACACACGATCGGTTGATTATTATCCTCAAAAAGAATGGGGGACTTAAAAATTTGTAATAACATCCTTGTTGCTGGCCTATGAGTCATAAATTCAGGCTCAAGGGATTAGAACATGTAAAAAGAAGACAAAGGATCACAACAAATCGAATCACTTCACACAACTTTCGCCAGGTCATAAAAGGTCATTGAGCATTTGTCACTTAATGATGGGCTTTTACGCTAGCTGCGTTGTCTCGCTCATTATGTCGAGACACCATGTGACTTTTTCTCTTTCCCACTCGAACCAAACATTACATAACTATAAGCATTAAACACACGTCATAAGGCATAAATTATGAACTACAAGAAGTTTATGTTGGCACTGATAAACGTCTATTTTCAGCATTTAATCGGAGCTATTTTAAGTTGACGTCCATCCTCAGAGATTAGCTGGTATCAAAACTGATATATGTTTTTCACAAGGTCACGTACACAAGCAGTTCGTCTTATCAGGGGCACCCAACGACGGTTTCCTCCTAAATACATTGAAAACTCTTTTTAGGCTATCCATTGTGCTCTTAGATCTTTATAAATGTATTCTGAACGGCGCTATAAAATGTTTACCTGTTCGGTCATCGTAGGGAAACTTGAGTCTTTGCGAAATTACAAGGGCTTCAGTATTATTTTCCCGAAAATTTAAGATGCAATTGAACTAATTACGAAAGTGTTTCTGAATCCAAACATTTAAGGTTTCCTTTTCTCTTCCAAAAATGGTCTAATCTGTGCAGTGAAAATGTGAAAAATCAAACTTCAGAAAATCATAGGGAATTTATAAGCTTCGAAAAATGTACGTGATTGGAATGGTTATCTTAGCCTGCGAGCAAGCTCTCCGGAGCGCTCTGGCGGCGGGGAGGGAAAAAGAAGGAGACCTTGCAACTACGTCTCTGGAATCTGCATCGAAAAAGTCGATGCGAAATACTGATTGGCGGAGATGACAGTTCCATCTTTCACGTGTTTTTCAATGTTTGTTTACATTCACGCTCGTTTCCGCTTCGCGCTGATTGGCGGAAATCTGACAGCTTAGTCGACAAAGTACCACAGGCTCTCCTTCCTTTTACCCCCCCCCCCCCCCCCACCCATCCTCCCGTCCCTAGAGCGCCCCGGAGAGCTTGGTCGCGGGCTAAGGTCATCTAGAAAGTTTTAATCCAGGAAAACCTCGGCACGAGGTTGGTTTTAGCCGTCCTCAAGTAATAGAAAACCTAACACATGACTTGGGGTCGATCCTCGGCCATATGAAATTTTGAATTTTAGTCATCCCGAGTCTTTTTGCTGGATAAATATTTCAACAGAAATTGAGGGTTGGCACCTATGCAAAGGGATGCAAGCCTCTTTAAAGATCTAAAATCTGGAAAATCTCTCTCTTTTGCATCTCCCCCGCCCCGATAAACACTATCGGTGGCGTCGTGAAATGTTGGCTGCTTTCTCGGGCTGGTCATCTTGGGGGTATTCCCCTTGTTTCCCGGCCGGATCAGCGATGCGCAGGAAATGTGCGGGAAAGAAACTGGGCACTAGGTGAGCCCACGTCATTTTCCGCTGAGACAACATGGCGGTTCCTGCATATGCTGGGTTGCCCATGTGATGGCAAACGTCGTAAAATACAGAATTTTTGTGAAAGATGGGGACAATTTTGCCACTGGAAGCAACTTGGAAACATGTCTGGCTAACTACCTTGCCTTTTTGAGTCCTATAGTTGACGACTTCATTTGGCAAAACGAGCCGTTCTTCCTTCACGCCAAGTCTGGGAAAGGTAAATTGTGTCGGCTAAATCCGCAGAATACCTGGCCACTGAGCTGACTGTAATCTAACAATCTGTGTTATCTATAATTTTCAAAGCACACCGATGCATAAGCGTGACAAACCAATTTAAACGGGTCAGGAGTTGCCAGATATTCTGCAGCTAAGCTTTTCCAGCGATTGTATAAAAAAATGAAATAGAATAAAATAAAAATTAAGGTTTTTGACATCAAATGCAGCTGGAATAATTGCCACTCCAAACTGCCACAATATGGGAGAGGTGCCTGAAGCAGATGTCATTGGTTAGTGTTGATTTAAAAGGGTAAAAGTACATGAAATCACGAAAACTCAAGACTAATAAAGGCAAAACCACTAGACAACAACAATCCCGGCAGGGGCAGGGGGGTGAGTGTACTCCTCTATATGGCCTATACATGGATGTGCCCCATTACAGGGTATGCAGGGTTGTCAAAATGCGCCCGCAACCGGCGCTATTACCGGCTACTTTAAGGTTTTTGTCACCTGTAACCTGGGAAACACATATCTCTACTGATATGTGTTCCCCTACCTTAGAAACACATATCCCTAGTGATACCTAAGGATATATGTTCCCCACCTGGGAAACACATATCTCTAGTTATATGTGTTCCCCCACCTGGGAAACACATATTCCTAGTGATACATGTTCCCCTACCTGGGAAACACATATCCCTAGAGATATGTGTTCCCCCACCTAGGAAACACATATTCCTAGTGGTACATGTTCCCCTACCTGGGAAACACATATCCCTAGTGATATGTGTTCCCCCACCTGGGAAACATGAAAACAAACTTCTCTGTTGTTACCAATCTGGTTTTCGCACACTCCACTTCACGGTTACTGCATTGATTGAAGCCACAGATAGCTGGTCTTTGAACATCGACCGCGGCTTTGTCAATGCAGTTGTCTTCTTAGACCTTAAAAAGGCTTTCGACATGGTAAACAATGCTATTCTTCTTTCAAAACCTCAAGCATATGGTATCCATGATTCTGCTCATAAATGGTTCTGTTCTTATTTGAGAAATCGTATACAAACATGTGTGTGTGTGTGTTATGGAACAACTTGCCTCTGAAGGTGTGGCAATTGACATCCCCTAGTATATTTGAGGGAAAATTAAGAGACATAAATTTCCATTGACAAATAATTTGGGGCCTATTTTGTTTTTTTTACTATATTGAAAAAAGGTGACCATCTTTATTATTTTACTTTTTATCTTAGATTTTAGATTAGTTAGGAACTTAGTTTCTCTATACTTGAATGTAAATGTAACTGAAGAAAATACCATGTATAAATAAAGTTCCCTTACCTTACCTTACCTTACCTTACCTTATCCCTAGTGATATGTGTTCTCCTACCTGGGAAACACATAAAGATTTAGGGAAACACATATCCCTAGTGATATGTGTTTAACTGGCAAACATATAGTCCCTAGAGCCATGGCTTGCAGGGAACAAACATATCACTAAATATGTGACTCACCTGGGACACATATTTTTAGTGATTGGGTTTAGGCAAAGACTGTCCCTAGTGATATGTGAAAGGAATCCTGTGAAACAGATGAAATAGGGATATCCCTAGTGATAGTGATTTTCCCCACCTGGGAAACAAGTTTTACTAGTGATTTGTGTTCCCAACGGGAAAGAGATATCCCTAGTGATATGTGTTCCCCTACCTGGGAAACACATTTCCCTAGTGACATGTGTTCTCCTACCTGGGAAACACATATCCCTAGTGATATTTGTTCCCCCCTACCTGGGAAACACATATCCCTAGTGATATGTGTTCCCCCCTACCTGGCAAACACATATCCCTAGAGCCATGTGTTCCCCCACCTGGGAAACATATCCCTAGTGATATGTGTTCCCCCACCTGGGAAACACATATTCCTAGTGATATGTGTTTCCCCACCTGGGAAACACATATCCCTAGTGATATGTGTTCCCCCACCTGTGAAACAGATATCCCTAGTCATATGTGTTCCCCCACCTGGGAAACAAGTTTTACTAGTGATTTATGTTCCCCTACCTGGGAAACACATTTCCTTAGTGACATGTGTTCCCCAACGTGGGAAAGAGATATCCCTAGTGCTATGTGTTCCCCCACCTGGGAACACATTTCCTTAGTGACATGTGTTCCCCAACGTGGGAAACAGATATCCCTAGTGACATGTGTTCCTCAACGTGGGAAACACATATCCCTAGTGATATGTGTTCCCCCACCTGGGAAACACACATTCCTAGTGATATGTGTTCCCCCACCTGGAAAACACATATCCGTAGTGATATGTGTTCCCCCACCTGGGAGCACATCCGTAGTGATATGTGTTCCCCCACCTGGGAAACAAGTTTTACTAGTGATTTGGGAAACTGGGAAACATATCCGTAGTGACAGTGTCATGTGAAACACATATCCCTAGTGATATTGTACCTGGGAAAAACAGATATCCCTAGTATAGTGATATGTTCCCCACCTGGGAAAAACACATATTCCTGGAAAAACACATATAGTGATATGTGTTCCCCCACCTGGGAAACGCATATTCCTAGTGATATGTGTTCCCCCACCTGGGAAACACACATTCCTAGTGATATTTGTTTCCCCACCTGGGAAACACATATCCCTAGTGATATGTGTTTCCCTTTTCTTTAGGAGTACAGGATTGGCTTAATTTGTCATCAATTTTTTTTTCTGTTTCGCATTCCTGATCGAACCATTTGTTTTGTGGTTTGCATTTAACTTTTCTGTCTCTTGCTTTAGTTCATCCGGCTTCTTTGCATGTTTCCACCAAAGTGTCACTTAGTAATTCAGACACAGTATTGATGCTATCATGTTTGACAGCTGCTACTTACCTGGATTGAAGTGTTTATCAGTATCAATAGTGATATGTCTTCCCCTACCAGCCCTGCCGGGAAACACATGCCAGCTACTTTCTCTTATTCTCCTGCTACTTAAAATCTTTTTGACAACCCTGGGTATGGCTTTAGTTCTCTCTGTCCCAAACAGGGAATATAATTCTTTGCGTGTCTGTCCTAATAACAAGGTATTGCCTGTGTATGTATGATTGATTTGATTTGCTTGATGCATTTGTCCTGAATAGGGTGGTTAAGCTGAGGAAAGGTATCTATGTTATGATTTTTCTGTCCTAAACAGGGTCAGGCTTTCAACCTCCCATCTGCTCATGTATACCCAAATACTGGCCAAGTACCCACCCCCCCACCCCCTGGGGGGATGAACCAGTGACACATTCAAACCTTGTTGTTTGATCTTTTTTTGTTCTCAGGAGATGAAGTCCCTGCTCATCTTTATGGGAAGACAGAGTTTGGTGACAATGTTGACAACGAATGGTTTATAGTTTCTCTCCTCCTTCAACTGTCAAAAGTTTTTCCTGAGACATGCATTAGGTGAGATAATTATGCTCTCAGTGGTATTTATAGCTCAAATGAAACATAGCAAGGTTTAATAAGAATACCAATTGCCAGGAGGCAAACTCATTAGCTACTTACAAGAACAAATACACCCAGAGAACAAATCTGCTGAGTTAGGATAGGACTTGAACTTGGAGTCTTACATATTGTGGTCACCGGAGTTTAATTACAGGTGCAGGTGTGGCTGTATTTTAAGTTATTTGATTAGGTACAGGGTTCGAGATACAGTGTATCGAGTCACACCTGCATGTTAACAGTTGCATGTCCATCTTTTCAGTAGCCTTAAGCATGAAAGTTTCATACTGATGACGCTTACCCAGATCCAGATCTGGCTAGTGCTTCTGATTGGTCGTGCCACATGGAAAATTTGCTTTGCCCAATCACAACTACTACCCAGTTCTGGTTAGCATCAGTATGGAATATCTGCACTTCTTTCTCAAACATCATTTCACAGGAAAACCAGTGGTGGTTGTTGCAAGATGTCGGCTGTTTACTCAGGCTATCTTTTCAGCTGCTCCGACATACTTTCTCTCTGTAGGCGCTCTGTCTCTACTAGTTAATGTACATCATCACTCTTTGAATTACTAGTATAATCTTTCAACGTGTATCTTCCTTAGTTTGATTGTACTAACATTCTTTTCTTGTAATTTTCAAATTTCAGTTTATCTGACAATGATGGGGAATTTCTGTTGATTGAGGCTGCTCATTTCCTTCCAAGATGGCTTAAACCAGAGAACAGCAAAAACAGAGTAAGTTAGCTGTTAAACATGTAGAATTCAATAACATCAAGGTTATCATTAAAGACTGTGGCTCCTCCTACCTTCAGTCTTCCATGTTTGAAAAAAAAAATAGATTTCTTGTTTGTCTCATCAAGTATCTTTATATCCTCATGAAATATAATATGTAATTAGCCTTGTGGAAGGCACAACATAAATTATATTTCTCCTGCTTTAAAACTGTTTGAAACTTTGAGGGCAGATACTGGTGATTAATTTTATTGCCATTCACTGGACTTGTTTTAATTATGAGAAAAAATCAGCTCACATGTGCCTGAATAAATTATTCAATTTCTTTTATTCAGGAAAATAAGAATGCAAAACAAAAAAAATTGTAGTAAGAACTGAAATCTTTCTCTAAATATCAAGGCCCAAAAAGTATCTTATGTAAGGAATTGTTGACCTGTTACACTGTTATGCTTACTGGAAATTTTTCAAGAACCCAGTCAGTTATACATTCCTAAGTTATGAATTTGAACAGTCCTCGTTACAATTGAAAATCGTGTTTGTGGGACAGGAAAAAATGGTTACTTTCAAGATGACCTTGGGTAAAATGTACTAGAAAATGATAAAACTCATTTTTGTAATGAGATTTTTGTTTTGTTTCAGGTTTTTATTCATGATGGAAGAGTTCACATCATCCCTATCCCTTCTACCCCTGGGGAATTACCAGTTTACCCAACTGGTACCCCCACAGTTTTCCAAGCTCTTCAATTAGTATTTGGTGTTCATAACACTGTAGCAGCTGCAAAAATTCAAACTGCAATTAATCAGAGGATTAACAGGTATGAAGGTTGAGTTGATTTTGTATAGTCAGTTCTTGTGAAATCCCAATGTCTTTTACTAGAGGGATCTTAATTCATATAGAGCTACAAGGGAAAAATGAGTGAAAATTTTCAACTCAAGTTTGCGTCAGTCAGTGATTATCAGACCAATTCAAATTCTAGGATGATATTGTAACAAATATCATCAAAAAGTTTCATAAATGTCTTAAAATTTAATCAATTTCAGCTTGCTTTAACTGTGACATGCATCTTGCGTGTGATACTTTTTTCAGGTGCATGCACTTCAATTTAATGTCTAACAACAACTGTGCAGTGCAGAGGTTTTGTGAACACTGAAAAAGGATTGTTTACCCGAAAAATCAGTTTCTGGATAATTTCTTAATAATTTGTGAGAGTATCATCCTATAAGCTATCTTACTTAATTGTCAACCATCACTAACAGTTTTACCATTAACAATTCAAATACTGCCTGGGTTCTTTAACCCATTCGCCCCTGAACCACCCATAACCGCCCGTGCGGATCCAGGTCCTTTCTACCCTTTGTGACGTCATCAGTTTTAACGGTCAAGGACAACTTTCCTCACTAACTTATGCAGAATGAAGAGATCTCTCAAACCATACCAGAATGAGCACAATTCAGTCAAGGACACCGGAGAAAGAAGCAAAAAACCACGTGACATTGACCTGAAAATCTCCATGAAAATCTTGTTCCATTACCCGCCTACCTTTCCTTTCACCTAATCCTAAGATCCTAAACGCTTTCCTAAAAACTCTTCCCACCAAAATGAAGCCTACTAAATGCCCAGCAAGAGAAAAAAAAATGAGGCAAGGAAAGCGAAAAAAGAAGGGAGGAGAGAAAGCGAAAAGAAATTTTGCTTTCTGTGCATGCCCGAACTTCGCAAGCTAATATTTTGCATCTGGATCAGAAGGCCGCCAAGTGTACGACCTGTAAACGGGTTTGTGGTAAGTTTTAGCTCTTTATAGCACGACAGTGACCAGAAAACCACTCGACTAGCTTCAAAACAGAGCGAATGGGTTAAACCAGACATATATTTGAGTGATCAACTGCAGAGAGGTAGTCAAGAGTTCTGGGAACCTTATTGGCTTGAGTTTGTAAAGTTGTATATTTCCTTATGATACCAATATCTAAAATTTTCAAGAAACCAAAGAGGGTTTACTTCAGATTCAATTTGGGTTATTCTAGCCCCAGGGATTTTCATATTCAACCCCATTTGATCATTCCTGTTGGTTTAAAAACCAGGTACACCCTGGGCTATCAAATCTCTACAGGTCACGGCCTTGTATGGCCTTATTGAACAACATGCACTTCTCATGGATCAGTTTTTATACTGTTTAGTATAATTTTAACAAAAACTTTCTTTTAATCATTGCAGTCTTTCAGAACAGTCCTTAAATACCTTCCACCATGCACATTGTTACATACCAGCAGAAATAAAATATCTTCTTGATCAAAAACCATCCTTGATCAGCCCCATTGTGCGAGCATTTTGTGAACGGGATCCTATTGACACGAAGGTTTGTCACATTTATACACATATTTCTTTTTTGTATAGATGTACCACTGTATTTACTTGAAGCAGTTATTTTCTCCTTATTAATAGAAAATTCCTTTTTGACTTTCTAAATTTGGCACCTAGGATCACGGCATGTCTTATTTCCAGTATACATGTTTTTATTTTGGTATTAGAAATAGCTACAGTAACTGTAAATTTTTACTAGAAGACTGGGATATATTTAGATAAGGAAATACAGGTTGTAGGTAGTTTGAAACAGCTTTTATCTTAAATAAAATTCATGTAGACTGTGCTTGTATTAGGAAAATGGCCACTCTCTTTCAATTGGTGTAACTTTCTGATTTGTAACATAATGCAGGGGTTTCAATTATAACTTTTTCCATAAGTGGCTTTGGATGGTGGCATAGGCACCTGTACATAATTAAGTAATAACTATATTTCACAGCCATGTATACCTTACTATACCTTGTATACCTTACTATAGGAAATTAACGCTCTATGAAATTAAGGTACTGGAAATTAACATGACTCAAATTAATGCAAATTTAATGGAAAACGACTTTCAAATAAAGGAAATTAAAGTGAGAGAGAGGATAGCATTTTGAAATGAAGGAAATTGCAAAGAAACAAAACTTGTTGAGACATCAGGAACAAAGAAAAACATATAATCTGAAATGGACACTTTGTTCGTGGTACTTTCCCTAGGCGTACAAATGGCTAAAGCAAATACACAAATACATCTGGTGCCACTTTGGATGTTTTTTACAGTTTCAATGATACTGGCAGATTTCCACCCAGATAAACTACCCTCCTTTCTTAATAGGTGTCAAGAATGTCAAAAAGTTTATCACGAATTTGGAGCCAAAATGATGGAAATTAAGGTCATGGAAATTAATACTCTACTTAATTAATGACACACAATGTAGTTTATAAAAATTAACGTGACTTTTGAAATTCGCATTAATTTTTTGAAGCGTGAATTTCCTATAATAAGGTATAGAATAAATCTTAACAGACGGTTTTAAGAGGCCTCATAAGCAGCAGTAGAATGCTGATAAACGGCATTTATTGAGACCAGCCCTGATAGTGGAATGGTTAGCTTAGACATCTTCCTAGTTTTTCAGAAAATAAACTGTTAGTATCTCTCCTTGTGTCAACAGGCGTGTAGGAAAATGGAACAGTTTACCATAGAAAGAAGATTGATTGCTAGGGTATGTCATGTGAGACTAATCTCGGATTAATCCCACTAAGGGTAATCTTGTTGCAGGATTTCAATTCACAGGGACTTATGTTAGTTCTCTTCTGAATTATTATTATTATTATTATTATTATTATTATTATTTCATTTAGCATGACATTATCTTATAGATATAGAGTCAAAATAGCAAACCATTTTTGAAAAAGATTTAAGTAATAAGTCATTGAATAACTGTTTACTAGAGAATGATGTTCAACTGCCATGTTCTCTTGTAGATACGTTTTACTCGGTGTCTCTTTGCTCAGTTATCTCAACAACCATTCAAACCAGAGAGACGCTGCTCAGGATGGACTTTGCCTGCTATATCTAATCCACAGTACAAAGCTCATGAGTTGGGTCTGAAATTGGTATTTATGGTTATATTACTTCATTGTTGTGCTGTATCTGTTTATTTTAATAATTTTATTAGTAGATTCTTTAATTAGATCAGTGCTAGAGTGGGTTTACAGAATAATAGTGCATATGATATGCAACATGAGACTATATTTTTGGGGGGGTATGAAATGCATCAAATAAAATAAAGGGGTTCCCTGGAATAAAGTCTTAGGTGACTTATGATAAACTGCTAGATTTTTTTTCCAAGTTACCTTGTATGTACTGGTACTTGGACTTGATCAGGAGTAATTGATTAGAGGCCTTACTCCACACACCCGGTCAATTTTGCTATTCTGGGCCCAGTTGCTCAAAGGCCGATTAGCTCTTAACCCGGGTTTCTTTTTCTTGTGTTCAAAAGCATTTTCTCGGATAATTTTCTCTGGTATTTTTAGAGCTTCCAATCATCAACTTGTAGACAAAAAGAATTAAAACTGAAATGCTTTTTAAGCTTTCAAATCTGAATTCAAATCTCGCACTAACACTGGGTTATCTTAACCCAGCTTTGAACAACTCGACCCTGTTTCACATTCACTGTAATAATATTAATGTTCTCCCGTGAACAAGTACCTACCTACTTAGACTGCAAGCAGTCTCTCTTTCTCTTGAGGGTTTAGTGAGGGGAGTACACGCATGCATGAGCGTCGAGTGATGAAGCTGCGAGTCGTGAGAAACGCGTAGCCATTTGCGCGAGAAATGCGTAGTCATTTGTCTCATGAGGTTTGCTTGATGGACCAAGAAAAAAGAGAGACTGCTCATAGTCTACCATCCACTTGGCCAAACTAACAAAGTGCGCCTCCTTCCCTTTCCTCATTTTATTGAATAGAACAATAACACCAATAACGTCTGTTCCTTTTCTCACTTTTATTTATTTATTTGAATCTTTGACTGCACCAGGCAAGTTTAAATTTGAATATTTGGAATCATCTTGTATTTGCATTGCCTGTCCAATTTAATCTCTGTCCATACTCGATACAGTGTCTGACCTGTTAGAGTGGTACTTGTAGTTTAGTAGTTTAGCATCTGTTAGCAGCAGTCAGCCAAAGGAACATGTTTAACTACCGTCTGTCAGAGAGGAGTCCATGAACAGAGATTTTGCTCCATCACTAAGTTGATTATTGTTTGTTTCAAGGCATGTGGATTTCAGATCTTGTGTAAAAGAAATGAAATGAAAGGACCCGGTGCACAGGTAGATAAAAACCTTGTAATTGATGACACTTAAGTCAGCCAGTAAATATCAGTATAGATTTGTGATGAAAAATGTTACTTTTCACGTAAATTTGATGATCAATTAAGAAATAACCATTTTTAATGATGTGTAGAACTTTGTGTTGCATTGTTGTTTTTTCTTAATTGTTTAACCTTAAGGAGCCAAGTGATCCTAAAGGCTCAAGGCAATGGGAGACATTTCTGACTTGTCTGACAAAGCAAGGTTATTTCAAGGTAGGCAATAATCAAGCAGATGTGGTGTTAACTCTTTGAATGGAAAATTGATTGCCATTTTAAAACTGTATCTCTTTTGCCAAATTAGTGTTTCATTTCCTTTCCATGTTTTGGTCTTCTGTTGAATTTAAAGTAATACAACAGTATTGGAAAGTGGCTAATACTTGAAACATTTTACTTTGTAGGGTGAAATAGAGGGTTCAAAACTGTACCAAGACCTCCTTTTGAAGGCAAAGCAGCAGTTTAAGGAAAATTTTACGGTGGAAAACAGGTTATTTAAGCCTTGAAATATCTTACTGGACAGTCTGGACGGCATCAAAGACGTCGTGAATAAAGCAAAAACAGCACCGTTCGCTTCCATCACACTTCTTGTTACATATCTTTGCCGTCACTGCATGACTACGACCTGGGTTTTTCTTTTTCTTGGCGTTTTTCAAGAACACAAATAAGCAAAAATGCGAGCGCGTGCGAAAGGTGCCACACGCGAGGCAAAGCGAGTAGCGCGTGTCACCTTCCTCGATCGTGGGCGGCGATTTCACGCGCTCTCTGAAAGTAGGGACTACTCGACGTCTACTCTAGCCTCCCACGCAGACTTCCGTTATTGCCATTACAATGATAAAAACTTTACAATATTAAAAGAGATATCCTAAATAAAATACACAGTCTACTACGTCGCAGACGTCGTTTGCTCGTCAGGCATTCCTCGTGTTGGTGGGGGAAGAACGCGTGACGAAACCTACGAACGAAAAACGTCTGCGTGGTAAACTGCAGCCTCTCTAAGTATCTGAAAGGTTCATGTAAATGAAATTTGGACAGTTTTATGATCAAAATCTCTCCAATTCAAACTTTTTTCTCTAACTTTTTTAAATAAAGGTCTGAGCCTGGAGAAGTCATCCTTAGAATCTTGAAAGATGCTAAAATAGACGTTGAAAAGATGAAAGAAGAACCACTTCTTCCTGAGGATGGTGAGTAAGATATATCTCTGAGAATTACAAATCACAAAACTTTGTTATATAGAAAAACTGTTTTGTGCAAATTCTTTTTCACAATTTTGTCGCACAGCGTATCATCTGAAACGGGGTCATGCTCACCTGCGTAGCAAGCGATTTGGTGGGAGTTCGTCGAGAAAGTTTTTTCACTCCCTTTCTAACTACTTAGCGAACTCGCGCTAGGGTCATGCAGGTCAATGTTTCACTGCAACTCCATTTTTTCTGACTGGAACTAAAATGAAAAACTGTGGATTTTGAAGTAATTCCGTCAAGTTGCACCCAATATAGCTTGTCTCAGGCGTTCAGAAACAGTGGAATCCCGTTAACGCGACCATCGTTGGGCCATAAAATCCTGGTCGTAATATTACCTTCAAAATAATGAAATGACTCAAGGATTTTTACGTTTGGGTCGACAGAATATGGTCGTAATAACGGGGTGGTCGCATTAACGGGGTGGCTGTAAGGCGGGGCTCCATTGTAGTGCCGGAGAGTGGTGCGAAATGGAGAGCAGATGACAAAAAGGCGGAAGGAAGGAGGAGGGAGAGAGTAGGTTCCTTCAACTTCTCTCCCTACCCCCACCCTTAGCTGTTTCTCCTTCTCCCTTTTCTTTGCGCCGTACGTCCATTGGCATAGTCTTTCCTCTTGAGAATAATAAACAGGTCGTTTCGATACAAACTCAAGCAGTGAAACTGCACAAACATTTTGCTCACTTCAAATATAGTTTGCGAGTGAACAAAAAAAAAAAGAAACATTTTGGGTGAATATCTTCGTTCTTTAAGCAAAATACGTGGAACTATTTTTACACCTCAAATGAATAAACTTGTACCGAAACAACTGTGTATCGAAACGACTTGTAACCGATAGACCTAAGACTATGCCTTCCTTTAGGCCGGAGAAGGATAGCCTTCTAGCCAGGAAAACTTCACATAACTCCTCACAGGGGAAGTGTAACGTGAGAGCTCATCTTTCACTCACTTAAACAGGAGCTGTTGATTCTCTCTTTTCCTTTCATTTTTGGCTGCTGAATACGCAGATGATATCTGGCTAAATTTGTCTGACCAAGACTTGGAAGACATCCTTTCAAAATACAGTGATCCCAAGTCAACGCAAAATGGAACTGAAGATGAAACGATAAATAGTGAAAGTGTACTTTATGGAGATGTGAGTACCGTGGCTGTGTTTGTGTGTGTGTGTTTTTGCATTGGTTCATGTTATCTCTTTGAAAATGTAACTGAACTTTGAATAAGTTTGTTTCTTCCGTCTTTCGGGGTCTACAGTCAATTCCTGATTCTATCTAAGACAGATACTAGGGGACCGGCACTAAGTAAGTGTCCGTCTAAAAGAGGTGTTCGTCTTAGCCCTTTAAGTCCCAATATCCACATATAAATTCTCCATACTGATCTTCACATATTTCCTTAAAGAATTAGGGGAGAGAGTTTGATAACATATCAAGGCATTTTCTCTTTACGGTGATCATTTTATTAATTCTCATAACCATTTCCCTTTCCAATATGTGGATATTGTTAGGAGAAGATTGATGTTGGTCACTATTGAGACTTAAAGGGTTAAGGGAGTAAAGAAAGGCGTCGACCAACTCTAGGTGTCTGTTTTACAGAGGTGTCCGGCTTATAGGTGTCCGTTAAGAGACAGTCGACTATATAAGGTGTTATACTGGCGGTGGCATAAACAGTTCACTTTCGTCCATTTAGTGGGACAGGAACGCGTGACGAACTCCTAAGAACTTGGGAGGCTAACGTAGACTCTCTTCTCTTCTCCCGATTTTTCTGAGGGATGGTGGAAAGAAGTCTGTACACAGGCTAATTCATGAACAATTCTCAGCTGTAACAGTCTCACGTCTATCTGTGCATTCTGGGTATCAACACGGTTAAGCTATTCCGGAGACCGAACTGAACCGCACGGAAACCGGTCGTTGCGATACAAAGTCGTTTCGATATGAGTGTTTTCGATACGAACTCAAGAAGTGAAATTGCACAAAAAACATCGTTCACTTTAAGTATAGTTTGCGCGTGAACAAGAAAAGTATTTTGGGTGAATATTTTTCGTTCTTTAAGCCAAGTACGTCGAACTATGTACACCTCAACTGAAAATACTTGTATCGAAACGACCGGTAATCAACCGAACTTTTATAAACGTGACGACTGTATTAGCAAGGTAGTGCTTACATTAACGTTTCTCCATGTAACCTTTTGTTTTTGTGTCGTTCATTTTCCAGCAGAGAAGTGCTGTCGACCTTGATAAAGTGACTCGAAGTTTGAAATCATTTGTGGATAAAGTGTCAAGTTATGAAGGAGCAGAATTTCCAGGGTAAGGGTTTTTTTTATAGTTTTAAGTGTTCGCCGCGTATCAGCAAGTCATGAACACATGCTTTGCTGTCGTTATCAGTGCGAATGACTAACTCTGCACTAAGACAAAAGGAAAAGCAGGATAAAAGGATAAGCAGTGAAAACATTCGTGCCACAAACTACATGTGGATTATGTATGTTGGTTATTGCTTTCATTAATGTGGTGGCTCCTAAAGGAGCCGTTTGTTTGCAAGCGACTTATGCTCGCTCTCCACGGATTCGGCGGGCCAACTGAATGTCCTTGGGCATAATGGTCACGCGCTTGGCGTGGATGGCGCACAAGTTGGTGTCTTCAAACAGACCGACAAGATAAGCCTCGCTTGCCTCTTGAAGAGCCATCACGGCAGAACTCTGGAAGCGCAAGTCGGTCTTGAAGTCCTGAGCGATTTCTCGCACAAGACGCTGGAATGGAAGTTTGCGTATCAACAGCTCGGTAGATTTCTGGTAACGACGGATCTCACGAAGGGCGACTGTACCGGGCCTGTAACGATGAGGTTTCTTGACTCCACCAGTGGCAGGCGCGCTCTTACGAGCTGCCTTTGTGGCTAGCTGTTTGCGTGGAGCTTTTCCACCAGTTGATTTGCGAGCAGTTTGCTTTGTACGCGCCATCTTTGAAGACTTGAATATCAAGGAATAAAAACAAGAACTCACCGGTTAAATTTATATATGGCGGGCTTCTTTCCGATTGGTTCAGAGTTAAGGTATTTGATTGGCTCATTATAAATCTTTCACAGATGGGTGTTCAAAGTTCGATCCGACGTAGTTATAATGATCGACCTTAGCCAGGATTTTGGCTTAAAATGATATTCTGCGGCAAATGAACTGCCTAAGTTACTACTAAACTGATCGTTCGTAGGCTTATACTGCACTATCGATCAAATGCTGGATGATTCTTACGCAGCTAACGTGACTTGCCTGTAGCATATTTTGCATTCGTTTATCTATTATTAAACTGACCCTTGGACCCTATAATCGTCCAATAGGAAGATGTTATCGTGTAATGCTTTCTGAGAGGTCGTTCTTTGCCTTATAAAACCGTCGAGCCGGAGACTATCGGTTATTACTCGATTCTTTGAATTGTGTTAAGCATGTCTGGTCGCGGCAAAGGAGGCAAAGGCCTCGGAAAAGGAGGCGCCAAGCGTCACCGAAAGATCCTTCGGGACAACATTCAAGGCATCACCAAGCCTGCTATCCGTCGTCTTGCTCGCCGTGGCGGTGTCAAGCGTATCTCTGGCTTGATTTATGAAGAGACTCGTGGAGTTCTCAAAGTTTTCCTTGAGAATGTCATCCGTGATGCTGTGACTTACACCGAGCACGCCAAACGCAAGACCGTGACCGCCATGGATGTGGTGTACGCTCTCAAGCGCCAAGGACGTACCCTGTACGGATTCGGAGGTTAAACTACACGTACACCGTCATTACAACAAAAACGGCTCTTTTAGGAGCCACCAAATTCCTAAAAATCATGACCAATAAACCGATTCTCAATCTTTTTGAGTTGAAACATCAAGCGCGCAAGTCTTACTAGTCCAATAAGTTTCAGGTATCTCAAACAAACGGTGATTCACGTAGACTGTACACAGGCGTTGTTTTATTTTTCTTTTCGAAAACATCGGCGAGCGCTGACTGTCAATAAGTATTTTTTATCACGCGCACACGACGGACGTTGAAGACAAAATAGAGGATCTGTGAAGAGGCTATGATTCACGCGAATCATGATGGCAGTTTCATTTATTTCTTAATTTCTTACCCTAGCTTCAGAGGTCTTTTCTCAGAATAAGGGAGGAGTCCAAAGGTTTCCCATCGTTTAAATTATGAAATATGTAGCTCCCGAGACCGGACTTCTGATCTCTTCGTGCGTGGAGCTTCATAGCGCGCTGCGCATCATTGCTTGTTCGGCTTTCAGCTGATGTCGTTTAAGATTCTAGGGTTTATTGTGACTGTTTTCCCCCCTATTTTAGCCTATTCCAGGCGTTAAGAAACAGGCTACCCCTACAGCAACCTAGTCTTTCATTTTAAAAATTGATGTCTTGTGTTACACAGGCTAGTGTTTTGCGACAGGCGGTGTGCGTCACGACCCACAAAGGTTCATGGGTAAACCTGTTACTGTGCCTCATTTCAATCGTGACACGGTCGAGTTCGCATCTCGTGAGAGAAATTAATCAAACCCAGCGATCAAAACACTGCTGCCTTTTCCGAAAAACATTACGGAAGAGAACGATTTCGAGAATTTTCAAGATCTCATAGTGGCGTTAGATGATTGCTATTGGCTTCATAAGGCAATTTCAAGAAGTTTATCGCGATTCGGAGACGATCGTGCGATCTAGCCGACTTTGAGCGGCGACTAATTTCCTGCTTGTCATAAGATTTTATGTACTGTTTGGTTTATATGTATGTTTTTATCTCATAGTGAAAGAGATCTGTAGTTCATACCTGGATTTGCTTAACTAAAAAAAAAAAAAATTCGTCCATTAGAAGTGTTTATATATTTGATGGACTTTGTTACCGGCAAAGCAGGGGAGCGCGTGCAAACAGCAAGGTGAGAAATCGTCTCTCATAACAATTTTATTTTCATCGACAAGTTTATATTATTTTGAAAACAGTGCCCGTTTGAAATCCTTATGCGCAAATAAATCTTCTATCAGGCAGGGGGGAAAACAGACCGAAAAGAGCCGAACAGCTGCAGGACAATCGGAATTTCACCGAAGCTACAGCCGCAGAAATAAACAGTGAAATAAACCACGATCTTGTCTGTGCGGTCATTAAAGTGAGCGCAGTATATCGATTTTGTTATAAAGTAAAACCTAACCTCAAAGAGAGATTTATAACAATTTATTCCCTCACATAAGTTTACACAAAGATTTGCATACACGTAGCACACACCGCATGCAAATTATTTTAAAGTCACGCTTTCAGTTTCCGCACTGGGTTATGAAAAATGTTTTGTTTCCAAAGGTTATTACAATATTCAAACTTATTTACCTTTTGTGGTTTAAAATAGAACAAAGTCTTCCTGGATTTGGCGTTACTCGCTTCACGTCGGCTTCCGCTTCGACATGTTTTCACAGCGCGTTTCCCGGGAGTTATGCCACTTGGCTGAGACGATGTCTTAATTCCAAGACACTTTCAACGGCTCATAACGGGAAAACTAAAGGGGGTAGACCCAGGTAGACCCCGAAATTTGCAAAAGAAGAAAGGTTGAAGTAACAAGATGGCCAAAATAATGCTATAAAACCGCTAACAGTAACCTGCAATAAATCCAAGAAGAACGGGGAAAACAAAACTCAAATAATCATGGCCGCCTGCACATGACCGAGCAATTCAAACTTGTCACAAACGCTCAAGAAAGCAAAATATTTAAAAGTAACGCAACTGCTATTAAGATAAAGTGTTCCAACAACTTTCCACGGCGGTATAGTGTCGAAATTGCCAACACAAGCTTGGAATAAAGCGAAAATTTCACCACGTATACCTCTGAAAACAGCTCTTTCCGAGCGCGAAAATCACTCTACAAATGACGCATTCTGATTGGTCGAATCTCGTGACGCACACCGCCTGGTTTTGCGACAGAAAGCAGCGGGCGCAATTTTTGTAACGGATCGTGAGTCCCGTTTCCGCCCGCGCGTACGCTTCGGTAATTCATTCAAGTGGCTGTTCTAATTTACATTTGAATGAAGGATTGAAAAGAAAGCAAATGTTCACCAACTCAATTCAAGCAAACAAGAGTAAACTTTGAAAGAGACAGATCAAAAGAATTTTTTTTCCGTGTACGGAAAGTAGACCCGCTTAAATTCGGCACAAGGGGCTCCGGAGTTCGGTCGTTTCGATACAAGTCGTTAAGATACGAACTCGGGCAGTGATATTGCACAAAAATTTCGATCACTTCAAGTATATAGTTTGCGGGTCTGCATGAAAAACATTTTGGGTGAATATTCTTACGTGGAACTATTTACACCTAAACTGAATAAACGTGTATCGAAACGACCGTAAACCGGGACTCCTGGCTTATTAAATGTCTTCAAATAACTTCAGAGAAACCTTTTCTTATCATTGACGGCATTTTGCTGGTGCAATAAATGAATTAGGCGTTTTATCTGTATGTCTTTTTTGTTCGTTTCCTCATTGGTTTTATGACTGCATTCTCTGTTGGTTTTGACTTTCATAACATTTGGTGGCTCCTAAAAGAGCCGTTTGTTTGTAAGTGAAAGCTTCAGTTTAAGCTTTCGCCTTCTTCTCAGTCTTCTTGGGCAGAAGAACAGCCTGGATGTTGGGAAGAACACCTCCTTGGGCGATGGTGACACCGGCGAGAAGCTTGTTCAACTCTTCGTCATTACGGACGGCCAGCTGAAGGTGACGAGGGATGATTCTTGTCTTCTTGTTGTCACGAGCAGCGTTGCCCGCCAACTCGAGGATCTCAGCGCTCAAATACTCGAGCACAGCCGCCAAGTAAACTGGAGCACCTGCACCAACACGCTCGGCATAGTTGCCTTTGCGAAGAAGACGGTGAATACGACCGACAGGGAACTGAAGCCCTGCTCGGGATGATCGGCTCTTGGACTTGGTGCCCTTGGCTTTGCCTTTACCGCGACCAGACATTTTGGATAGTTCGAATTGATAGTTTGTGTACTTTACGAGGACTCAGAAATGAGCAATGTTAGGCGATCTGCACTTTTTATAATGAGCTGTTTAACATACAGGATCGAAATGCACCAATCAAAACTTGTTCATTTAATATGCTTGTTCATATGAATCATAAGTTGACCGAGGAGGTCACAGTATTGAAAGAAATGTGAAACCGGCCAATCACTGAACGAGTTTTTCGATCCGCATGTTAATTGATCTTTCCGCTCCTTTGACATAAATACAAGATACATCGAACTGTGAGGCATTTCAAATCCTTTGTGATCTACAAACATGCCACTCAAAGTTGCAGGAAAGAAAGGCGAGAAGAAGGCTGGAAAGGCAAAGGCCGCCGGAGGTGATGCAAAGAAGAAGAGGAGAGGAAAGAGAAAGGAAAGTTATGCCATCTACATCTACAAGGTGTTGAAGCAAGTTCACCCTGACACTGGTATCTCCAGCAAAGCCATGGGCATCATGAACTCGTTCGTCAACGACATCTTCGAGCGCATCGCCACCGAAGCTTCCCGCCTTGCCCACTACAACAAGAAATCAACAATCAGCTCTCGCGAGATCCAGACCGCCATCAGGCTGCTTTTGCCCGGTGAACTGGCGAAACATGCCGTCAGTGAAGGAACCAAGGCTGTGACCAAGTACACCAGCAGCAAGTAAACTCACGCAGTGAGTTTTACCCCAAAACAAACGGCTCTTTTAGGAGCCACCACATGCGGTAAAAGTCAACGGCCAATACCGATTTATCATTTATTACTGGATTTGATTGTTCAAATTTGCTTTCCAATTCAGTGTAATACGCGTTGTTTTGTGTGTGAATGAATATCGGCTTCCCGCCTAAACCCAGCTAAACGGTTGAATGAATTTTTAAGTGACCGTCTGTAAAAGATTCTCCAATTAGCTGCCTATTCCTCTCATTGTCACAATCAGAGTTCTTCATTCCGTCTCTGTTGATGGTTTTTGCAAACTTTTGCATTTGTACCGACCTTGCATATAGACTGCGAGCAGTCTCTTTTTTTTCTCAAGATTTAGTAAGGCGAATGCACGCGCGCGCGAGTAGCAAAGCCGCGAAACGGGGGCACGCGCGTGGCCATTTGCGTGTCTCGCGTTTTGCTCGACGGACTACAAAAAAAAGTGAGACTGCTCGTAGTCTACTTTGTATAAGGCTAGCCTGCGAGCAAGCTCTCTGATTGGGGGAGTCGCGAGAGCTGACCGGTCGTTTCGCTATCGTCCCGTTAGCGTGCGTAGCTTGGCAGTTTTGTAGGGAGGCTAGCTACTGAGCGGTGAAGCCGCAAAAACGCGCGCGAACGAGCGGCCTCGCCGACTTTGTTACTTTGCGCGCCCAACCCAAACCGCCATGCTACGGAGACTGTCCCATTCGCTAACGTCTTATGTCGTTCCGCTAAGAAGCGAAACAAGCGTTGCGCATGTATAAGTTTCTTTTTTTCAGCCATGATACAAAAAAGTGCGATACGTCTGTAAATGCCTCGTTCTTTCAGTCAGCCAATGATCAGGCGAAAGCAGTCATGGAACTGACCCAACACGTTTGGGTAACGATTTTACGGCAGTAGGAAAGATTAGACCGGGGGCGGTCGTCCTTTTTCCTTAGAGCCACGCGCGGCGAGATAGAAAGAAAAATTATGTAAATTAATGGTAAAAAAGAGGAAAGATTGTGGCCTCCGCGCCCTCGTTTCTCGTAGCCTGTTCCATCCAGGCTCCGAGTTAGTCGGGCCTGCTGAATTAAGAAAGCGCGAACACGAAAATGAAACGGGAGGAATCTGGGAAGAGAAGGGGCAGGGAACTGGGCTCTCTCTCCCTTTCTTTTTCCTTTTTCCTTTTTCCCACCCCGCCACTTTTTCGCGTGCCTTTTACTTTCGCGTCTACCCCACTTTCTGAGGCCTGGGACAGGCTACGTTTCTCGCGGCTTCGCCGCTCACCTCTCATGCATGCTCTCACTGAGGTCTGTTCCAGCGCGAGAGCGTAATCTCGCGTGGTGTATCCGATATTCTCCCCCCGCTTCCGTCAGTATGCCGACACTGAAGACTGCTCTCTTGCTATACTGTATCGTTAGTATCTGTATCGTAATCTAGCCTTTTTAGGGGGTAAAACACGAACGATTCTTAATATGTAGGATTAGATTCATGCTTCGCAGCCGACAAAGTTCTACTATCTGAACCAGACTTTAATTTACCAGGGAAAACGAAAACGACGAAATTCAGTTCGATGCCGCTTCCTTCATGGACACAGTTGGAAACTTATTGGGTAGGTTTTGTTTTGTTTTTCATTTCACTCGCATTTCTTGTAAAGAATGATTGTGGCTTTTAGATTTAACCTGTATCAGTAAGGCACGCGAACCCGACTATCTCGGAGGCTGGAACAGGCTATTTTTAGATATTTGTTAGAAATATTTGTGATTCGTGATTTACAGTTTTGACTCATAACCTGATTGCGATAAATGATAAACTCGATTCGTGAATAATTTTTGTAATCATTTCTGTCATTTTTGATTTGTTAAATCAGTGAGCCACACAATTATTGCGATATGTCCAGATTCCATGCGTGAGCGTGAAAGAATATTGCGATCATTCGTGACGCGTGAAACGGTCCGTTGATTTAACGTGACTGAATTTCTCATTGAGCGCCGCCCTCGAATTACAGTCGAACCTCCACTAAAGGCCAACTCTCCAGAACGGCCATCTCTCTACAAAGGCCCCTTTTTTTCGTCCCGGCGGACAAAAAAATCCATACACTGACTCTTGTTTCAACCTCACCACAACCCGCAAAAAATATACAGTTCAATTGAATTTGGGTCAAAACAGTTCTCGTCACGTTTCATGTGACGTGATCGGGTTTGATTAACCGCGCATCGGTAAAAAACGTCCTTGATTGGATAAAACCCACAGGAGGAAAATTCCTCCTGTAAATTTGGCGCGCTGCAGGGGCTACAAGTCCTTCGCGCTGTGGCCAAGGAGCTCCTTACGCTGGGGCCAACTACCGGAACCGGAAATGAGAAGCGAAGGACTTCGAGAACGTCTATACAGCAGCCACTTTGTTCTGTCCCCAAGATGGCCGCTGTAGAGAGGTTCAACTGTAGTATCTTTCTGACTTTTAAACCTACAACTGTACACTGTGGCGATAATCTCCTAGGAAACAGAACAAGCAACCATGAGGAAAGCAGTGCCGAGAGTGAAAGTGATGAACAAGACGTGTCGCTGTCCTCAGATGATGAGCACGAATCGGATCAAGGTCAGGAGAAATTTCAAACTATACTTCAATACTTAGTTTTGTAAAGAATTCTGTAATTTCGTGGAACATTTGCAGACTTGCCAACCCCCAAAAGGCAAAAAATGTGAGAGTCTGACCCTTAACTGGAAAAAGTAGTGAGAAGTGGGTAAAAAGTCGTTAGATGTCCCAAATTTCCTATTGGAAGGACTTTCAGTGCATGGAGATTATGGGTGCATGGAGCTGGGGTAGTAAACTTAAAGATCAATTTTACGAGTTGGGTTTTGTAATTTTCATGTTTTGTTGGCGGCCATGTTGGGAGAAACAGCTTCACATTTGGTGGCAGCAGCAAGTAGTGGAAGGCTAGAAGTATGCAATCAAACGCGACCGCCATTGGAGTTTGACTTTTCGAGAAAGCATGAGAAATCAGTTGCCAACTCGTGAGAGCGTGAGATAGGTCGTGAAATCGTGAGACACACGACAAAGTCGTGACACTTGGCAAGTCTGTGTTTGTGGACATCAGTCAATTTGGATTTAGGAGTGAACTTCTTCAACTGGGCTTTTTCTACACCAACGCGGATAACCTTTCGTGCCGACATAAAAGCTATCCGACGGCAACCTAACGCACAGAACTATGTTCGCACAACATTATATCAAAACACACATCAAGCATCTTATCGGGTTGGTTGGCCGGGGGGTTTGATACATCAAGTCCCAATCCTTCACTTCTGTTTATTTACTTGCGTCTCAGTGGCTTACAGTCCCCGCTCCTGCTCATTTATTTTCTTATGGTCCACACTAACATAATCTCCCACGCAGCTGTTTTTGTTTGGAGACAAAAACGGCTGTTTATGACATTAAGAATAGGAGTAGCAAAAAACCGGTCCGGTGTGTGAGGATCCACTTTCACGATGGGGAGGGTTGTCCAATACCCCAACAAATTTATGCATGGCATTGTATTGTATTGTCTTCACATTACAATGCTGTACTAAAGTTTAACAATACAGAACGAAGCAGAACAATGAGAAATTTAACAAAGCCATGCATAAATTTGTTGGAGTATTGGACAGGTATGACGATGGGCGCGACGTGGCGTAGATTCGCTCCGTTACAGAAATCGCGCTGAGATCACCGTTCTCATATGTGAACAGAAGTTCTATCCGGTATGGTTTTCGAGACGGAACAAGAGCTCTCCATTAATCCGGTACAGTGGGAAGATATAAGCTTAATAGTCGATAATGCGATAAATGACTGAATACCTGAACATAGTATAGTGTCAATCAACCCAACTGAAAGAAACACTTGAAACAAACATGTTCCTTTCAGCAGACGTTTTATTCATTTGATGCGTAACTGCCACGCCATTGAATAAAAACAGGCTGAATCAATTTACTTTCAGGTGTTCAAGGAAACATGCAGTCCGGTGGGGAAGATAAAGAATTGACGTCATATATGGATCAAATGGATGAGGAATTAGCGCGCACATCAATAGGAGAGAGTTTTGAAAAGGTGAGTGGGATCTGCCCCCTTCCCCCACCCACGGGCCTTCATGAGGCTTAGTGACGGAACAAGCGAGAAGCGCGAGAGCTGAGACAAGGGAGACGCGCGAGAGCTGGAGACATTTTGCGCGCGCGCTCTGCGCTCGTTCCCATCATCCCCCTCTCGCGCTTCTCGCTTGTCGCGCAAGCGGGAAGTGATCCCCCCGCTTTCCTTCATAATTAACTCAAATTTCCCCACAAAGTGATCGCGAGCGACTGGGGACGAGGCAGGAGCGGGATATCTTTTTAGACCCCGTCGGCACCAAATGGGTTATCCGGATATCTTTGACAACGAATGAAAAGTTTTCCGTCCTCACTACCTTTCGCGTGTATTGTTTTTCCCAAATGCATGCATGGTAGTTAGTGCGCGTGCTTCGTAGTTAGTGCACGCGCACTGTCATGGAGACCATAAGTTGGTACGCTACATTAACTTTTTAAGGCCTGTCTTCGCAGAGTCCAGGCTGAAACAACTAAACCTTTTTCCCTGAATATTCCCACCCTAGCGCGCGTTTTTTTTAAAAAACTTACCAAATTGATTGAGGGAAAAAGCGAGTGAGTTTATCCAGTAGATTAGTGCAGACGTTGTCTATAACACCGTTGCCGTGGGGATCGACGGCGGAGACGGGTGGCTGTTCCACCACCTCCTTCCCCCACCAAACCCACCATGTCTCTCAAAAATGACATTATTTGTTTTTGGCAAACAGAAGTTACGTTGTTAGAAGGGAGGAGAGGAGGGAATTTAGCCCCTTAGCTTCGTCACATTCACCACTTGAACTAATCGCACACCTTAAAGACTGGTACCACTAGAGTCTTAGATTTTACGACTTGAACAAGTGGTGAATATTGGACAGGTGTGTTGGCTTCAAACCTATTGCGCGTTGCTGAACCTTGAAAGGACCATGACTTCGTATACGAAGGTAAAAGTAATAAAGTATAATTTGTTAATCGAATACAGATACTCTAAATTAAACTCATTCATTGCTTGTTTTTTAATTCATATTTTTTGTTTTACGGCAGAGAGGTGCTTCATCTTTTGAAGCTAAATCCCAAGGAACTTCTGAAAGCAAAAACAGCAGAGTAGTTAATGAAGTTCAAGGGAGTGATGACGAGGACGCGCCAGTTGATGTGGACTTCAATCTTGTTAAAAATATCTTAGAATCCTTCTCCACACAGGAGGGTCTAGCTGGACCAGCATCTAATATCCTTAGTTCTATGGGCGTGTGGCTTCCACCGAACGCTGACTTGACCGATACATCTTAGTGAAAGGAAACATGAACGCTGTTGTTTTCTGTTGTGTTTATCTTGATGGCTGCGGCTGGGTCATCTTAGTTAAAGCTATGTATGCTCACTGAGGAATCAAATCTGCTGCGCAAAGAGTAGAATTGTGTGCCGGTGTAGCTCTCGAAGGAATTTGCTTTCTGGGCAAGCTTAAGAATTAAAGGGCGTGTGCTCCTGGGAACTGGGATATCACCAGCAAGAGAGAGAGAGATGGAAACTGTCTAGATTTTTCGTCGCGGGCCAGTAGGCTTAACTGTGTTTCACCAAATTTCTATTTATAAATGATATGCTCGAAGTTTGTAAAGAATTGCAGAAAAGCCACTGAAAATCCACCAGAAGCAAAATAAAGAAAACCCATTTTCTTTTTCAAGTTTCCAACACTATTTTTCTGCCTTCCGTTATCGAGAAATAGAGGTCACGTGAGGAGGCACGTGTGAGATTCTATCACGCGATTACTACAGCCTCGATCAACTATCACTATAAATAAAATGGCAAGACTGGAAACGTTTAGAGGAACAAACCATATGGTTTTAGGGGTATTTCAATAAGTAATTTCGGCATCGCTTTGATTACGAAAGTAGGAGGTCGCTTTATGACTCTAGAGGACATAAAAGGGTCATGTGGAATATAATTTTAACGCCGTTTTCAGAAATCATAAGGCTACATAGCCTGTCACAGCTGCAAAAAACACAGCTTGGTAAAATACCCCTGGGAACCTTTTTTTTTTTTTGTTCAGAGATAAAGAGTTTTTGTGTTCTTTGTGGTGGATCCGGCCCGTGAATAAATTAGCACATCTCTGTCCATTCAAAAGGTCATTTTGTTTTATTTGAAAAGAAAACAAACGAATGTACGCAGCTTGTCAGGATTGTTTACCTCCTCTATCTCATCTCTGTTTACTCTCCACCACTAAACGTAGTTAAATATTAAGAAAGAAAGAGTCGATCCTTCTTGAAAACCGCAATCAAGTATCGAATTTCGCAGTGTTCAGCCGCGAGTTCAAAGTACTGCAATGAGAACCGGCTTAAAACAACTGTCTAAAATGTATTTGATTCTTGTGCTTTTCCTTGTAACAGTTTTAAATAATGGAGATTCAGCGAAGAGCGACAGCGCATTCAAGTCGAAGGAAAATTACTGTCCTTATTTTAAAAATCGGGCACCCAAGCCTCAGCTAGATCTCAAGAACTGTACATGGTACAAAGAGAAAGCTTGTTGTCTTCAGAGCGAAATAGACCTTATATTTCCGCTGGTTCTTCCTCCGCTCGGAGCGAGCGACAAATGTTTGCGCTACACGAATTTCTTAATGTGCTACGTGTGTGCACCGGACCAAAATTTATTCTACAAGGACGAAAGATTGACTGTATGTGAGTCTTTTTGCGATAAATGGTTCGCCGCCTGTGGTACCGCGAAACTTAAAGGAATGAAAGTCAAGGATTTGTTTGAGTCTGGAAAAGATTTTTGCTTGGCAAGGAAATTTCTGGTTGAAAGTGCAAGTGAGGCAGATTGTTTCAACTTTGAACAAAAAATCCTGAGTTCAGCAATATCCAGTTTGGTCGCTTTTCCTTCGTTGGGGTTTTCTGGCATTTCAACGATATTGATACTGTATGCTATTTTCTGAATACAAGTCGGTTTTTCAAGAGGTAAGTGGTGTCTCGTCTTCAAACTTTGTAGCGAATGTTTACTTTTAGAAAGGACAATATTGTGTCGTTATTGTTTTTTTTTAATGTAATCTTTTTCAATGGAAGAACCACATGTTGCGTGACGAAAAGTAGGAGCTGAGGGTCATGCGATTTTTAAGGGGGTGGTACAGATGTATTTGTCAAGCTAAAGACTTTTGGGAAAGTTAGTCCCGAGGCAATACTTGAAGAAAATAAAATAATCTGTTGTGAAGGTCGACAGCATTAAATCAGACACCGATTCCATAATATACAATGCATTTCATACAACTACTGGTATTGATGTGCATTCACCAAGGAGTTGAGGTGAGGAGAGGTGCACGTGGGAATTAGACCAAACCTTTTAAGAAATCTTGGGACACAACAGTTACTGGCCGGTGAGACTAGTCCCATTGTAAAAAGAATTTCACTGTTTGTCATTCCTGTAGCCAGACCAGTCTAATAATTACAAATAGCATGCACCGTTGATGTAGTTATGTGTTTTCATTGAAAACTCTTGGGGAAAGTTTTTTCCATAAAGGACCTACCAGTGCAGTTAGGCAGTGCTGATGCTTAGTAAGCGCACTTGGTCAAGTTCTTATAGGTACCACGGGAGAAGGCAGCTGTAAATCAAAATAATGTGCAGAACACTCGACCATGCCTTTTCATGGGAAATATTTTATTTTCATTTAAAGTGCCCCCATGGCTAGCTGCCTCTTCAGCCAACCCTAAGATTATGACATCTGCTTTACTTAAATTTTGTAGTTTTAATGCAGGGTAAATAGTGTGAAGAAAACACAAAAATAATTTTTCATCATAATTTGCAAAATAAAATTGCAAAGAGCAAACAACTACACTACACAAGGTGAGGGGTGGGGGGATCCTAGAAGCAAAGTTTCATTTTTCTTTGCATTGCCATAATTTCCCAGGCAACATTCCAAAAATTATATGCATTTTAAAAATTACTAGCTAACTGTTTAAACGTTTTCTTTAATCCTAGAAGGGCCAATCCCAGAGCCTGGCTGCATCTGCTTGGCATGAATTGAACTGTGGAATAAATTCTTCAAAGATGAAACAAAATTAATGACTGATGAGAGATGTTAAGTACCACATTGCAGTCTAGCTGCTTGCAAATTAATAATGAGGCTAGTTTTTTTCCCTTTTTTCTAAAATTTACTTGCGTATACTGGAAATATGTATAATTGTTGATTAATATATAATAAACCTAATTTTGGAATTTAGTTTGAATTCTTTTGTCTAATTAAATGTACTTGTATTTCTAAGAGTAGCAAAATTCCCAGCTGTCCAAAGAAAGTATTGATTTGTGAAGCCTATGTTTACTAATGCACCCTCCCCCCCTAAAAAAGGAAGAATGGTGGTGGGTGCAGCAAATTCAGTCAAGCTGAGATACATGATCAGCCAATACTGAATTTTTTTGGAGTTAATTACACACACCATTCCTGCTTAAATCATAGGAAGCTTGGAGAAATGAGAAGAGGACAATTTTTCTGCAGGGGTTGGTGGGGTGTGGTGGGGGGGGGAGAAGGGGCACAATTTTTAATGACCGCACCTGCCTTTGAATTTCACCTGTCAACACTTTGACAATATCTTTATTGATTTGTCCATTCCTGGCAGTCCCTTCAGGGCTTTTTAATTATCATGTCCTTCTTAAACTTAGACTGCAATGAAAACTTTTAATAGACATTTGGCCATAGAGTACACGACCAAGACATAATGAAAATGTTTGGCAAACAGATGTCTTTCAGTACAACTTAGTGGCAATTTTAATTTAGCTGCTACTTTCACATCTCCTTTCCCTAGAAGAAAATCAACCCCCCCTTCAGCTGAAATCTGTTACAGTTTTTTTGCAGTACATTAAAGGTCATCAAAGGATCAAGAAAATAACTGAAAAATATTTAATGAAAGTCAGTTGATTCAAAAGCATATAATTTCAACCATAATTACTATAGAGCATTAGTATATCATAAACGCATTTCTTGGCATCGGCAAAAAAATACGTTTCCTTTTTTTTCTTTTTTAGTACAGGCATATTTAATTAAATTACTTTGTAGAATTAACTCAAATGCTGCAGGCAATATTTTGACTGGCTGGTAAGTAAAATATAATATGTTAATTAACATATTGTATGTTTGTATTTCATATAACAATACTTTGAAGCAAATAATAATTTAAGCACACCAATTGCATCTGGGGGAATATGGTAATTTTTAAGGGACAAGCATATATTTCACTCTACCTTTTACATTCCTCTTGCTATTTGTAAGAGAAAATTACAAGAACGATAAATATTTTTGAACTTTGGGCTATAACTCTCATCGCCCGCGGTTAAACTTGCTAAACAGTCATTGAACAGTCTGGAATTTTAATCCTTCAAATAACATTGAATTTTTAGTATGGAACTTATACTATTCTTTTTTCAGAAATATACTATAAATTTTCTTTATGTTGAAAGAATTTTTTTCGCGCGATCACGTTCGATTTCATCGCATGTCGCAATGTACACTTGTACATTGGCTGATAATCCTTTGAAATGAAAAGAACAAATTACCATAATGCGAATCCTTTTGTGTACTTTTTGCTGTCATGATATGGCGGAAAACCTTCTCTTTCGTGTTGAAAGTTGACGTAATCTCAGGCACTTTTCGGTTTGTTTGTTTAAAAGTTTGTCTCACAAAGCCGAACGATGAAATAAACATCGCCTGTTGCCATTTATAAGACCACTCTCAACAGGATTTTTTTGGCGTGCTTTTCAAAATTCTTCGATGAATGTCTAATATATTACTTACCATGTGGATTACTGATTATACTTTCAGTTTAGTAGTAAAGTGTACGACAAATATGGATGGGTTGTCTAAACGTGCTGGTCAGCCGCTAACGTGATGCGGTTGGCTTTCGTGACTTTTCGATCAAAACAAAACACAGCGCCTACCGAAAAGCGCAAACACAACAAACCCCATGCAAAAGTCAGTTCTTTGCGATCCACTTTTCACTGTTGGCCTTGGCTCGAAAGTAAAGCACTTCCCGTTTGCTTCCATATCCGTCTCAAAGCGACGCCCTTTACAAAACTGCTCACCATTCTTGTAGATGTACTTGATTTTCCGTCCCTTTAGCACGGCGTTTTTGCAGGAGTCGTAGACGCGATCACAGAACTCTCTGCAGACAGTGAGTGTGAAGTCCTTGAAGAAGGTGTTCTGATTTGGAGCGCAAATGTAACAGTATAAATAGTTAAGATATTTTAAGCAGTCACCGCTCGCGCCTATGAGTGGAGTTAATTGGCGGAACGCAAATTCGATTTCTTCGTCATAACAGCAAGAACTCTCTTTATACCAGCTGCAGTTTCCGAGATTTTCCTGTCTTGACGGACCCCGATTCTTAAAGTAGGGGCAAAATTGGAGAGGTTCACTGCGTATCAGAGCATCGTCTTCAGCATTACACACATTCCAATATGCCCCGAAAAATAAAAAAACAACCACTCGATTTGCACTGAGTGACTTCATAGCATGTCTCTCATGAATCCACGGGTAGCCGCCTTGTTCACGCTTGGATCTCGTTTGTCTGCCGAAGATGTGCGTGTCCCGTCGAAATGAAGCTCGCGCCCCATTGATTAGCACTGTCTGAAAGTAACGGAAGAAAAACGTTCACAATTTGCCATATTTGTTTTGTGTCTGAGCGTGTCACTGATGATTGCACCCACAACACTTCAACATTTTTTGCCTCTCGGATGGAGACTCGATTCAGAGTGATGAAAGAAAGAGCCGCCGGAAGTATCACTACGGATCACCACGTGACGTCTTTGACGCCCTTGAAACTGAGCTATACATCTCAAAGGTTCGTGTGGGGAGATCAAATAACCTTCGAATTTAGGGGAGGGTGACAGGACGATTAATTCTGAGCTTCTCAGTGAATCAAAAATAAATATTGGGGGCATTGGGTGGGGCTTGACCCTTTAAGTCCCAATAGTGACCAATATTAGGAGCCTATCAATTTTCTTCTACTGATATCCATACATCGTTAAGAGATAAGGTTATGAGAATTAATAAAACGATCACTAAAGAGAAAATGCCATGATCTTTTATCAAATTCTCTCAACACATTCTTAAGGAAAATGTATGGAGATCAGTATGGAGAATTTGTATGTGTGTATTGGGGTTTAAAGGGTCAACTAAAAGGGAGGTAAACCTTGAAACAGTGCTGTTGACAAGACCATTTTCAGCTACGAAGTACACACCAACAACTCCATGGCCAGTAGATCCCAGTTTCATGTACTTACTATGAACTGTTTTGCAGTTCCCAGCCAGTAGCTACCACATGTGTGTGGTACAGCTGGTGCTTAAAGGACTACTTAGCACCACTAGGCTTATCTATTAAGAGCATCTCAATACAGCCAGTTGGCTGCACCATGTCCTTGGCTGCCATTGCCCAGGTGATGCAGCTGTGCACGTGCACATGGTAGTGGCCACTATGTATGTATTTGGTCTTGACAACAGTAATGTGTTTCACTTAGGTCAAATACCACCCCCACCCCCTCCTATTACCTCGTTTTTGCAGCCCCGCCCCACTTCCCTCAAATGGTGGTGAGATGCAACTACCAATCAATTGCACCTGCCTCCTCTTTGTTTTTTGCAGTTTGGTTGCAAACAAAGGCAAGTGTGAAATGCAAGTAACTTGTGAGTAAGTGTGAGGGACCACAGGAAGGAAGGAGAAAAAAAGAGATGCGAATGACCATCTCGCCCATTTTCTCTTTCCCACCTTTGTGCACAAATTTGAGAGAGATGTCTGGTAAGGAAGTAGCAATAGTGCAATATTATTCCTCAAGGTTGATCTGTCCAAGAGCTTGGCCCAACAGATACAGCAAAGGATTATTGCAATAAATTGTCCAGTTTCGAATTAAAAATTACCACTGAATACAAACATTAATGACACATTCATACAGGGTTAGCCTTGACATAAGGTAAAATATTCAGAAACTCCGGGAAGTAAGTGTTTGAAATTTGAATATATACAATAGACAAAGTAATAAACAGGTCTTCCTCTCGGTAGAATTTGTGAATATATTTACTTCAGGTGGAGGCTAAGCCTGTAAAAAATGCGTCGTCACTTCTTTAATTCAGCGGCGATACCGAACTCGAAACTGGACTTCCTCCAGAGAGCTCTGTAGGCCTTGAAATTCTCCAAGTAGTAAACATGCTAATACAAAACAGTTAAACTAAAATAATGATAGACACAGAGTTTTTTTCTCTTAGTTTAAATGTTATTTATTCTCTACACAATGGAGAAATTTTCACACAATCTCTCATAATTTGTGCTTCACAAGATCAGCATGATAATTACGACATTCTAATTACGACAAAAAATACAAAGTAGTTAATACCAATACAGCACTCTTATTCCAGGGCCATTTATATGAGGAAAAATAACTGCCAAGGTCTTTAAGATGCGAACTGTACCATCGCATGTTTTTCTAATAAGACGGAGGAGGGAAATGTGGTTTATACAGAAAATTTTTCCTCGTATAAAATTGTTTTTATTTGTGTAGCAAAGCCAGCTTTGATTTTCAAAGAAAAACCTTAACGATTGAGGAATGATCCTGGCTGTAAGAACAAATTCATGGGAAAGGTTCCCCCATCTACACAGTTTGTCTTGTCCAGAAAATGAAACAATAATATTGTTTGATAACAATATCATTCTTTATGTCTGATTGCCTTTTTCTTCAAAGTCTTCGTTTAAGTTTTCTTGCCTTTCGAAGAAGCTGCTGGCTTGCCTTTTTGTTACTAACTTTTCTCTTAGCTTCTGTGGTGTTGGATGTGTTCTCAAAGGACTGAATTATGGAGTCATCTACACTCTAGATGGATAAAGATAACCAACATTTGAGCTCTTTTACAAAGACTATCAAAGCCATGAAGTATTAGCTCTGTGTGGCAAAAATCTGTGTGATTTGAAGAAGGTTAACTGACATACACAGTTATCTAGAAAACAGGAATTGTACTCAAATAAATTTGTTCCTAACATCTCAACTTTATTTTGAGACATCCAAGTTTGGGAAAAATTCAAGGACTTTTCAAGAATTTGTGAACCCAGGGTTCCACATGATGTCAACACCCACCCAGGTGGGAATTTCAAGGGGTACGGGCCAGTATGGGGGTAGGAGATGTCTGAAAGTTAAAAGGGTGTTTCTTTGTGCTGCAGAAACTACTGTTGGTAAGGTATTGTCTACCTCGATATCCACCTCTGAATCTTCTGATATTTTCTCCACAATCTGGGGCATCATACTAGATGCTGAGAGAAGAAAAAAATCATGTATTTAATAGAACTAGCATATGTACTATTAATGCATTTATGCCGTCCTGTCCTTCTGAAAAAAAAAACAAACAAACAAAGAAACAAAGAAAAAACACATAGTACCATCATGTTTTAAGCAAATGAGAAGTTTTATCACCACCCCTAAATTCAGACAAACCTTGTACAAAAGCTGCACAGAAAAGTTAGAAAACCTGCCTAGAACTGTGGTGACTTTAAAGGAAACATGGTACTGTAATAGCTTCTGACTGCCTAAAAGCTCCCTGCAAATTCTCTATGACCAGCTACATGTAACGTTGACCCAATGTGCAATATGTTCTGGATATCCGATAAAAAGACAACAGAGGTGCAGGGTATTGATTTGACAACTGGGAAACAGGAAAATTAACTAAATAATTCTACAAGAAGAAAGTCCTTTGTGTACATCTTCAACTCTGACACTCCAGCTACAACTTGACAACCACAAGGTCCAAACAAAACTACTCATGCACAGCACAATCAACCTAATTAAATTATTCTCTCATGACACAGGGTGACTGCAGAAAATTGAAAAAGGCAGGCAGTTGATGACTGGAACTTAAAATGCAATCAGCCTTGGTTGATAACACCCTCCTTTATCTGCATACTGGTAATTCTTCAGACCTTATATGGCAATTAATAGTTTTATTTAAAAAAATTGCATATTATAATATTATAACTATTCTTTCCACACCTTGATCCATTGACGTTGGACTTGTTGTTGATGAAACTCTGGTACTTGATGAACTATCCACCACTTTTCCTGAAAGATGGGTTTGAATTTTGACCGATCTTGAGGATTTCTTGATACTTTTTGCCCGTTTTCTTCTTGATGGCCCAGAAGAGTAATCTTTAAGAAATTCCTCCTCATTTACATTACTTGTCTTTGATTTCAATTCTGATTCTTCAGGAGGTACCACGCTGTTAAAGGAGAAATATATTCAGTAAAATAAACAGTCAGAATATTTAATTTTGCATTACCGGTCAAAGATGCAAGCATAATATCATTGACATACAAAAAATGTAAAGATGAGTAAATAACTAAAATAATTTTACTAACTAGCACATTCTATGTCCTCTGGTTTTACACATGTACACATATACATAACACGCATGTAAGGTGACAGTGTATATAAGCTATTGAGGGTCTCATGTTTTATGATCTATCACTTGAGTTTTCAAGTAAAGATGAGGTTCCGGAATTTTTTGTAGGTCTGATTATCCAAGGTCTGAGATTTCTACCACATTCCAAATAGAATAAATTTGATATTATTAACTACCTTAAGGAGTTTACCAGACTGATTTCTTCTTCCACAGCAAACACAAGTCCAGCATCAACTAACACATCATCAACCTTGTAACTAAGTGGTATATCAAAATGAAACTCATTTTGTAAACTAGAAATTCTTAGCTTTGGTTCATCAGGGTATAATCTTTTAAACACATCTTCGGTACATTTCCTAAAGGTAGCCATTGTCCATTCCCTTTCAGCTAAGACCTGTAATGGAACAATAAAGAGATAATTCATCAGTTTAATCTAAGTTCTGTCTATCATTGGTTCTTTGTTTTTGAGGGATGGGAAAGGGTGGCAGAGTGTTGGGAGAATGCACTCGCCTTCCACCAAATGAAGCCCAGGTTCACATGACAAAGGTAATGCCATCTGCCTGAGAGAGGTACTGTAGGGATGTTTGAGTAGGGATGTGCCATTGGCACCCAGGATCTCGGACCCCTTAGCATACCTAGTTCAGTTAAATTCTGCTACCCTAAACTAGACTAAACTCCTGAAAAAGAAGAGTCACTTTGTGGATTTGCACCACTAAAATCACTATTTTCTTTATTGTTTATTCATTTAACCCTGTGTCGGGAGGTATCTCAATCCTCAGATGTAATGGGTAATCGTCTATTCTTCGTTTTCACTGTCACGCAATAAACACGACACAAAAAAATACATCTGAAACCGTCCAGTGAAAGAAGCCAAGAAAATGAAATGTTATAAAAGACTAATATGTAAACAATTTGTCCAAATCTCAGGTCTTTGTGGCCCACAGTTTCTGAGTTAGTTGCGAAACATTTCACGCACCTTTGTAGAGCTTTGTATGGAGACGCCATACTGGTGGACAGAAACTGTCCACCAATATGGCCCCGGAAATCAACAAAAACATCTGGAGTTCACTTTTTCTATAAAAGCTCTTCCTTTTCACTCGAGAACTAGCATACTTGCGCATAAACATATCTTCTAATACTTGAAATGGTTAAACTGCTGAAAATCAAGCGGAGAGACTTTTTCAAGGAGATAGCATTCCGCTTTTGGTGTCACGCACTGTGAAAACTCGGAAGTTCAAACTGCTGTATTTTCGAAATGAAACATGCTTCGGGGCTGGAAACTTGTACAAAGATGTATTTCCTATCAATCTTCAACCTAGTGTAAATAAGAATTCGTAAAACCTCGCTTTTTTGACTTTGCAATCTGATGACGTCACCGTGAAAACCATCAATTAGTAAATGTTAGTGTACATGAGGAAATGTTTACCAATGTTTTTTTGGCAAACCAACCAATGTCCCACTTATGACTGATATATAGGTTGTCATTAGATCCCATAGACGGTAGCCCCTTTGGACACATCATGAAATTTACAAAAAGTAGTTTTCCCCTTTACTTATGAGGGTTAAGCACTACCTCTACTGATTAGGGTTAAGAACTGCCTTTACTGATTAGGGTTAAACACTGTTTCGAAACTGGTCAGGTTCCTTTTTTGGGGGTTGGGGTTGATGCTATATATACTTAAATTATTTCGCCTCCATCTAGCAAATCCTCAGTGGTCTTGTGGTTAGCGTAGCATACTGGACCATCTGAGTCGTGGGTTCGAATCCTACTGATTATCGTGTCATTTTTTTTTTTTTCAGATTGAAGAGATTTGCACTTTCATAAACATTTCCAGCTTGAAATATCATGTAAGTGTGATATAAAAGCAGAAAAGAGTTCTACCTTGTGTAAATTTCATGAGGGGAGAAAGGGGCTACGGCCGATGGGATCTCATCCTGACCTGATATATATGCCTCAATGATGACACCCTAGGACTTCATTTTCAAGGGTTTCAAGCTGTAACAGTTACTCTCAGTTGTAACTGAAGTTTTCCTTACCAAAAATCGCTTATCTCTGGACGAGCAAACCATGTTTATCCTTAACTTCCTCTCCATAATTCAACCAACACCGATTCTCACAACCCGATCCGCCATCTTGATTTATGAATGAAAACTGCTGACTAGTAATGCGCAGTATTATCACGCGCATGTATTCTGTCAAATCCGCTTTTCGTTGAGGGCGTCGTTGAGGGCTCAATGTTTTGTGAAATTGCTTTGATCGCAGCTGTATCTGGCAGGGAGTCCTCCGATTTCTGTTTCCCTGGCGTCTGGAGATATTTCTCCTTCACACATTTAATGGTATGGAAATATTTCTTTGCTTGTGTACTGTAAGTACTGTCAAACACGATTTATTGACTTGAGCGAAACTAGAATAGTTAGGGTGTTAACCGCAGTGAAAGTTATGGCTTCTTAATTCGTGCTTGGCTTAAGCTTATTAGTGAGCAGGTTAATTTGATGCAGTTTCTGTTCCCGAGAGTTATTTTTCTTTTGCTGGAGTGAACAAGCAGAAATCTGTCATGCGTGATTATCCTAGGGCAGGAATCCCCTATTTAGCTAAGGAACCTAAGCAGATATTTCCAATTTACGTCAAATCCTTCTACTCATGCAAAGCTGACATCCTAAGATTACCTAAACATAAGAGTTAAATTCGAGAGCATAAATAATTTATTATGGAAGGAATTTTAGCTTTATTACATTGTATCTGTTCGTTATTATAAGGAACTGATCTTCTCTATTTCTTGACCTGTTCCGTGTTAATATTTGGTAAACTCTGGTGATGTAGAAGTAATATCGTTCATGCAAATAACCATGCTTTAGCGAATAAATTTAATTTGGATTAGAGTCTTGTTCAGTAGGAGTAATCCGGCTATAAACAATGGCTTGCATTGGGAAGGGAATGCAATTTAAATATATTGTGTTTATCAAAGCTGTATATATTTAATTTATTTAAATCATCACATTAATTGAATAGTTTCAGTTTGAGCTTCCATGCCTTTTACAGATCCTAGATGGCAAGATTTTATTTTCAGTGTAGAAAATTTTGTGAAAGCAAGGGGGTTTGGAATATATGTAATTACTTAACTCGTAAATCCATGAAAAAAGCAAAAACATGCAGCCATTTGTACTTTGCATGTAAACAGATTTTAATTGAATTTTAGATGCACAGTGAAACAATACCGTAAATCCTCTATTAAGCCCCTCCCCCCCAGTCTATTTGAGGCAGGGGGAGCTTATTAGACAGGGAGGACTTATTAAATTTAGGATAAACTATGGTATCAGTTCTCCATAAAGAACTAGAAAACAAAGTGGAAAAGCTCAACTACAAGAAGATTGGAGGTCATGCAGGCAAGGATCAAAATCAAATCCGCACTTCCAATTCGTAAATAAACCATCCCAGACCAGTCTACGTGGAGTTTTACTGTCTGTATTGATTGATACAGTCTGTCATTAGTCAAGAATAATTAAGGGAGGGGAGGGGGGCTTAATAGAGAGGGTGGGCTTATTAACTTTCTTCCCCTGAAAGGGGGCGCTTATTAGAGGGAGGGGGCTTATTTTAGAGGGGCCGGGCCTAATAGAAGATGTATGGTAAATAAATTTCTTTTTTATTATTATTGTACCAAATGGTTTTTCTAATGTTATTGTTAGAGCTAAAACTTACCATAAAGCCATTTGAAGCTAGTCAAGTGGTTTTCTGGTCACTGTGGTGCGATAAAGAGCTAAAACTTACCATGAAGCCATTTACAGGTCGTAAACGACGGGGCCTTCTGATCATAGGGGTTCATTAAGGTTTTGAACGTTTTGGGGCCTTCTGATCCAGATGCAAAACATTAGCGCAGGGATGTGTTTTTGCAAAGCTCAGGCATTTCAAGTAAAAAAAAAAAATTTCAAGATTTTCTCTACTGGAGGCCCTTTTTTTGGTTCTCTCCTCCCCTCTTTTTTCACTTTTCTTGCCTAATTTTTTTATTTCTTTTGCGGGGCATTTAGTAGGCTTCATTTTTAAGATCTTAGAATCAGATGAAAGGAAAGGTAGGTGGGTAGTGGAACAAGATTTTCTGGTCAATGTTACATGGTTTTTTGCTGTTTTCTCCGGTGTCCTTGGCTGAATTGTGCTTATTCTGGTATGGTTTTAAAGATCTCTTCACTCTGCACAAGTTAGCGGACAAAGTTGTCCTTGACCATTAAAACTGATGATGTCAGAAGTGGTAGAATGGATGTGATCTGCACGGGCGGTTACTGGTGGCTCAGAGGCAAATGGGTTAATAGTGCTTGTTGTCACAAAGTTAGCTATCTCCACGTTGAAAGTCACTGTCTTCGTATATCAAGAGGGTTTGTTATCCTTTTTGGGGATTCATGTAAGGTAGAAAAAAATTTAATAATTTGTAAATTGTACTTAATTTATATACTTACAGGCAGCTCTCTCAAATATGCATACTGCTGGTGCTGTCACTTATTAGGGACTTTAAGCAAATCACTATTGCAACCTCTACTACGGCGGTCGTGGATGCGGATTCCAGGGGAGAGTACGTCACCGTAGCCCACAAAATTTTAACTTTAAGCAACCAGTGTCCAAACATTGACTATGGGGTTTCTTGCTCATTTGCTTTCGCACTTAGTGAAAGGCAGGGAAGACGTAATTAGTGGATAACCAGAAGCGTCAAATATTCTGTTGATAAAGTGAAAAATAATCTTTGATAGGTAAAACCAGTGATTGTAAATAATAGGAGAAAAGTCAAATTTTATACTCACGTAGTAGCGACTATGCTACAAGACAGGTCTTCACATTGTTGGATTTGGTGTTACAGCAAAAGGTCATTTCCAAGCTTGCACACTGCCTCATTTTTGGGCTTTTTTACTTCCGGCTGCCATAGTAGAGGTCACAGTAGCAATTTGCTTAAAGTCCCTATTTTATCTGTCTCAAGGAAGTGTCTGTGCACAGTCATTGAGTCAATGGAAATTATACAAGGACAGCACCGACCAACTCTACTTTAGAATGGGTAGTGTTCATTATGAAAGGGTTAACTCACAAACCCAATTCCTTGCATGAACCTTTGTCACCAATATTAAGTTATGAGAAATAAGTATTTCATGAAATGCACATTTAGCAATCTCTACAGGTAGTTCACTAGTTAAGTAGCTGCTCTTGGATTTTGGATTATGATCCAATTTCTTGAATAGTTCTGGAGAACAGAGGAAGCCATTATTTCTAGTTATGGCCTAAGGGATTTTTGATGATGATAGTGGGCTTGCATAGTGTAGCAGACTTCTTCTTCAAGTGGAAACTTGCTGCACTGTGGAATTCCTCTTTATCATGTGATGACTTTAAAGATCCAAAAAAGCAATGTCCTGCAATGTCCTGAAGGTGCACATCAGTGTCATACAGGGACTCTGTCTTGCGTAGTTTAGTCTCATATTTATCAATGTATGATACATACTTTATGAAGTTGCCAGAGGAGACTCCTCGGCGCTTGTCCTGGCTTTGTTAGACCTCTCAAGGAGGCCATACTTTAACTCAGTATGACAGCATTTGTTAATTCTTTTTATACAGGTATTTTTTAATGCACAACCCAGGTGATACCTGGATTGGTTAAAATATTAGCTTTCTGTTGGAACATCATAAGTGCGACCCAGATCTGCATTGTAGTTTCTGACCCTAGAACAGTCCCCCTCCTCTCTCCCAGGTATTAAGAATCTAACATTTGATTCAGCGTAAGGTATTATTTTATGTGACGTCGCGTTAGTCTCATCTAATCATGTTTATTTTTATCTCCAGTATGCCAGCATTCTTCACAATATCAAATAAAATGGAAGAAGATATAACAAACACTAGACTGGGCATCAAAGAATCACTAAAAAAGCTAGATGAGTACACATCCTATCTCAGGTATTTCCTTAGTATTTTCGTATGAGGTGACTGTTAGATGACAAATCAAAAAAACCAAAACTTGCATTTTGCATTTGGCCTGCAAAATTTTTGGGGATATATTAGACCTGAAATGAGGGCATTGTCACCATCTTATATTTCCTCATATAGATTATACTTTTACAGTCAACTCTCTGTAAGATGGATGCCTTTAAGACCTGCAACACATGTCCATTTAGAGATATGACAGTCTTATAGAGAGTCAGCTAAAAGAAGTAAAGTAGAGGCAGGGACCAACTCTAGGTGTCTGTTTTTAATTAGCAAGGTATCCGTTAAGAGAGAAATAACTGTGCTAACAAAATTTGTACTGTATTTGGTAAAAATGGGTCAGACGGTGTTAGTGATGTGCGCTGTTTTGTTCTCAGATCAAGATTAACAGACATCAAATCCACACGGGATGGTGTCAAAAGCAGTATTGGTATTGCACACACCGAAGTTGAGGAGAAATTTAAACTCTTGAGGAATGAGGTTGCACAGATGCTAGACTGTCGGGAGAAGGCTATTCTAACTACTATTACTGAAATAGAGAGGAAGGACCTTGATCCTTTAAACAATCTGGAAGACAAAATCAACAGAGAGTTAGATAAAACTGTTAAACTTTTAGAAAAAGGTAAGAGGCTGCTGAGTATTATTATTTATTGATTTTTATTTAGTGAATTTCCAACACAGGGATTACTTTTCACCAAAGAAAAAAACAACAACTGCGGTTCCCTTTTTACTTTATACTTTATAGTCTAGCCTTAGCCAGAGGAACAATTAGTAACTGCCAGCAGCAACATCTGAAAATGAATATCAATGGTGAAATAAAATCATTTTCAGAGACGTATCTGTAAATAATTTATAGATACGTCTTATTCTTTGATGTCTGTTCTCTTTGCCAGAAATTTTGCATCTTTGCTTTTATCTTTCTACTTATCGCTACTTTTGATTATTCAGACAAGTAGAAAAGTTAAAAGCCAGGAAAAATTTGCATTCAGATGTTATGCACATTTTCTTTTTCTCTTGTCTCAGGAAATTCCTCCTTGGATAAGGATGATGCAGTTCTTCTTAGTGAAAGAAAGAACTTGCAAAATGAGCTACAAATTTCTCCCATCAGGTATTTATGGTACATTTTGTTAACAAAACTTAATATTTTTCCCCTCAAGCACTACCCTTGTAATTAGTTAAAGTATTTGGAATTAATTCAAAAACAATCATAATTATTATTGACCAAGTTGTCTTGAATACGTATGACTGCCATCTAAAAAAACAACTGCATTTGGATACACATTTACTGCATGCCCCTTTCCCCTTCCCCCCTTAAAAAAGGGAAAACCCTCATACCTTCATGCAAGGGCTGTAATTGAGTCCTTTTAAATTCCTGGTCTTGCTTTGAAGAGCACTGACCTGTTAAGTGGTTACTGTAGCAATTTTTACAGCACTGTTCATTTCATATGATCATAATCATAATCATCTCATGAGAGATCTACAGTACAAATACCACCAGGTTTCTCAAAATGTTTAATGGAACTGGACAGACTAAACGATTAGGCAGCAAGGCCCAGAGTGGGGACCTGGTGGGGGGGTGGGGGGCAGTGTGGTTTGCACAGGTCTTAAACAAGGAAAGTTTTAAAAAATTTTGATAGTGACAGCTAAACCTAAGGTCTTGGAAAACTTAGAAAAGTCATGGAATTTGAAGAGCTCAAACGAGTACGATCCAGGGAGGGGCTGGGGAGGGGTACTCCCTGTAATGAAGTATATCAAAGGGCAAAGAAATCTGTCATTTCAATCTGTAAAAAGGCCCAAAAGGTTAACAGATAGTTGTTTTGGTTGTGGGAAAGTCAAGAAAATGTTTTGATTTTCTAATTTATTTAAGACAGTGCATTTACAACAGTTAAATAGGATGCAAAACTCTAAACTAGGTAAATGAAAGGGGTACCATTTGTTTTCTGTCAAAAGTGGTATATAAAAGGGTGAGGGGTTGGACCTCAGGGCATAGCATCCCCCATATAAAACTTCTTTGAGCACTCCCCTCCGTGTGAGTGGGGACTATCTAAATCATGATACACTTGGAAATAAAATGCCAATGACAAAAAATTGGCCATAAATTTCACATGGGTTCCCCAGGGGTTTAATAGTAATAACGTCCTTTCAAACCCATCTTAGGTATCCTGATGCACCATGCATATCTCAAACACTGTCTGTCACATTCAGTGACAGTCACACCCAGTCACTAAGAGATGCTGTCAGTTTAATTGGAGAAGTGTCCATGACTGGTTCACTTCAAATAGCAGAGCTGGTGGAACAACCTGGAGCTATTCTTGTTCAGTGGTATGATGAGGTATGTGTGGCTCCATCTTGGAAAGATTATTAAATGTGGTTTGTTGTAAATGTTGAGCTTCCCTCTGTATGTGCTACCAATTAAATCATTTACTACTATTTTATAATCATAATGAAGTTCCAAGAGTGCAACGTTTTAATAATAATTAAGTTAATATGTCAATGATAATAATAATAATGATAATGATAATGATAATAATAATAATAATAATAAATGAATGAATGAATATAATGTGAATATAATATTATTATATTCACTGTAGACATGTTCAGATAGTGAGTCAATAACAGATTATAGTGGAGTCCAGGAATACATGCTTCAGTATTGCCGCACAAACAACAAAGGCAACAGTGATTCAGTATTCAGTACTGTGTACTGCGGAGAGGAGTCATCACATCTAGTGACAGACCTGGAGCCACATGTGTCATATACTTTTCGTGTCTGTGGAAGATTTGGTAGTGAAGCAAAGTGGGGATCATGGAGCATTCCAAGAAATGGAATAACAACACTTGATCAGCATGGTAATGATTACAATGATTTGTGACTGTACTGCACTGTTGTCATTAATTTGAATTTCTATGGTTTTTTGTGATAAGAGTTGCGGCAATATGTCATAATTACTTCTACGCATTTTGTAGTAATGGTTGCGGCATTTCATAATAATCATTGGTCTACTCAAAATGCGTTGTTATTGCAAAATGCCGCAGAGCAGTTCTAACTGCTCAGTTTTTGTGTGAGAATCTTGTACATGTTATTCTTTCATGATCAGTTTTATTTAAATCTGCCTCTTAATTATTCTTAAGTATAAATGTACATCTTTTCTAAAATCATCGCTTACACTGTGTTATTGTCGAGTTAAGGTCAGTAAGGTAAATGATGATATACTATTTTTGTTTAACTGTAAAAGGCCCTTACCAAAAATCGGAACTGACCAGCTGCATTGGCCATTTTGAAAATGAAATATTTGGCTTTTCTCGGAATTTTCGCTTACCCTGCCTGACAGTCTATTTAACAATAATATTATTCCTCATGCCCTCATTCGGACTCGAGGAGGCCATGAAGGCAAGTGGAGTAACGGTTTTTGTAAAATTCAACTACTTGGTCAAAAATGTCAAGACAAAACAATTTTAGCTAGCACTGAACGCGATTCAGCCGCCATTGTTTTGGTTTTGAAAGCCGGTGCTTGTCACTACTAGTGGGCTATACTGAACATATAGCCTAGTAGTTGCTCAAGCAATCAGAACTGAACGCAGCTTTGAAAATAGACCACTAGCTGGATTCTACTAATAAGGAATAGACCAGGCGGGTGACACTTCTACCTAAGACAGCTCTTCCCCATATAAACCAGGGGCCTGACTGTTGACTCACTTTTGCTTGTCTACTGTTCTTCTTGTTTTGTATGTAACAGCCTTTCTTTGTTTCAGAATGGTCAGCTGATGACTGCTTCAATCAAAATAAACTTGCTGTGTACCAGCTGAGCAACAGGCGAAAGACTGCAACAAAAGTTTTTCCGGACTGCTCCAAAGTGCTGCGGTCAAAGACAATGAGTTACAGACTCGATACCACGCTAGCTTTCAAGATCGACGAGACGGGTGACCCAAGTAATGGAGATGGCATTGGTCTTACGACTTCATCTTTTGATTTTAGCAATGCAAAGCAAGTTTTACAGTGCCCTGGTTCTGTTAGTATCAATTCCAAAGGGGTCGTATATGTCAATGGATCATCAATGACAACTAGATTGCCTCAGTTCAAGCGAGACTCCCTTGTCATGTTTGAAGCCGGTAGAGTTTCCAAAGACAAGCTACGGGTGTCAATTACTGTGGATGATAAACGAGTGACGTTTGATTGGCAGGTGGACAGTGACGGCGATGGATTTTACTTTGCAATGGGATTTCAACATTCAGGTTGGCAAGTCTCTGTCTAGCATCCTAAATCAGTTCAGAGGAGACAATATAGAAGTGATATTTCATGCCAAGGAATTTTATTTTCAGTCCCGTTTTACGACAAAAGTGATACATATAGACAACTGAATGCAAACAGAACAAGGCGATCTTATCTTTGCTACAGCGGCAGGATAATCAAGACTGGGGACATTACAGTACTTAACGTTAAGAGATTCACAAAGCTCTTACTTCTGTTGCTTAAACACATTATAACATGTAACTTGCTACAGTACCTTGTGCAGGCTTGCCTTTACGTTGTCAGTCAGCAACGGATTTATTAGAAGACAAGAGATGGCTGATCAGATTTGATTTACCTCATAACAAACACTAAATTTATTCAAAGCAAAACACTTCCATTTAATTCTAAAAAGTCCATCCGATAACTTATTTTAAAGAATTTTGCTATTTTTTTTTTGTAATATACACATAACTCTTTACTAATTTAGAAATCAAATCATTTTACTTGCGAATTTGCCATATATTACTCTTAATAATGATCACGGAGGCACCGAAAACGTGAAGGAAAAAATCACAAACAGCAAGAAGTCTGTACTTGCATTTCTACGCTCTCTGTTACCTTTCTTTGCCGTTTTCTGATCTACAACGACCTGAAATTTCATAGTGCATCGTTTTAGGGAGAACGTGAACAGGCGGAGAAGTTTTTTCCACTGAACTTGGACGCGAGCAAGAACAATTCAGCTTCAAAAAAATTCAATCATATTTGCTTGGAGAGACTGAGCGAGTTAGAGTAATCATACTGATGTTTAAAGAACGCGATTTCGCTTTATCAGAAGCGTTCTCGTTGCCACCTTTATTGTGCATGCATAGGCTCCCTTAACATGGTGTATTTGAAGGAATGAAATATCAGTCGATCTTATTCTCTAATTTTTGGTTTCTCTGCTTTCTATCATTTTCTAATCTTTCTGATCTTAATGCAAAGTAGTGCTCATAAAAATCAGCTACATTCAAGATAAAACAAAAATGGAAAGTGAAAAGATTTTATTATGTGTCGATGCGAAAGATGTAAAACAGTTAACTTATACAGTTTTTAATGTAAGAAAATATTAACAAGAAACTCCCATCTTTTTCGTGATACAGTATCTTCAATTTAAATGATGGAAAATTTTCGTGCAATAGCTAGATATAATCCAGAATTTTATGGTTATATTTAGTCAAAGGCACGACTTTTATTTTTTCTTGTGAGCCAAATACCCCCGAAACATGCGCAACATTGGAGAGGTTTAGGTTGTTTACCATTTACATTGGCAATCTGGTCGGTTTATGGTTTGGGCAAATGGTGAGAAAAATTCAGGACTGGTTTCATTCGGAATCGTGTTTACCATTTGCACGAATCACTTCCCTGTACCTAAAAGCGGCCGAGTCAAAGATGGGTTTTAACAAATGGTACACAAATTTCCGCTTGGAACATTTCGTCCGGAAAACAGGAGTGCCTTGTCAGATGTTCCGTTTGCTTTTCAACCGGATTTTCCGGAAACTTTTTTGCTCATGGTAAACAACCTTAAGATCACGTTTATGGAGGACGACAAACGTCAATTTCTACAATGTGACCAATTTTTCCCTTTGCATGTGGTTTACTGTTTATTTTTTATACACTTTACAGTGTACTATAACTGAGCAAAGAATTTCATTTGTTTTAACGGGGAATTTCGTTACGATATCGGGATACAATGACGTCCATGTTACCATAAACTTTTTTTAATGAACTAAAGCGCATTGTTTTATGTCTAATGCCACCACTGATAGTTTTTAGGCTGTGCTTACATGTACACCAAATAGTGATTTAAAATATACCAGAAAACGAGTAAATAAAACGATGCCCTTATCCTAAAAGCTGGTGTTTGTAGTTTCTTAGTAACGAGGGGTAAATTGCCCCGAAGACCATGGAGTCAGGCTGGGATCAATTCATGCTCACTAAAACTTTCGCGAGTGTATTTTCAGTACTGTTCTAGATTTCGATTACTTTAGCTGGACTTGTAAATACACTTGTAAACGTTTTATTGAATTGATCACGTGACCGTTAGTACAGGTTTGACTTGGGTAAGCTTTAGGAGAAAAGATGTCAACCGGTTATGAGCTCCGATGTCACAACTTGAATTAACCTCGTCCACTAAACGAGAAGGAAAAGCTTGTTATTACAGGGCAAAGACACCTGTGTGTCTTCTGCACTGGCCTGAGTTGTTCAAAAGTTCTAAGTGGAGGGTTTTCAAAATACAAAGCGATCATTTGGAGCTAGTGAATGGGAAAAGAGGAGATTTCCAAGAACGTTTCGTAGGAAACCCCGAATGAGATCAATGTACGCGTGACTCAGTATTCAGAGCTTTAGTGTGACCAATAATCATCTGCAATTTACACCCCTATCACTCCCATAAGCGAAATGACGAGAATCCAAGTCACTTCCTTAGTCGGTATATGGCCATGGGACATGGGAACGCCTCCGGATTAAAAAGCAGTCGCTCCTCGACACGTTTTCTTAGCCCAGTACAATCAAGAGAGAATAATCTTATTTTCTCTTGGTGCAATCAAGTATCCATACCCGACTAGGCTCAAGTTCCTAAAGGTAGAAAAAACAATCCATCAAATTTGTCTCTCTCGATCTAATGGAAGCCTAACAGCCACCCCTAGCCCTGCTGTTACAGTAAGACGGAGCCTGCAGTCCAGTTACCTTTCCAGCTGAAAAAGCTCTCTGATCATGCGCGACCGGGAATAGCAAGAGCCTGAGCACTAGAAAGCCTGTCATTCTCTATATCAGACGTTGTCTTGCTGTTTGTCCTGTTTTATCTTTATCTTCACGCTTTATTTTAGAAATGCCCAAAGTACGTCGCAGTAGAAAACCTCCTCCTGATGGTTGGGAACTTATTGAACCGACGCTAGACGAACTAGATCAGAAAATGCGGGAAGGTAAGCCGCTAATCCTTGCTCTTCGTCATTCACACTGTTCGATTCGTACTCGTTGAAAATGTTCGATAAACGATGTGATTAAAGACTGCCACATTTATCACTCTTTGGCGATGATTAATGCTCCTTTCTTTCCATTCATTAGCTGAGACAGAACCGCACGAAGGAAAGCGAAAAACAGAGTCTTTATGGCCCATATTTAGGTCAGTATTTATGGTTACTATGTTTACATAAATTACTGACAAAAGCTTTATTAAGATACCGTTTTTTATTATTTTATTTGGTTTGTTTTATTTTGCTTTCCAATCCAGGATCCATCATCAGAAGTCTCGCTATGTTTATGACCTATTTTACAGAAGAAAAGCAATCAGCAGAGGTATATATTATCTTTTCTTTTCTGCTTAATTTTTTTCTTCCATTTGCTTTTGTTAGTTTTTGCTCAGAAATTACTGATATATATACATGGGTACATGTTGCCTAAGTTTTGGCCATCTCCTCAAGTCACAAAGAGAGACATTTGAATTAATGAGACCATACTGCCATCCAGAGATGCCACATTGCTTTACTATCCATTACTTTATTATCAAACCAGGAAAACCAAGAAAATTTCTGGAATGTTATTGTGTTCAATAAAAAAAGCAAACCGGGCATGAGAAACTAAACCACAAGCAAGAACATATATATATATATATATATATTTTTTTTTTTTTTGTGGTTAGTTGGCATGTCCTGATCTTTGCAGTGATTGGTTATAACACAATAAACATTGACCTAATAGAATCAACATCAAAACCACAGAGTGGCTCTAACTGAAAACCTGTCATCTTTCTGTATTGATGCTTCATTGGTCAGTACATCCTTTCATTTATTTTTACCCACCTGATAAATATATAAAGTACCAATTAGGTCATTTATTGGCTAAAGGATCCCTGTCAACTGATCAAATATTTTTTTCTTTATAGAGCTGTATGAATACTGTCTCAAAGAAGGATATGCAGATAAAAACCTCATAGCAAAGTGGAAGAAGCAAGGATATGAAAACCTTTGCTGTTTAAGATGTATTCAGTGTCGAGATACAAACTTTGGAACAAACTGTATCTGCCGAGTTCCCAAAGCCAAACTGGAAGAGGTATGTCTTTGAACTTAGTAATAAAACTACTTAGAAGACCACCAGCCATGGTGTTAACGTATATGTTTCAGTTCATTTTTTATCTCAGGTAATTTTTGCTTTTCTTTTGTTTTTGGTCATGGTAATGTATGGTGGGAAGAGTTTTTAATAGGAAAGTTGAAACAAAGGAAAAACAAAAAATTACCTTGTCACGTGGTTTTTGCTTCTTTCTCCGGTGTCCTTGACTGAATTGTGCTCATTCTGGTATGGTTTGAAAGATCTCTTCACCCTGCACAAGTTAGTGAAGAAAGTTGTCCTTGAAAAACTGATGGCGTCACAAAAAAAATTAATGACAACATATATAAACATTCTTTTCCTTTACTCTTTGTCCAATTCAATTCTAAAAAAGCTATTATTTGATTCTCAAAAGAAATAGAAAAAAATAGTGGGCTTGGACATTTATGTAAAGTTATACTTTATTTTTACACTCATCGTTTTGCCTTCTCCGCCCTTAACTATCAATAGTTAGATGAGGCAGGCAGAGTGGAAAGGTTACAGCAGTCATAAATATAAAATAAAAAAAGAAGCTATGAAGATTATATTAGAGTAAACTAAAATAATAAACTATACGGATAATTAAGAAATACAACAAACAAGCTAGAGTTACAAAACAGTCTTACAGAATGGAATTACAAGACAAATTTACTAAAGAACTTATCATTTATAAGTGCATTAAGTTGTGGCTGCAGATTTTGCGATTTTTTGTAGCAGAATAGACACTTTAACATAATCATGCGCTGTTTGTTTCCATTGTTGAGAGCAATAAGTTATAAAAAGGTCCTTTGGAGAGTTGAAAAAATTTGTTGGGAATTGCATTTTAAAGTTTAGCTCTAATCCTGGAAAAAGAACCTTGAGTTTGTTTCAGTCTTGAAGTTTGGGCATAATAGTTGCACAGATGAAGAAAACCTGAATGAATTTGTACACCAATGAAGTCCCTGGAATAGCCTTGGAATTAGCCTGAGAAAATAGCCAACATTTCGTGACGTCATCACTGCTTTCCCTGTGAAATGACCTGTGAGAAGCAAGGGCAGAAATTCTATTCTGATGATGCATTACTAGTCTACCAAGATCAGTATAGTGCTTCTGATTGGTCAAGCTGTGTGGGAAATTTGCTTCAACCAATCGGAAGTGCAACCAAGAACTGGGTAGTGACACATCATCAGTATGGAAGATAAACATGATGCTTCAGAAAAGTGAAAAATTTTGCATACAAAAATGTATACAGACCCAGTGTAAAGGCAAGAGAACTGTAGTGATGTGGGTTTAAATCTTTGTTTCTTTTCAGGGAAAAATTGTTGAATGTGTGATATGTGGATGTCGTGGATGTTCTGGTTGATATACATATAAACAGCAGAGGATTTTCACAGAAGATAAATCCCCTTTAAAAGCTGTAATTTCAGTATTCTGATTAAGATACACAGTGAAATATTTCCAGAGGTCCTAACAACACTTGCAGTGTACTGTAACTGCTTGCTTCCATGCATAAGGGCTAGAACTCTTGACTTAAGCAAAGATTTGTAGAAATCCAGCATTACATTTTGTACTTAACCTACCAATCACCAGTAACTTTATTTTTGTGTATACATATATTAGTGTATTTTCTGGCAATACTGAAATAACCAGACAATGACTGTAACACTTTTTAGAGTATTTAATTTTCAGAGCAAAAATAATCAAATATCAGTGTAAAACATTCAACTTTTAAGCCCTAATATCCTTGCCATTCTCTGTGCATTACAACTTAACGCTTTACCAATCATGATTACAAACACTATCCTGCAAACTAGCCATGGTTAATGTGAGGGAGTAGGGGGGTATTGAAAACTTAAGCTTTTGTGATCATTTATGAGACGATTAGAATGATGATGGTGTCTTTAAAGAGTATTTTCACTTATGTCGCTAGCAGTTATGCAAATTGACAGAAGAAAGCATTTCAATTCAAACAGACATGGTGGGCGTGATATCATGTGAAAAGGCTCCCTATAGGCACAGAAAATGGTTGTTAAGTAAAATTGTGGTGCAAAGAGATGGGACCTGGCTACCTAGTCTTTTGGACACATATATAAGGGTAATAATAATATTAAAAATCAGCATTCCTTAATCCCTTCAAATGATACTAAGTACAGGTTACCATTTGAGGTTGCAGTTTACTTAATCAAACCTGGTTTGTCAAAGGTTAAAAGTTGTAATGTTCCTGCAACATCAACAAATCCTGGGCAACACAATCTACTTGTATTAGGTTAAAAAGGAACAATGTTGTATTTAACTTCCTGGGATTTAATAAATTATATTACCAGAGAAATTTGTTTCCATGCATTAGTAATATAGTTCTTGTCCATAATTATTTTCAAAAAGGAAAAAGTTGTCATGAAGGTAAAAAGTAATCACTCTGATCAATAACAATGATCGGATGACAATTTCATGTGTCCCCTCCAGTAAATGCCCTTATAATGTTTACAAACCGTATCTATTGAGGATACAAGTCTCAAGCTACTTTTGTTATATGTAAGGTCAAAACAGAAAGGTGAAGATAGTGCAAGTTATAGTACCTCTATTTGCACCTGCGAACAATCAGGAAATTCATCTTCTTCAAATTTTAAAGTTTTACACCAATAGCCACAGGGGTGAAACATGGGTAGCTCTGTTTATGTCCCTTCGTGAAGTAGTGTTCCGATCATCTGTTTGTTAGAATGATTTTCAGAGGTACTGTCAGCTTTATCTCACTCCACGTCAGGAAATCCAGATCTGAAACCAGGACAAAATTTTTATGCTTGTGTGATCTGGAATCCAGGGCTTTGGAATCTGGAATTTAGCTCCTGGAATCCGCAATCCTCTTAACAAGTGGAACCAAGAAACAAGTACCCAGAATGTGGTAAAAAAATTGCAAGTTTTTATTATTTTTTTCTCATGCGGCAAAACAGGTCTATAAAAAGTGTATAGAGGAGACATTTATCAAAAACAAGACTTTTAAGACTTTAAAATTATCGATTTTTCAATAGTCAAAAAATGGGTATTTTCCCAATAAGCTATGACTTTCGTCAAACGTTACAAATTATTCATTTGTTTCTTTTTCAGCGAAAAGGTCCGCAAAAAGTGTTTGGTAAATCTACATTAAAAACAAGGCTTTTCAAATTGTCAAAATGTCGATTTTTTAATGGTCGAAAAAATGGGTATTTTCCAAAGGGGTTAGCCCATGAAAATTGCAACACCATTTAGACTTAAAAAAATCGATTTTTTAGTGGTCGAAAAATAGGTATTTTTCCAAGGAGTAAACCATAATTTTTGTCACAAATTGCAAATCTTTCATTTGTTTCTTTTCGGCAAAATAGATCTACAAAACAAAAAGTGGTTGGTAACGTTCTATTTAACGCGTTAAGCCTCGCCCTTCGCGTTATTTCCTTAGACAAGGAACTTTACTGCACTTTGTCTCTCTTCACCCGGATGTATAAATGGGTACCGGCAACATACTGCTGGGGGGTAGACCTGTGATAGACTAGCATCCCGTCTAGGGGGGAGTAGCAGCAATACTCCAAGGCAGGCTTCATGCTAAGGAAACTGGGATAACTGAGTATCAGCAAATGCGTTAGCAAATTCCCCTTTAAACTGGGTGGATCTAGGGGGAGGGTGCAGGGGGTGCGCACCCCCCCCCTTTAGATGACCTGCGCTTAATAATACAACTGGTATTCTGCAAAATAGGCAGATATGTATATCTATTCTCAGCAGCTCACATTATGTTATTGCCTTGTCAAAAGAATTTTTCTTCGTATTCGCTGTTATCATTTGTTTACGTCACCAGTCAGTTACGCCATTCTTTTGTGGTGCCCCTCCCCCCCCCCCCCCCCCCTCCGCTGCCTAGAAAAATCCTGAATCCGCCCCTGCAGCGTAACATGCAGTTAGTCACGCCCTTCTGCCTATCGCGATCAACCATAATTCGGAGTTACTCAGCGGGATACCCTACAAATCTTACTATACATTGATATTGAATAAAGAAGGTTTTCCTATAACAGGGCGCTGCGCTTTGTGTGAGGATGTCTTAAGATTGGGCGTTTACTCTTGAAATAAGAGGTTTTCCCACTGTAAAGGTTAGAAAAAGAAACAAACCCAAAGGCGCATTCCTCTTTTTTCAACTGGAATATCAAAAAGCTTTCTTCCAGTGTGTCAAACTACGTTCACATGAAGCTTTTCGGGTGCAAATACGGAATGGTACGGCTTACTGAGATGAGTCGAATTGCTTGGTAATACTGGACCGTGTTTTTCCCCTGGGTTCCTACTGTTCTCCTATTCGCCATTATCACATCTCCTATAATACATTTTGTTCGCCCCTCCCCCTAAAAGAATTCTGGGGACAACATTTCTCTTTTGATGACTGTAACACCTAGGGGAAATGAAAAACAAAGATTGTGCAAAATTTGGGAGCAAACAAGGTGTTTTATGAGAGACATGCAAATTTGGAATCAAGCGTTTTCACAGGACGTCACCTCGGCCATATTGGTGTTGCAAACAATGAAACGGCTTCAAGGTAGTCGTGTGGAACACTTTTCTTATGTAATAACTTTCTTTTGTACCAATAAATTAGCATAGATGCTAGTCACGTGACTGAAAACGTTTTATTAGCCAGTTTGAAGTTGCGCGCGAAACTGGGTTGGTGTTATGTCGAATTGCACTATGGAACTGGTTTTGGGAGAATGCGGACATAGTTTATGCTGAAACCTGGGAGGTATTGATCCCGAAAAACCCCATCGAGCCACCTTAAAAAATAAACATGCTTTGAACTCTTTCAACTACCACGGGACTTGTTCAATAGGCCATTTTCGAGTCTCCGAAAGCCTCTGTTTCAAAGCGAGACTAACTGCGAAGCAGTTGATATGAAAACGACTTCTTATTATACATGATTACAATGACACATACACTACTTGCACTGAAGTAGTCTAATACGGACCAGTTAGACCCGTTAGGGCCTGTTTAAATGGAGGTGGGGGACCCCAGATAAGTGAGATAACCCGCTTAGGTGGGGTAACCCGCCTGTCCATATAATCTCTCGTTTACATGATAGGTGGAGTGACCCGCCAAATGTTACCTCACCTATCTGGGGTCCCCCACATCCATTTAAACAGGCCCTTAATTTTACTGTGGCTTCACGGTGGAAGTGAAATAAACCTCAAAGACGCCATCATATCATTCAGATCTTCACGCTCTCCCTCTGACGTCGAAATTGAAGCATAAAGTCAACGTTTTAATATCGCGGCTCAGTAGAACAGATGTTGATTGATCAGCTTGGATCCTTGTCCAGGCGCTAAGAATTCTTCATCCACCCATCCCCCATCCCCATAAAAATCCGCCTCAAAAAGAGATAGAAAATAATTACCATAAGGTAGCTGCTCCCAGCTAAATATAAAAATTGACTTGCTTTCAAGTAACTAAATTAAATCAGTACTCTCAGTATCTTTCATTGTTCTAATTGGTATGTCCAAGGTGAAAAAGGAAACGTAAAAAAAACGATTTTCGGTGTATTATTTACTCTACCGGGGAAAAAGTAGGAGAAATTTGAAAATCTTAGGCTAATTTTGTTGCTTATCGATGTTTTTATCGATTATAATTTTATCTTTTGTTTTTTAAATCGAAAAGAAAAAACGAAAATTGAACAGGTCACTCACCTCACCTGTCCCCTCCCCTCCCCTCCCCTCCCCTCCCCCGGTATCTCCCCAAACATGACCGAGTAGAGTTTGGAACTAGGGAAACCAAGATGGCGCCTCCAAAGGCTCCATTCAACTTCAATCGAAGTCGCAAGGATTCTGCACGAATGCGGCTTGTTCTTTCGGGATTATGGTTCATTAACTTCTGGATTGTTTACCTGATTAAAAGAAAGTACTTTATGTGGGAGAAAAAGGATCTGTATACAAACCCCAGTCAATGACGTCAAAGCACTGATCTTGCAACGAATGGAGTATTTTGATCAAAGTACAGGTAAGATGTAACAAGAACATTTTAGAGCTAACCAAACTACATAGTACTTGCTTAGTTAAGAATTTTAGATCAGGTAGAATTGCTTGGATTAAGAGGGGTCAGTTAGGGACGGGTGCAGCATAGTCATCAAAATGTTTTGTGTTGTTGCAAAGTCATGTGCTCAATTCCCGGGTGTATACAAAACCTGGGCTGGCCCATGGGCTAGCCCAGATCTTGTGCACACCCCCAATTCCCTAGCTATGGACAGCTACAGAGTGGTTTATTTTTCCTCCATTTTTGTGCTGTCTTCATCTTGTTACCCCTAACAGTGACCAGAATCTAATTTTCCTTATGATAGCCCTTTGTAAAGAGTCAATACCCCCTTCCAAATTTTTTCAACTATTAATATGGATCGCCTGTTATATTAGTGAGGTCTGTTGACACAAACAAAATATAAATTAGAGTAGAGAAATCAATCA